TGGGCCTCAGGTTCCTAGGTTTAGGGTTTAGGGTTTAGGGTTTAGGGTTTAGGGTTTAGGGTTTAGGGTTTAGAGTTTAGGGTTTAGGGTTTAGGGTTTAGGGTTTAGGGTTCCTTAAAGGGGTCTATAGTATGGTTCTATATGGCTCCCTTTTATAATGGGGCCTCTAAGGGTTGCTATGTTGCTGGGCCTCAGATTAAACAGGGCTTTGGGTTTCGGGTTTGGGGTTTCGGGTTTGGGGTTTAGGGTTTCGGGTTTCGGGTTTGGGATTTAGGGGGGTTTGAAGGTGTAGGGGTTTAGGGTCTGGAGCTGAGGTTTAAAGAGGGTGTTTAGAAATTGAGGTTTCGGCCTCTTTGCTTTGAACTGGTATGGCTTTTACAGGTCTTTAAGGCGAGATGTGCTTAACATAGCTTCAGATGTTGAGGTCGATGCTCGGAGTGTGGCTTCCTTTAATCCGAAGCTCCAAACGCAGAGTTGATGCACGCATGCAGGTTTCCAGGGAACAAAGGTTTGAAGGTTGCCGCATCCCCAACCCCAAACCCTAAAGCCTAATTCCCCTGAACTTCCTAAACCCTGAAGCTTAAACCTGGAATCCTCAACCCCAAGCCCTGACCCTAAACCCTAAACCCTAATCAACCCCAAGCCCTGACCCTAAATCCTAAACCCTAAACCCGAAATCCTAAACCCCAATTAAACCCGAAAGCCTAAACCCTAAACTCTAAACCCTAGTCAACCCCAAACCCTGAACCTGAGGGTTTCAAAGGCCCAGCAACCTCCACACTCCGATGCGCAGGCCTTCGTCTCACTTCGCGAGCTCACGGCGTCTGCGGGCTCAAGCTGGTGTAGGGCTTTCGGTTTAGGGTTTATAGGGCTTGGGGGCTTTAGGGTTTAGGGTTTTAGGGCAGGGCGTTTTTCCATATAAAAACCAAAGCCCCTTAGCCTAGGACCCAGAGCAGGCCCTTATTCCCTTTTTTAGGGTTCAGGCTCCCTTATAAGCCCCTTTAAACCAAAAAGGGCATCCTTTTTATGCCTGGGTTACTCATGGGTCTAGTAGCCCTAAACCCCAAACCCCAAACTATCCGAAACCTAGGTCCGAAGCCCTGAACCCGAAAGCCTAAACCCCAACCCCGGGAAACCCGAAGTCGCGACCCGTTATCGCAAAGCGATAGACGTCCCAGACCTCAAGCCCGAAGTTAGAGCCATGGATTCTGAACTTCGTCGCAAGATTTCTGGGTTTCGGTGTTTGTTGTTACAGGGCTTAAGGGAATGGGGATGCTTGGGGTTTCGGAGTTTAGAGAACAAAGTCCAGGGGTTCAGGGGTTTTAGGGTTTTGACCTAAACCCTGTGCAGTACCTCGCTTTAGCACAGGCTTCCCCAATATGAGAGTTTGAACTGGAAAAGCCCACCGAAACTCGTTCTAGGGTATAGGGATCCATGCTGCGTTTTGCGGTTCAGGGTTTACGGCCTGGTGTTTTGAGTCTGGGATTTATGGTTTGTGGGGGGGGGGCTGAGGTCCATTTCTACCCTGGAGCACAGCATCACCTCTCTGACGACGGACATCAAGATGCTGCAGGTGGGTTTCACCAATGCTTTGCCTTTCAGAGGTTTGTAAGGCTTTGCTTTTTCAAGTTCTGTGCATAGGAAAGAGGCTCTAGCAAACGAAATGAAAGTACGGGGCAGCATGTTAAACCTACCAAGGTACAATTCGCACACAGTTCGATGGATTTCCTCCAGTACGGCAACGAACATAGTAAGCTTTGGTATGTTGTACCCTAAACCCTAAACCATAATAGCCATGGCATATGATCCTTGTTCGAGACCCAGATCTCCAAACTGCTTCCCCCCTTCCCCCCACCTTCGCACCGCACCGCCCCTAAACCCTAACCCCAGCCCGAGACTTCATGCACATGGGCGCTTGACCCCTCCGCCGTCCGTTTGAAAAAGCGCCCCAAGCAATTTTGTGCTATCCAGGGCCTCTGAACACCCTTCCGGGTCTGGTGCTTTTCAATCTTCTCCAACCTCTCATGTAGAGCTGCTTCAGGCCCAAAAGTGGCATTAGCTTCAGCGGTCTCAGGCATCTAAGCTTCAATTTTCAATGTTTTTGTTTCGAATCACCTAAACCCCAAGTAAACCCTAGATAGAAACAGAGCTTTTCGGATGTTAAGGCCTCGGGGCCAAAAGCGTTTTAGGGGTTAGGGTTTAGAAGCTTGGTTTCTGCGCAGGACACCCAGGATCAAATGACCAGCATCCGAGACGATGAGTCTTCCAAGTACCAAGAGGAGGCGACTCGGGGATTCAAGGCCCAGACTTTAGAGCTTTGGTTTTGGGGGTTTAGGGTTTGGCAGGGTTTAAAGTTTAGAGTTTTGGTTTTGGGGTTTTGGGTTTTGTAGGGTTTTGGGTTTTGGGTTTTGGGTTTGGTAGGGTTTAAGTTTGGGGGTTAAGGGTTTCCTTATCCTAGCAGAACCTAGTTTTTAAAGGGTCTGACAAACCCCAAAAATTCACATTAGGTTTCGCAATGAGAACCGACAAAAAGGTAGGTTTTGGTAGGTTAAGGCAAGCTTTAGGATTTTGGTTTTGCGGGGCTAGCGGTTGAAGGGTTAGGGTGTTGGTTTCAGGGCTTGTAGGGACCAGGGTTTGGTTTAGATTTTTGCGTTTCAGGTTTCCGGGTTTTGAATCTGCAACCTTGCCTGGACCCAATAATTACACAACATGTGCTTTCCTCCCCTTCCGGTTTCGGTGTGTCCGGGTGCCGGCTTTTGGAAGTTGAGCGAGTGTTTGGATCAGGAGATCTTAGCACTTCCAGGACCCAGAGTAGGCCCTTATTCCCTTTTTTATGGTTCAGGTTACCTTATAACCCCCTTTACCCCAAAAAGGGCACCCTTTTTATTCCTAGGTTACTCGTCTAGACTTAGTTTTTGGCCGAGGTTTCAAGATTCGCATTCCGGTTGTTGGGGAGGGGAGGAGGGTTTGCCCTGTAGAGTTTACTTTTCCCACTGATAGCTCGACTAGTAATTATGATCATAAGCACCGTTGTTCTACTTGTGATAGTCCGCTTCAGCGCTGCATAGGCCTAAACCCCATACCAGCGTTTTCTTTGGGGTGCCGGGGTTCCCATTATGCGTTGGGTCTCAACAAGAGTGTAGGAAACCTGAGTTATTGGATATGATATGGGATGATGAGCATAGGACTCTAGAGCACTAGGGCTTAGGATTCGGAGGTGCAGGTGGTAGCTTGAGGTTCCGTCAAAAGCGCCCGGACATGAATTGCAAGCATGCAGCCAGGTGCGGGGCGAAACTCTGGGTTGTTGAGAACGCTCGAAGCCGGAAGCATTCCGGGAGTATGCAAGTGCGACTTCTGGAGCCAAGGTAGAGCTCAACACGCAGTCTGCGAAATCGGCCCCTTGCACAACCTTTGATGCTTGAGGGAAGGTTTCGGTACAAACACGGGCTCTGATGCCCGAAGCTTTTGTGGTGTTTCTTGGTTCGGAACAGACAGTACATAGTAATTAATCATATACAAGTTGTTCTAAATGAGGGCTCCCAATACGGTCCTGCATATGAGTTTGTTCGTATCAGGGCCTCGACTATTCGGACCTTCGTCAACATCTACCGCAGAACGCGGCAATGTCAGTGAATAGCGCAGCTTGTTTTACAATATATACATCCTTTGTTAGTACACCATCAGATTTTGTTGTTGATTCCTTTAGTTCCTCCATGTTTTACAGTGTATGCCGAAGTATATCTCTAAACTGAATTTGTGTGAACCCTGTATGAGATGACCAGACTTCACCTGTCACGGTCCAGCCATACAAGCCCAAATCCCACACTCCCTTGCACGTAAACCTAACGTCCCTACCTAAACTCCACGGTGACATGCACCATGAACAATTACCAACACTGCTTTGGGGGGTTCCTTATTATAGTTATAGTATAATGGACCCCGAGACCCAATTCTTACTATTAAGGCCGCTAATCAGGGCCGATGATCTCCAATCTGAAACACGAAGTTTGCGCTCTGAGTAGGGTTTTGAGACAGATCCCGCAATCTAAGCAAGCCTTAAGCCAACAGCCCTGGAACACCAAATCCGAGACTCTGAAGCGGGAACCTGGGCTGCGGATCCCGAAAGCCCCAACACCCTAAAACCCTAAGTCCTAAACCCTGAAACCCTAAACCCTAAACGCTTGTAGAACCCAAACTGCCCGAAACCCTCAGTGCTGAGGTCGAGGGGGCCCTGTCGAAGCTCTCCGCTGGTGCGTCCTTTCTGCAGAGGCGCAACAGAGGTCCCCAGAAACTCCAATATCCATTAAGGAAGGAATATTCCCAAAATCATTTTCGGGATCCTACGATAAACGAAGGTATATTCCATAGAAAAGGGATATTGGAGTCTTTGGGTCGTCGTTGTGTAGGACATGTATTGGTTCACTATACTTTAGCACTGGTAACAGCACAGGTAGAAAGCCGGCACATGTTGGAGCATACAGTAGCCCAAGCAGAAGCGCTGGCAGCTGCTAGTCATGGTCCACTTCCCTTCATCCGTCTTGTTACCACAGTCCGAGTCGAGCAGAACATCATAGTCTGCAAAATCTTCTGCATCACCACGAACATCACCGTCACCAGCTTAGCCTGCATCAGCAATGCCATTAGAAATCATCCTAATCCACATCCTCGTTCGATGTTTCCATTCTTCGGGTGGGCATAAGGTTGCAGAAATTGAGTCGAGTAGGCATCAAGAGCCTTGACTAGGGGAATGCTCATTCTTGTCATTTATCAGGGCTGCCGGGCATTTGCTTCGGGAGGGCGGGGGGTTGTGGCCTCAGCTGAAAAAAGTTTCCAGTATCATTCTGTTGCCGACGCCAGTTGCCGTGGTCGCAGGAACACTGTTACTCGTGCAGGTGTTCTCACACAGTCACAGCCTGTCCTAGGTAATTGTGTTTCTACTCATGTGCTATGCAGTTACTCAAATCTGTTTTGCACATCATGGATGCATTTGCCCACGCGGCATGGTGACAATGCGCACGGCCGTCTGCAAGAGCCATGTTGAAAGTCTGGCTGTGCTTGTCTGGCTGTTTTTCGGCCTACCGACTCTTCCGCCCACGTTCGCAGCATGGAGGAAGCAAAGTGAGCTCAGGTCCAACCGGGAGAATTCAGGACTAAACTCGCCTTCAATCGCAGATACGAGGGCCAGGCTAGCTGCGGAGAGAGAAGGAAGCAATCCAATCAGCCCGGAAGGAAAGAGGCTGCTCGCCGAGATAGTGGAGGCCGGAAACAGAGGTGATTGGCTGCGGATTCACACGGTCATGGCAAGCTATGTGGGATCAGACATCCAGCTTTTCTCTTGTGCCATGAAATTCGCCTTGAGATGTGGGCAGTATAAAGCAGGTTCTGAGCTGTACAGCAGGTGTCGCAACAGGAGGATCGTGCCGGACCAACCATGTTCTCTGCAGCTTTGTTGATCTATGCCAAGATGGGGGATGCAGCCGCCGTGCACAGCATATGGGCCGAAGCGATGGAAAGCTGTACTCTGAATGAGCCACTGGCATTATCTCGAATTGATGCCGCTTCTGTAGAGGGAGATGTATCCTCAGCAGCCAGCATCCTGAAGGGGTTGATATTGAAATCCCACATATCAACTCTGCCATCCATGCTTGTGCTCAAGCTGCCGGAAATGCACATAATGCTGCTAAGTTCCTCTTTGAGCTGATGCATGACTTGGATTTGCATCCCAACATCATCACGTTTACATCGCTTATGGAAGCTTACCACAGTGCACCGTTGGACTGGGTTCTGGCTGCATACCATGTGATGAAGGAAGGCCAGGTTGAGATGGACTTCGCCTTCGCCGAGACATTTCTATGCAATGTGCTCCAACGGCCAACAGAAGGACAAAGCCTCAAGACTGCTTTGCTGGCATGTTCGCAAGCTCGGCGCTCAGCCGCCCAGTCGGCACTGGAAGACTTCAAAGCTTCTGGTATCAAGCTGACTGCCCTCTCCTCTCGAATTGACGATGCTTTGCGACAACTAGAAGCTGCCAACTAACTCCCGACACACGGTAGCCAGCAAACGGCAACAAAGCGCGAGGCACCCTGGTAATAAACACCAACCCCAAAGCCCAAACCCCAAACCCCAAACCCCAAACCCTAAACCCTAAACCCCAAACCCTAAACCCTAAACCCTAAACCCGGTAAACCCTGAATTCGCAAGCCCTGTACCAATCTACCACCCCGACCCCATAGAGGCCCCTGTCGGACCTAGTCAAAAGGCTTCAGAGTTCGACTCAGGGGTCGGATTCATGAGTCAGGCATAGGGTTTATGGTTTAGTTTAGGGTTTAGTTTAGGGTTTAATTTAGGGTCTAGGGTTAAGTTTAGGGTTTAGGGTTTAGTTTAGGGTTTAGTTTAGGGTTTAGTTTGGGGTTTAGGGGATCTAAGTTTAAGGTTTGAAGCGTCACTAAGCTTCCACATGAGTCACAGCAACGCAACGAAGCGGTCGCGCAAACCGGCAACCCCGCACCTCTGTCCCGTGCCGATTTTCCACAAGCCTAGTATAGTGCAGTCTACTATCGTCTAGTCGAGGATCGTCTAGCCTAGTCTCGTCCGGTTGCCTTTACTTGATCCCCAAATGAGAGTTTCCCTAGGCACTGCTAGACGAACTACGTAGCTGCATCTCGAAACTCTGAAAAAGCCAGCAATGAATCATGTCAGGGCTTCAGATTGAAGGATTCGTGCTGCTATCTCAAGTTGTGTTTACAGCGCGGAGTAGATCCGAACGTAAAACCCAGACGTGAAGCTGGAAACCTGAGTTGCGACTCGAAACCCCAGCTCAACCGCAAACTCCGCGGCCTTATAAACCACAAAACCTTATCCCAATTATGAAGCCCCGCATAGTAAGTCTCACCCCTTCCACGCTCGTTTTCAGGCGTGCCGATGAGCCCGACAAGGGATACGTCGTCGGGCTGCTGAAGGGCATCCAGGCGGGCTTTAGTTGTTCAGCAGCTTCTATGTGGTTGAGCGTATGTATGTATGTATGTATGTGTGTACGTATTCATGTATGTATGTATGCATGCATGTATGTATACACACTTACAGGTTATGTGTACATATGGCCATATATGTATGTCTGTATGTGTTTCATATTTGTGTGTGTGTGTGTCGCTATATTGGCCAACCCTACAGGCCGCAAAACCTCAAGCTTGGGATGCAACGAGCCTCGACGCCCAAATTAGGTAAAAGCAAGACCAAACCTTAAACCTAAGAAAGGCTTAACACCAACGAACCGAGAAAACTGACACGAACAATCCCGAATCCCGAAGCTCGAATGCCCTAAACTTGAAACTGCCAGCGATTCCTACACCCCATCAGGCCCCCAAATCTGTCCTAACTCCCCACAACTACCAGGAACCCCACAACTACCAGGAACCGATCCTGCACCTGCCCCCCTTAACCCTAAACCCCGCAACCGTTCCTACACTCCACAACCGTTCCTATACCCGAAGCCCTGAAGCCCAAAGCCGATCTTAAGCCCCAAAACTCAATAGCTATCTCAAAAAGCTCCCAAACCGTTTGATGATGCCTTGGCGAGGACCGGCTGACGAAGACCCGTACTGAGCTAGATCAGACGGAGAAGGCGCTGTGTTTCCGTTGCTTTAAGGTTTAGGGGGTTTAGGGTTGTGATTGGGGACTCCTCAAGCATCCAGAGAGCCCACCACCCCTTTTTGTTCCTTCTGTCCTTCCCCACTCTCTCCAATGCTAACCTACTTAACTACGAAACTAATTGCTTTGTTAAACACAAGTACCTAATGATTCGGTCCTTTGAATCCATGGGGTTCCTTCAGCTACCCCACCTGGGGGTTCGTTGGTAGTTTCAATTATGGTTGTAAGCTATAAGTAGCATAGCTACAGTTCTAGTTCATTAAGCTTTTAGCCCCACTTGTGCCTGCCCATGGACCTCCAAGCAAAGCCTCAACCTAAACCCTAAGCCCTGAAGTATATGACTATCAGGCGAAGACCCTCACGCACAAGAGCCTTTTCAGCGCCAAGAAGGCGGCGCAGCGCTGAATTTTAGAGCCCTCTGTCCAAGAATTCTGGGATACCATAGGCTTCAGGACTACAGTGTTTAGAGATACTATGGAGTTTCTTGGAGACTGAATGTTTTTTTCTGTGCCTTGGTCGAGCTTTCGCCGGGGTTCGCAGCGAAAAACCTATCCTGTCAGTCAGGTTGGGGGCACGGGAGGCAGAGTTATGTTTTTGGTCTTGCTGCAAGGGGTCCCTGTATAGATACTTTAAGGACTAAGTAGATACCATAAGGGTACATGGAGCCTTAGGGTTCGGATCCAAGAACCTATTTAACTCACAGCGCCTGACCCCGTGGCAAGCAGCTCGAACATGCAAGCTGCGTCCGATGGATTCTGTGGGGTTCTGCATCTTGCGCATTGTTTCGGCAAGGCAGTCTGGCTTCGGTTTGGGATTCAGCAACTTAGCATATCTTTTCATATCAAAATACGAATGTCTGTCGTTGCTATCATGACTTTGACCATCAGTTCGATGCTTGCAAACTGGCCATTGGTATGTTGAACCTACTTCTGGCAGTCACTTGTGCTGCTGTCGTCGTCAATGAATATGGGAGTTTCCGAAAATAGCGACCCTCCTATAGTACCCTAAATAGTAGGATCCTGAAGGACCCCAAAACATGGTACCCCTTTTTTAGGAAACTCCCATAGTACCGATAGTCTCCATGGTAGTTCCTTTTTGGGGCTACCTGATAGGATCCTCATTATATAATTGGTTAAACCAAAGAAAGGAACTACAATGGAGACTACAGGTAGTCAGTCGTTGTTGCCGGTTGCTAAGCCCGAAGCCTCGCTACCTTAACCCCGGGCTAAACCCTAAAAAGGTTTTCAGGGTTTAGGGTTTAGATAGGGTTTAGGCTTGATACATACATATAGAGGGTTTAGGGCAAAGTTTAGGGTTTATATAGGGTTTAGGGTTTAGGGTCTGATGCAAGCTGGCTGCGGAGTGCAGGATCAAGCTACGATCCTCCAGAACGAGGCACGGCATGTTGCGAATGGCAGCAGGTTCTCCCAGCTACAAAATACCAACATTAATTAAGACTTCTTTAGCGAAGAAGCTTGGTGCAGACCACCCTAATCCATGATATTCAGTGGGGATCGTGTTTCATTCTCAACGCTGTCGTTGTTTGCGGGTCCCAAGGTTGAGAGTCTTCCTTCAGCCCCAAGTCCTGAAACTGTCGACAACATCCCAAGACCTTCACACTTTTACGTTACGAATTCCCTTTAGCCTCCCAGTCCCTAACCCTAAACCTTGAACCCCAACAACAAGAACTGTCCGACTAACAGTACTTAGGAGGAGGAAAAGAGGCTTTAACAAAAACAGCTCCAAACCCTAAGCCCTAAGCCCTATAAACCCTAAACCCTAAACCCGGATGCCTGAGCCCGCAAGCCTTGAATTGATTCGAAGCCTCTCAGGTTGCAGGTCAGAGCCTCAAGCCGGACTTGAGGGTTTAGGGCTTCGGGAGGGCGCTTTAGGCTTTAGGGGTTATAGGGTCTAGGGAGGGTGGTTTAGGTTTAGGCATTGAGGGTTTCGGGTTGTAAGAGTGGTCTGGTATTCTTCGGTGTCGAGTATTGTGGTTGCTTTTGACATGGAGGGTAGTCGCGTTGCGGAATCATACGTTTGAGGTACATGTCTCCAGATACCTCGAAACTTCACTGAATCTCGCCTTCGTGGGAACGCGTCATACAACTACAACCACTGGCCGTTCACAACGACGTCGCTGTCTACCTCAGACATGTAATTCCTGGCGAACCTGCTTTTGCGGGAAGGCTGTTGGGGGATGGACTCGGTTGCAGCTGGCAACGAGGGAACACATTTCCCTGGAATTGGCTCGGCCGGTGTCAACTCTGCTACTCTTGAAGGCACTGGCCAATCTGCGTGGTCTTTTCACTCCCCGTTTCGCCATGGACTATGCGCAGTTTGGGGAGAACTATATGCCCCAGAGCCCTATTTTAATTGTTAAGGCCCCCCGTATTAAGCACTTAAGAGCCGTTCAGGAACTCTTGTGCCTGTGTGAGCCCGACATGGTCCGGTCTGTTGCATCGAGGTCCGACCTAGACCTCGAGTCACTCCCGGAAATTCCTATTATAGGGTTGGAAAACCAGGCTGTTCGGACTTTTTTACTTTCAGGTTTCTGGGTTCCTATTATAAAATAAGAAGCCTACAAAAGCAAATATTTTCCCAGCGGGTTGCTGAACAGCCTAGAAAAAGAACTAACCAATCAACTAGCCTACCAATCTGAACCAGTTTCACCATATTGCTGAATCAAGGTGTGGTGGTCGTTTTCCTTTACACGGTCTAGGGTTTAGGGTTCTCCGCATTTCCTTCCGAGCTCTCCTTTGCGGATGCACATTTTTTTTTCTGGGCCCCGTCCTACCTAGGGTGTATAGGGTTTCGGCACTCGAAGCAGCCCGAAGCCCCTCACTTTTCCGGGTCGCAGGTGCTGCAGAAGTCCCGCCTCCTTGCACAGAGCAAGTTGGATCTCGTCGAGGTGCCCGATGAAGCGGAAGACCTTGGACGACATACCGAAAGGGTCCGCAAATCCTGAGTTAAAGGTATAAGAACCTAAAATCCGAAAATGCGCGTTCATGTCTGGCGTCTTATAAGCTGGATGACTCTGTGCGACATACTAAGTCGAAGCCGACAAGCACGTGCTAAACGATTTACTCTGACGTCACAGATCCGAATGCCCAAACCTTAAACCTTACACTCGAACAGGCTTAGGGTTTAGTTAGTTAGCATATACCGTTTCCATTTTCTAACCATGCCCCACCCCCTAGCACCCAAATCATAACAACCTAGACCTCAACCCTACCCCAACCCAACATCCACAGGTAGAACCTTAGGAAAGACCCACCCAAAGACCCAAAGCCATAACAACCTATACCCCAATACCCACAATATAGAACTATTAGAATACCCATACACCACCACATAGAAAACCCCCAACCTAAAACCTCATACACCAATACCCCGATAGAAAAACCATATTCCCCAACCCGAAATCCCTAACCCTTGAAAATGGAAATGGTCATCTTGAATAATTTTACAATAATAGGAATAAGGTTTAGGAATAAGGTTGTAGTGCCGCGATTTCTAGACACGCATGTGACGCAGCAGCGGCTTAAGGTCTGTTCTTGTATTCTTTGGAGGTTTAGGCCTTTCGGTTCTTTTGGTTGTGTAATTGTGCATGTGTGTGTGTGTGTGCATGGGCGACATGATGGGGTAGGTTAATCTCCGCGCTTCTTTGAGTTCATGAGAGGAGTCTGGTAGCGTTCGTTTCAACATGAGTCATGAGCGTTGGTGGCGATGAGGAGGCAGGTTCAGTCCTCGAAGATGGGGACCCTTCCAAGCAGCGCCATCGTTGCAAGGGCGCTGCAAAAACCAAGTGCCAAAACTTGGGCAAACTTCTCGCTGGAATTGTGGCAGTGGTGGGACCTCTCGCGCATAAAGAGCCCATTGCCATATTGCTAGGGGGGCCGACTCTGTACTACACGTACGTGCAGGCGACTGAGGCTCACAAGGCCGGCGATGACAGCAAGATTTCTGAAGGCGTCAGGGACTTCCTAGAGCCCTTCCAGCCAAAAAAGCCGGAGGAGCAAGTGGTCACGCGGGACATCATGAACACTACCCGCCATCTCATCAAAGAATCTAGGGGGTGGTGCATGGTTAGAAAATGGAAATGGCCATTGCTAACTTAGTAAGGGCCAAGGGGCCAAGACAACCCTACCCTAAGCCCAAACTCCCAAAGGCTGTTGGCCCGCTGGTTCAAGGCTTCAGCCCCCATTTCTAGTTTGTGGCGGGAAAAGACCTTTACCTATAGTCTCCATTGTCGTTCCTTTTTCGGTTAACCAGTTTTATGGTTAGGACCCTATAATAGAGATTTTGGTTAACCAAAAAAAGGAACTACAATCGAGACTATAGGTAGAATTTATGTAGACTGTACTTGCTCTGAAGGTTTCTGAAAGCGCAGGGTAAAGCACCTGAAGCGGACAAGTTTCAGTATTGGATCTGTTAAAGACGCGAATCGAACTTAATTCCTGGGAGGATGCGCACAGAGTCTGGAGTTCTGCAGTTTAGGTTTTGCGGTTCAGGGCAAGTTTTCCCATGTGGCTGAACCTGTTTGCAAGTGATCACCGTGATGATGCGAAGAGGGACCCTACTCACACCGACCCTCACATCACCAAGAACTCCAGTACTCCCGCCCTTGTTGAAGACCCTCTTTACTGAGAAACCCGACTCTTTCAGGGTTTAGGTTTTAGGGTTGATTCTCTGGCCCGTGTTAGGGAACATTTTTGACTTCTTCGGATACCCAGTGGAGTTTCTTGAACTGTTCTCATAGTGAAGAGTGATTTATGATGAGGTCTTTTTGCTGTGCCCAGAAGATTCCCGCACAGGCACAGCGCGTCCACGACGAAGAGAAGGACGGAAACGATGTTGTTATTCCGCATGGCCCAGAACCCTGTGATAACCGTTCCCTGTGCAAGACCTGTTTCACCTTTGGTCCAACCCTCAAAGCCCCTGTAGTATAGTGCAGTGGAACATGAAATTGAAAGGGTACAGCTTGGGTACTGCCCTCACGCAGTAACAGAAATAGGTGATATTTACATACATGCGTGTATGTATATATATATATATATATATATATATATATGTGGTGCCGTATGGTGCCAAGTCGCAAGCCCCCCCCCCCCCCCCCCCCAACCCAAAGCCAGGCCTCTCGTCCCAGCAAACAGTCATATGTCATCCGCGTAACTACCCCCCCCCCCCCCCCAAGCCAGGCCTCTCGCCTAGCAACGGTCGGGGGAGGGATAACCCTCAACACATGGAACGACACGACTGGGAACTGGGGAAGGACAACCCGCAACACAGGGAACCACAGAGCCCCTTCCCCTTCCCCTCCCCTTCGACGAACAGATGAGAATGATGGCGATGATGTTGTGCACAATGACGTTGATGTGCTATTCTCAGTGTGGCTGTTGGTGGTACCTTTGCTCTCGTGTTGCTCTGGGCTTCGGCACTGCATGTTCATTGCTATATTTAGTCGAAAATCGTGCTTGGCGTGCGATGTTCTTGCGAAAACTGTATCGACCGTGGGTTCGTTAAAAGTAAGCTTGAGCACGTTTTTGAATGATGTTCATTCGGGGCTCTCGAGCAAGGGACCGGAGGAGAGTGCGGATGGGGATCATGACCACCATCTTCGTCATCATCGTCACCATAATATTCATCACTATGATTGGCTTTGGAGCTCAGGGGAGGTCGGAGTTCAGTGGAACCGTATCACATCCTACATCCAAACCCTTAGCAGCCGGACGCCCAACCAGCAATAGCCTTGGAAGGGTGCGCAGCCGACCGCAACCACAGGGGGGAGGGGCAGGGGAAAACCCACACCACAGGGAACCACAGGCGGGAGGGATGATACCCTGGGGTGGGGGGGGGGGGGGGGGGGGGGGGGAGCGGGGCCAAGCAGCGCTGCACCATATATTTATATACATACAGATATATATATATACACACGCATATATATATATATATATATATATATATATATATATGTGTAGAGAGCGAGCGAGAGAGAGAGAGAGAGAGAGAGAGAGAGAGAGAGAGAGAGAGAGAGAGAGAGAGAGAGAGAGAGAGAGAGAGAGAGAGAGAGAGAGCGAGCGAGAGAGAGAGAGCCCTTGCTAGGACTCCTAATTTCATTATAGACTGTTAAGAGGTGGGGACAGTACCCAAGGTACAGCGCTTGAGACCGGCGACAATGTAGCCGAAGCACACCACATCCCAAAGCCCAGATAAGACGTACTATAACATACCAGGGGTTGCTGCATTGCTATTCTATACTATATATTTTCTATTCTGTACTGTCATACGATACCATACTATAATATACTATAACAGACTACAAACACTGTACTGTACTATAGTATGAGTATCACCGAAGATTAAGGAGAGGAAAAGCTACTCAAAACAAGGAGTCTAGCACGGAAATGATGCAAATGGTGGCCGACACGAAGGAAGACTGCTCCTCTAAGGCGATGGAGTTTGGGGTTTTGGGTTTAATTCGGGCTTACTTGGAGGTTCATGAATAGTTATAAGTAGCCATATAATGGGACTTATAACGCCACTTATAACTACCCATGAACCTCCAAGTAGGGTCTCGAGCTTAGCTGGGATGGAGTAGACGATGCGATGTGCAGGCTGTGGATTATGAGACTTCCTGGTCGGAGCTTCAGGGTTGTTAGGCAGGTTTGGATTTGTGTTTAGGGTCTAGGTCTTTGGTTAGGTTTGGGATTAGAGTTTAGGGTTTAGGGTGTTGATTAGGTTTAGGGTTAGGGTTTGGGCCTAGGCTTGAAGAAGGAGCTCTGAAAAAACAGCTCGTTTTTACAGGCGGGTATCAAGCACTTTGTCTTGGTTGACGGCTTTCCACATGTCTCTGAAACCTGTTGTGGTCCTGCAAGTCCTCTTGAAACGCCAAGCTAACGATTGATGATATAAATCCTGCATTACCCATAATAAGGAATATACCATAATTCCATTAGTGTAGGGTCCTTAAGCAGGATTTCTATCATCAACCGTAAGCCCTAAGCCCTATAGATCCCTTAAAGGAAGCCCTTAAAGGTGCCCCTATAGATCCCTTTAAAGGAACCCTAGGGATTTCTATCATCAACCGTAAGCACTCTTTTTTCAGCCCTGAAGCCTGGCATGAGGGGACTCGACGTACAGGGCCTCCAGGGATGCTGGCGTCTCCGCAGAAGCCTGGTTGGACTCGAAGAAGAACTTTAGGGTTTAGGTATTATTGGGGTTCAGGGTTTAGGATTTAGGGTTCTGGGGTTTAGGGTTTGATGTCTTTCTTTAGGTTTTGATTCTGCCAGTAGTCTCGAGCTTGTCGTGTGGGGCTTGCGAGTCTGACAAGTAGGATTGATGCAGTTGGGATACAGGTGAAGTTCTGGCTTAGGAGGTAGAACTCTCTATAGCGGTAGCGGTCGCTGGGATGATAGAGATGCATTATGTTTGCAGCTTTCTTGAGGACTTAGATTGCTGCTTTACTTCTTCTATTCCCTCAAGCCTTAGCCGCGGCTGTTTTTCAGAAGCAGCAGACAGCAAGCACTGCTTTCTTACCACTATTTCGGGTTTAGACAGTTTAGGTTCAGTCTCAATGCTAGGCTCGTCTTGTTTCGCCTGAATCGGCAGGCAAGTGAGTTCAAGGTGCGGAAAGAGGCAGGCCTTTGTGATGCTGTGGCATGTTCCCATTCAGGGTTTTGGGCTGCATAGCACTCTCGTTGCCCCCATGCCAGTGCCCCGTGTGCTTCCATAAGCGCATCAACAGAAAGTGGTCATGGTCTAATTAGTTTGTTTCGTGCTTTTGGAAGAAGGAGAAGAAAGCCCCGATGGTCCGTATACAATGTTCGAATAATTTAACTCATGAGTGCAACACATTAGAGTATTGTTTCGGTCTAACCATGCCTAAAGACTAGAGTTTTAAATATAGTAAGATGGAACAGCCAGTGTGTAAATCTGGTTGTGCGACTAAATGTGTTGAAGAGTTTGAAGGTTTTTTTAAGACTTGCAATAGATGCCGTGAAGCGAAAAGAAAATGTAACGGCATAACAAAAACGAGTATAACCAAGCACGAAGAGAGGAGAGGGCAAAGGGGAGCCAATTATGCGAAGAATGCGGACATAAAATTAGTATGCATTACATTCGAACTCGGAACTCGATTTATGGATGAAAGGTTACTTAGCGAAATTAAGCATTCTTGGACAGAAGGCAAACTAAACGATGAAATACAAGCAGATATTAAGGCAGAGTGCGAAAAGCAGAAAAGGGAAACACGCAAACGATTAAGCGAACAATTCCCATTATTTTTCTTGATGAGGAGGAACACGAAGTTTCGTGTAGCATACGCGAATCCGAGAAACCTAAACCCGATATAGATAAAATATTCATTCACGTCCTTCAGTTGCTACTGAATGATGAGTTTTTAAAGGGTTACTTTATGCTATTCGGTAAGCAGAAAGATAGGATAAGTAATGAACTTCCTGTGGCCAGGCCTCAAGAAAAGAAACTCGAGAGAAAACGCTGAAATAAATAACAACTCTATATATATATATATATATATATATACACATATATATATATATATATATGGATGAAAATAGATGAAAAGGATGTGAAAAGATTCGGGCACTCGTGAAGAAAAGCCCGTGTCCGTCTTATGAGTTCATTACAGACTTAATGTTAAGCAAAGCCGAAAAGAAGTGGAAACATAGAGGCGATATAGAGATTAAGTTTTCGTTATTTGATGGTGGACTCTGAATATGGATATGCTAACCATACCTACATAAAAGAAATTTATGAAACATGGATGACATTGAACCAAGTAGAAACAACGGGGATGAGATTGATACATTAGGTGATATTCAATCATTGGAGTACAACACGTTTGCTTTCTGTGAGGTCTTAACTTATCTAGTTAATGAAAAAGGTAAAGCCAACTTTGAACAAAACGAACTGTATTACAAACTGAAACGACAACTTCACACAACTTGCGATGGCGTGGGCTCGTGGAAATTTTTGCCCTAAGCAATAATAATAACAATAATAGTTCATTATCTTATTATGGTTGTTTCCTACCTTAATCCTAAACCTTATTCCTATTGTTGTGAAGCTATTTAAGATGACCATGTCCATTTTCTAGGGTTAGGGCAATCAGGTTGGGGCATATGTTGTGTTTTTGTCCTTGGGGGTTTGGTCTATGAGGTTGAGATTGATTTTTTCTGTGTGGGTCTTGGTGCGGGTCTTCTGGTGGTTCCATTATGTGGGTCTTGGTGTGAGTCTTTGGGTGAGTTTAGGGTTGAGGTACGGGTTGTTATGCTTTTAGGTCTTCAGGCGAGTTATTCCTGGGGTCTTACCTATGGGTCTTGGATGCGTTTAGGGTTCAGGTTGTTATGGTTTGGGTGCTAGGGGGTGGTGCATGGTTAGAAAATAGAATATCCCTGAACCCTAAACCTGAACGAACCCTAAAGCAAGCCAAGCGAATCCTTAAACTAACCCTAAACCCTAAACCGTAGCAGATCCCTTATAAACCCTACACCATAAAAAGGCCCTAAACCCTAAAACAACCCTCAACCCCACACCCTAAATCCTAACCCATAAACCATAAACCCCTGAACCCCACACCCTAAAACACCCTAATCTCTAAACCCTTAAACCCCTAAACCCTTAAAGCCTAAACCCCCAAACCCCGAATCCCTAAGCCCTTAAAGCCTAAGCCACCAAACCCCGAATCCCTAAGACCTTAGACCCTAAACAACCCCAAATCCTAAACCCTAAAAAGCCCTAACCCTGATCCATAAACAATTACCATTATAGCCCTAAAAAGGTCCAGGTAAACCCTAAGCCTTGATTTTTTTAGCCCTTACCCTTAAACCTTAAACCATAAACCCTTAAACCCTTAAAACCCTTAAGCCCTTAAACCCTGAAACCATAAACCCCTGAACCCTATAAACCAGTAAATGCTTTAAAAGACTCTTAAAGCCCTCAAAAACCCTTAAACCCTACACCCTAAAATCCCTGAACCCTTAAACCGGTAACCCATACCTTAAGCCCAAATCCCGCAGACCATAAACCCTTAAATCTTACTAAACCCTTACACCATAAACCCTTAAACCCGAAACCCTAAGCAACCCTAAACCCTAATCCTAAACCATAAATCCTAAACCCTAAACCTTTCAAGTGTTAAATGCCATAAACCCTAAATCCTTAATCCCGAAACCGTTAAAACCTACACCCTTAAAACCCTGAAATCCTTAAACCCTTAGACCCAAAACCAGGACCAGCAGAAGGAGCGAGCCGCCTTGGTGGAGGCCACCGCGGTCCTCAAGGAGGAGGCCGTGAGAGGGTTCTTTTAAGGTTTAGTTTTCTTTACTTTATTTTGGGTTTTGCTAGGGTTTCTTTTGGTTTCATTTGTTGTTTAAAGTTGCTGTTAGTGTTCAGTTGTTTGTTTAGAGCTGTTTTTAGGGTTTAGATATCCTTTTTGCTTAGGGTGTGTTTTAGGGTTTAGGTTTGCTTTTGTTTATGGTGCCTTGTGTTTTTTTCTTGTGTGTGTGTGTTGTTGTTTAGTCGTTGTTTTCGTTTAGGGCTTCTGTGTTTAGAATTTTCTTTTGTTGAGGGTGTATTTTAGGGTTCAGGGTTTTGTTTGTTTAGGCTATGAAAGGCGATTGGAGTGTTGTTTTAGGCTTTAGGTGTTTTTTGTTTGGGGTGGTTTTAATGACGGGTGTTTGGCGTGATTTGTTAGGCTGCTTTTTTGGGCTTACTGGTGTTTGTTTAGTGTACTGACTTCAGGGTTTTAGGGCAGAGGGTTTTTGGGTTTAGACACTGATTGCTACCGCTTGCTGCGTTGGTGCACTGGGTTCTATGTTGCCTGGAGGCGCGTGGATGTAATGTACGTACAATGTATGTATCATCATCGTCAAGGATCGCCGGATGATTAACAAATCTTAGCTGAACCTCCTCTCCTTCACATGGAAGTTTCCGAAATTAGGGGTATCTTATGTTGGAGTCCTTAGAGTACGGATCCTACCATTTAGGGTCATAGCATCTGGAATCCCTCGACCCTAGACCCTAGACCCTGGAGCGTGTCTTTGTCTCTAAATTAGGGTCCCGCTATAGGTCCCCAACACTAATTTAGAGGAGTCCGACAGCACCGCGACCAACTTCCTGCAGGCCGCTTTGCCAAGCAACACAATCCTTCTTGATGAACCCTAAACCCTCAACTGACTTATTGGTTATCGTGTTTAGGGTCGGAGACAGACTTGGATTCGGAAACAGACTTGGATTCGGCCTACGTTTCTGCAGAACCCCGACGGATCGTTTCTCGAAGCTAGCACAGATCTCAAAGCCACCTTGCCGTGTCTTGAAACTTCTGAAGCTTTCACACGGCCCCTAAACCCTAAACTCTAAACATGGATTGGGAGATGCCGTTCATTCGACTTGTTTTCCGTATTCTGCACTCTGACTCTCAGGAGCCCAAAGCCCTTAGAAAGACCAGCATCAGCCCCGATCCTGCAGACAAAACTCCGGTTTCTTGAACTCTAAACCCTGAACCTTTGAGGAAAAGGAAGCCAACAAAACAAGACAAAACCCTAAACCCAAAAGGGTTTCGCATTTCGGGTGCTTACACAGAGCACGAGACAGTTTCCCAGACCCCCGGGAGGATCTAGAAAGTAGAACCCCTAATTTGAGACCCTATACTACTAAGGGGTGCTTTATAGCAACCCCCTCAAGGGATCTACTTTTTGGATCCTTTTGGGGGTCTGGGTTACTACTGCGGACTGCAAACAGCATGCCTTAGGAAGACATGCAAGCAATACCCTTCAAACATCCGAAATGCCAAACCGTAAGCCCTAAATCCTGAACTCCGAACCCAAAGAGAAGGGCACACTAAGCAACGCAGAAGCCGTTGTCCTAAGCCCCGAATCTAAAGCTCCAAAACCCCAAAACCCTAAATTCTAAACCCTAAATCCTAAACCCTAAATCCTAAACCCTGAACCCTAAACTCCTAAATCCTAAACCCTAAAACCCTAAACCCCTGAAGCCCTAAATCCTAGACCCTAACCAAACCTAGAACGAAATAAGGTCGCCTCGGAGAGCAACGCAAAAGGTGAGGAGAAGGAAGATGCTCTCCGCAGAGCGGTACCTCGGAGTCCCGATATGGGAGTTTCCGAAAATTAGGGGTACCTTGTTTGGAGTCCTTATAATAAGGATCCTACTATTTAGGGTACTATATTAGGGTCCCCCATTTTCGGAAACTCCCATACAGTCATTAGAGTAAAAGGTTCCTTTGAGGGTTACTATACGGGCTCTATATGGGTACCGTGGTAATGTAGGGGCCTCAACAATTACCGATACTATCTTGGTGGTTCCTTAGTATAGTTATAGTATAATATGGCCCCAAAACCCTGTTCTAATTATTAAGGCCCCTGTATTAGGTTTATAGCCAGGTTTAGGGTTAGGTTAGGGTATAGGGCTGTTGTCTAGTCAGGTTTCAGGTTTTAGAGGTTTGCAAGGGTGTGTACGGGCTTAGGTCCTAAAACTGCGAGGGTGTATAAGGGTTGACAGGAGCTTTGTACGGGTTTCTGACGGTTTAGGATGATGAATTTCAGGTCGGTGTTTTTATAGTCCCCCAGTTCGAAGTGAGGGCAGGGTTGCTTAGTAGGGTTTGCAGGAACCATTTAGCAACAAGCTCCGGGCAAACTATTCCTCCTCCGATGCTTCCGTCTGAAGGAAGAACAGCTGGGATTCTAGAATATGGGGCAGGGGTACCTTCCACTATGGGCTATTCGACCCTAAAGATCCCTATTAGGACCCTATTAAGGGTAGATTAAGGTACCCATAAGGTCTAATAGCCCATAGTGGTTTATGTTGGGGTTAGCGTATCAGGCATAAAGACACTCTCTTTTTCAGAGTGAGCCCGCAGCCCCCTAGGTCGCGCTGATGCAACATCAGACCCAGGAGAAGGCGGAAGGCATGGGCAACGCCGCGGAGGCCACTGCGAAGAGCCGAAAATCCAAGAGGCTCCTACCCAGAGAGCCTATATTACCCCCTTTTTTTAAGGAATAGTAGGGAATAGTAGCTTAAATCATAATAATATGAAGCCCTATGTAATTGAAGCCATAATTAAGGGATAGTGGGCTCCCTGGGTAAGTAGCACCAGATGCCCAAACCTACCAACTTCTATATGGACCCTAAGCCCATTTTGAACGCAGGCCATCGCTATATATGGGAGTTTCCGAAACTAGGGGTACCTTGCTTTGGAGTCCTTATAGTAAGGATCCTATGATTTAGGGTACCATATTGGGGTCCCTCATTTTCGGAAGCTCCCGTATCCCCCAAGTCATGATGCCCTTGCTCCGAAGCCTCGACCCTTAGCCGTAAACCTTTCCACCTCACCGTTTTCGACTGTTTCGGCGACCTCGTCGCTGCTTGTGGGTTGAGGCTTGACTTGAGGTTTGTGTGATGCCTGGTGACATAGCCTAGGGGCCTGGAAAAACAGTAGCACTGTTCCGAACATTTGCTGGGATTCGTATAGCAACATAGCACCCCAAACCCTAATCCACTAGTGCCTAGGCCCCTATGCTCTCAGGTTTAGGGTTGAGGAGTTCAGGGTTTAGCGGTCATGCTTAACGGATCGGTTAGGCTTGAGGGTCATTTAAGGTTCAGGCTTTTAGGGGGTTTCTGGTTTAGGATAGTATGCGCGCGACCGGCTCCAACCCTAAAAGCAATGCAAGCACAACTAAAGCTTGTTGCTTGCAACCCCGATGCTATCGGGGCCCTAGACCCTAAATAAGCCGATTCCACCCAGCCCCAAGCCCCAAAACCCTAAACATCCCTACATCCTTGACCGTAACCCTAAACATCCCTACATCCTTGACCCTAAACCCTAAACATCCTTGACCCTCAACCCTACACCCTAAACATCCCTACCTAAACCGCAAACATCCCTACATCCTTGGCCCCGAACACCGAGCCGAAACCGAAAACCCGCTTCAACTCTGTTGCAAAAAGCCGAAGCCCCAAACCCTATAGCCTGCACGAGCGTACTTGGAGGTTCATGGGTCGTTATCAGTTTGGCTATAAGTCCCCTAATAGAGGTGATAACTGTAGAAGTCCTACGGATAAGCACTTATAACTACCCATGAACCTCCGAGTAGCTTGCTGGAGCATAGGCCGTTCTTGGCCTGGTGGATGCTATCCAAAGTCATCAAGAGGAAGATGGCAAGAGGCCCCCAGCTGTGTGTAGGAGCCTCCTCAGAACTCCGATATGCTTCCTGTGAGACTTCCTTTTCAGAGGGTCTATAAGGGCGACTGCAAGGGTTTTGGAAAAGGAGCCGCAATAACTAGACTAGGGTTTTGGGTTATGCTATACTATAAGTAATCTTATGGAGGTCCTTATAAGAAGGGAATTGAAAACTATTCAGACGCCCATATCAGTGCGGGCCTAGGGTTATGTGCCGTAGGGCTTAGAATTGATATAAAGGGCTGAATCATGCAAGTCCTGCGTAACTTCTGTATGTTCCTGAAGGTTCAGGTGACGTAGTAAGTAAGGGTTAGAAGTTTGTGGGTATACTCATGACTCATAGCGGCCTTTTGTTTCACCTAATTTCCTACTAAGTCACCCGATCCCTTAAGCAGAATGACTTGGAGGTTCATGGATAGTCATACGTAGGGCCAGAGTCGATAAGCAGGATAGCTCCAATTAAGGCCCCCAAGTTCATGGATTCAGAGTGTGGGGCTAAAGCTCGGGGACGAGCGGTTGTGGATGTAGGTTTTTACGGTTCAGGGATCAGTTGTTGAAGGCATAGTGAGGCCGTGCTGGTTCAGGCTAGACTCTGATTGTTCGACATGATGTTTTTGTAGGGCATGGTTCTGCGCCACGGCTTGTGGCTATCATCGTATAGGGCTGCACCTCTCACCGGTCTTGATGGGAGTTGATCGTTGCTGATGAATGTCTGGTTCTTTTCTGGGGATACCCCGAGAGCCCAATACCCCTTAATTAAGGAATATAGCTTAGAGATGCTTAAAGCATAATATGAAGCCCTATATAATTTATGCCATATTCCCCAATTATTGAATGTAGCTTAAATCATAAGCCCTGTATATTTTAAGCCGTGTTCCTTAGTTAAGGGGTATTGGGCTTGCTGGGTACAAGGGATTGTTGCGACAGGGCGTTTGGGCCCGAGCCCGAATGAGGGGATTTCGGATTTAGGGTTTCAAGTTTGGGGGACCTACCCAAAAAAGGCTCCATAGTAGTTCCTTTTTGGGATTACCTTATGGGATTCTAAATATGAACCCCAAACAGGAACTAGGTAACGCCACGCGAAACGACCCGCGCGATAGCAGGGGTGCGTTCTCAGGCAAAATCGTAGTTTTACCGAAGTAAAACGATGATTTCTGGAGTATGAGTTCTTGTTTTGGCAGACATCGTTGCGCAACCGAGCAAGTTTTCGGGACTTGCTTTCGTCATTGTTTTACCTTTAGAATTAGTGTTTTCGGTGTTTTTGCCTCGGCACAAGCAAGGTTTTGCATTTGATGACGTTATTGTCCGGCAGCATGTCTTTAAAGTTTTCCGGATAAAATGGCGTTTCGGGCTTTGGGTTGATGTTTGTGTTGGTGGGGCTTGGTTCTTGGCATGCCTTGGTAGTCTATGGGGGGCCTTAAGACAACATGGCAGTTTTACCGAAGTAAAAGGATGATTTGTGCTTTATCAGTTCATGCTTCGGGAGACAGGCATGGGCAACCTCTACAGTTTTCGGGTCTTTGTTTCGCTATTGTTTCATCTTTGGAAGTAGTGTTTTGCCTGGTTTTTGCCAAGCGAAACAAGGTTTTGGAATATCGGGTTTAAGCTTTGAGCTTGGAGGTTTTGGGGCTTGCGCTGCTTTGGCAGGGTCTGGGATGCTGGCTTTAAGCTTCTAGCTATAGGGTTTTGGGGCTCCACGGTTGGGATCTTTGGTTGGGGTTTGAGGGTTCGGGCTCAGAGGGTATAAATATAGGACGATAGTATACTGTGATTATGGTGTAATGCAATGGTTAAGCTGGTGACGGCTCCCAAGACCCTGACCCTGTGCTTTCACTCTGCCTCGCTTTGGGATGCCTTAAGCCGCAGCGGATGCAGACGAGGATTTCTCCGTCGGCACGTGCTCCATGCCCAGAAGCAAAAGCCAACTATCTTCAAGCACAGAGCGCAGCTCTGCGCAGAACAAAAACAACTGCGAGTCAGCAGTAATGCGTTTCTCAAAGCTTTCAAGAAGAGGCAAAGCTATGTGCAGCATCTCTAGCAGCGCACGGCTGCTGGCATGCAAGTTGTGCCCCCATGCCACCTGACAGCGTTCCCGAAATGTCATGGGACGATTGGGCTGCAGCACGGCCGCCAGGTTTGCGCGCTCAAGCAACTCCTCCACGTCCTGCATGCTGTCCCACAAGCGAGGGTCAAAGACGGCTCGGTCAGTCCTCCGCAGCGTAGACTCACATGGGTCTTAAGCAAACGGTTTAGGGCTTTAGGGTTAGAGGCCTAGAAAAAGGCAAGGTAAACAACAAAAGTCAAGGGACATAAGTGTGGACAAAATGTCCGCTGCAGCGGCCAGCGTCGAGGTCCGCTTGTCGGGTCCATACCGGTAGACGCCGTACAAGCCCAAGACAGCACTGCGAAGAACGGACCATGTAGCACCCATTTCTCTGGCTAAGTCCTTTCAAGAGATGGAGCAAGAGAACAGAAGCAGAGAAACATGTGATCGGCCCTCACTGCAGCAGCACATGCTGCAAGCAGAAACCGTGTTCAAACAAAAGAGTCTCCTCAGACACGGGGTGGAGGCTGATGAGCACATCGCGTATGGCAGAGGCCACGGCGTACACGAAGAGCGCATCTGGGATAAGGTTCACGGAGTCCATTGGCAGTCCTGGCCATGAGTTTTTCAAGTAAGCTAGAGCTTACAGTTTTTTGTTGCCAGATAACTGGCTTGGAAGCGAACCACGGCAGTCCTCTGAGAAAGCGTACAGGAAAACGCCGCAAGGTTCGCTAGCGATGACAAAAGCCGAAACAAGCTTGGGGCTTCATACTGCATTTTCGGAGCATAGGAGCATGCAGCTTGCAACCCAGTTTCTCAGCAAACCCATGCAGACAGAGTTTTGCACACGCATGCGGAGGAACCCATGCCTGAAGAAGACCCAAAACAAGCGATGCAGAGGCTCTTCGTGGCCTACGCAACCCTGTTTCTCAGCAGCCCCATCTGTACAGTAGCATGCTGCTCGCGCAGATGCTTGGGAAGATCCTTCAATCTGTGCTGCGGCACGGGCATCCTGCACCAGCACGCTCGGCCTCGAGAAGCTGTGCGCCAGAAACCGCTGCAGTAGAGCACAACGTGGCCGGCTTTGGGGCCGGAGCCCACCAGGTGCGGCCTCAGGGCCCAGCCCGGATGGCTCGGGCACGCACCCCACTTGAAGCGGCGAGCAGTGGGCTTGTTTGCTCGAGATCGTCCGCTGCAGCGAGCATCCACGGACCTGACATCTTCCCCAGCGTGTGCAGCCCGCGCACGCTCCTGCAGCAACTCCGGCGGAGGCTCAGGCGAAGCCTCAAGATCCTCAGGGACAGGGACCACCGGAATGCTTCGTTATGAGCATGCGAATGCTTTACGGCTTATGGCTCAGAATGGCTCAGAGCACCTCCGTGGAAGAGACATCAGAGGTCTGGACATCAGAGATGGCATCGACATCCACCTGGGGCAAGGAAGAGGCCATTGGCAGTACTACAGTAAGTATTGCCCAAACGAACTCACCAAAGCACAAAGAAAGCAAAAGAAGAGCTTTCGAGGGCCTCGTGCCGTGCAGAGGACATGGAACCTGTTGAGAAAGCGTAGGCCTTCAGTCTTCTGGCTCGCGGGGAGTCTGCCAGCTGACAAGGGCTCAAGGGCTCGGCATCAGCTGCCAACAGGCGGAAACGGGCTGCAGTAGTTGGTGAAAAGCATGCCGAAGGTTCAGCACTTGGAGCGCGGGTGTCGTCGACATCCTGGCTTAGCAACACTAGGATGATAGAATCGCAGACTAAAAAATTCTGCTTCTAGGACTAGGATAGTATCTCATAAGAGTACAGGACAAGACTATACCAGATTGAAGAGAAATCTATCCACACACACACACAGGAACGTGTGGGAAAAAGACAAGAAACGTCCTCAAAGCTGTGGATACTGTCGGAACTGGAGGCAGAACACCGCATTGGATTTTCTGTGTCGTCCTGCGTGCGCAGAAGCAGACCCCTAGCCTGAACGTCTGATTTTCCAAGAGGCCTGCAACCGGAAACGTTAAGCAGCCGAAACCGGGAAGACACCCGGAAGTTGAAAAGTCTCAGTCTCAGTCTGGAACAGCATTGGGGAGTTTTGTGTGATTATCTACAGAAAAGCGAAGAACAAGCAAGACGTGGTCCTCGAAGCTGCGAATGCTGTCAGAACTGCAAGGAGAAGAACACGGACTGCGACTGCCTTCTGTCAATTCCTGGAACAGGGGCAAAGGCTCAGGCACCAACATCGGACAAGCAAGCATCTAGCCGTGAACTGACTACAAACCAGAAATAGAAAACATGGTTGCAAACTGTTGGACTTGAAACGCCTCGTCTGTTGCCAAGAGAGCCCAGTCCAGCTCTGCAGAAAAAATGTCCGATTGCGCGGGCGGCGTAGGAGAAGGTGTAGGAGAAGCCGACAGAGATGCTGAGTCCAGACCAGAGCGGAGTTTGCCCTGCAACTCGAGAATCTTGTCTGTCAAGTCTGCGGGAAGCGACTGCCACGTCGCCAGGGCACCGAAGCGACTCTGAATCATACGGCTGTGGCGGCGAGCAACATCCTCCAGGGCAAAGGAGCGACGAAGGCGGCCGTTTTCCGCCAGCAGCGACCGCGACAGCGCAAAGAAGCCCAAAACCAGAGACTTCCAGGGCAGTTCGCCCTTGCGGTTCTCTCGCAGAACGATGGCCGCAAGGTGCTCCATGCCTGCCTCGCAAAACAGTTCGAAGGTGTGCTGGAGTTCAGAAGCAGGACAGCGCCAAAACGGCAGGAGCAACTCTGCCGGACAAGCTGTGCCGACAACTCGAAGGCAAAGCACCATCGACAGTCCTAATGCAAGCCATTGCAGCACTTCCATGCTTCGCGAGGCAAAGTTTGTCTGTCTACTTAAGGCCTCTTTGTCGAAAGTCTACAAAGGGGCATTAGAAGTCCAACACAAGATTCCAGACTCTAGACTTCCGTACGTGATACCTAGGATGGACGACTTGAAGCACCAGGGGCATGGCGCACTCCCTCGGCACTGGAGAGTCAAACACATCGACGGACATGGCTTCATCACTCGCTGCTTGCAGGATCTTGCAAAAAGGGCGGCCATTCACAGCACTTTACAGTATCTTAGTATCTTTGCCAAATGTGCATCGAATGAACTTCGTCAGATATTGCTATGGCATTAACTAGGTAACTACTGCATCGGGTCAACTTCGTCAGATTTGCCTATGTCAGTGAAGACTGCATCGGATCAACTTCGTCAGATCTGCCTATGTCAGTGAAGACCGCATCGGATCAACTTCGTCAGACTTGCCTATGTCAGTGAAGACTGCATCGGATCAACTTCGTCAGATCTGCCTATGTCAGTGAAGACCGCATCGGATCAACTTCGTCAGATTTGCCTATGTCAGTGAAGACTGCATCGGATCAACTTCGTCAGATTTGTCTATCTCACTTACTACTGCATCGGATCAATTTCGTCAGATCTGCCTATGTCAGTGAAGACCGCATCGGATCAACTTCGTCAGATTTGCCTATGTCAGTGAAGACTGCATCGGATCAACTTCGTCAGATTTGCCTATGTCAGTGAAGACTGCATCGGATCAACTTCGTCAGATCTGCTTATGTCAGTGAAGACCGCATCGGATCAACTTCGTCAGATTTGCCTATGTCAGTGAAGACTGCATCGGATCAACTTCGTCAGATTTGTCTATCTCACTCACTACTGCATCGGATCAACTTCGTCAAAGTTGCCTATAGCACGAAGTAGGCTACTGCATCGGATGCAATTTTGGCAAAGGTATTGTCTAGTATTCTAGTCTGCTGTTCTAGCCTGACATAATATTGCGAACAGGCCAGAATGATTTTCCACCACTCGTGCGTTGAACTCGGCACGGGTTGTCGACTACACGGATCTCAGGAGCTCCTTGGCCGCTGCCCAGCTGTCGTCGCGATTTCTGCGATGCTGCCAAGCATACGCATACTCCCAAATCTCTTGGTTCACATGGCCATCCCTCTTGCTAGCAACTTGCTTTGGCAGGAACTCCTTCAAGTCCCGCCAGAGCCGATCCAGCAGCTGCGTGCCCGCGGTCTTGGCGCCGCTGGAGCTCTTGTGACGCAGTGCAGCGGTGAACTGAGACTTCACATGTTTCACTTCCGAATGCTGGTAAGCATTGTTTCGGGCCAACTTCCGGAAGGCCTGAAGAAAACAATAGACGCTGAAAGTACTACAGTATATATTAGCAGAGCAGACAGTAGTATACTACCTAGCATACTGTTAGAGTAGTTCACTAACACAGCTATAGCGTAGTATACTGGAATGGTCAAATATTAAGTAATAGAATAGAATAACGTAGTGAAACCTATAGGTACTACGAAGTATGATGCTATCCTATGCAAAAGCTTAAAGTTGACTGGCGCCTTGGCACCGTCACTGAACACGGTCGTCTTCTTTCCCGTGAGGTGGTTCGCCAAGTTGGCGACGCGGAGATCTGACACTGATTCGGCCGGAGGACGACTGCCGGGCTGCAGCAGGACAATGGGCATCGGCAAGACAAGTACACGACCATTCAAGCCGCGCTCAACTGCACCGCACACACGAATGTGAGCCACGAAGTATTTGGGGATGCGCTGGCCGGGATGCCTGCGCCGCCACTCGCACACATGCTTGGCAAACCAGGAGTTCTGGGGGCTCACGTGAAGAAGCCGCAAGGAAGACCCGTCCACTTCAACAGATCCTTTGAGCTTGATGGTTCGGAGCTCGCGCCGTCCTGCCGCAGCTTCTTTCTTCCGGAAGACGTTGAAGAGAGACTGGACTACCGAAGTCGTCTTGAAGAGCTTCCGGCTGATGCCACTGATCCTGCATGTTGAAATAGGGAAGATGCGGACTTGGGGTTGCATCAAAAACGTATTTCGAAGAGAACTTGAAGCCGAAAGAACTCAACTTCCGAAACCGCTACAAGCTACCGGGGCTTGGTGTTGGAGAAGTACTCCACAATGATTGCCAGGAGAACAGCACAGGTCAAGCCACGAAAATAATTGCCTGCACATTCCCAATATGATCTTGCAGCTTTAACGCTCTTTGGGGCCAAAACTTAGATTTCGGGACAACCACTATGGGATCTTTAGGGCACAGGGTCTTAGGGTCTAGGCTTGGGGAGGTCAGGCAAGACTGGAAGAGCCTGGCAACCAGTCGCAGAAGCACAGGACATTCTGCCATCTCTGGCAGTTCCGGTAAGAGCACTTCACGTAGAGGTTGCCTGACGTAGGCTGCCGGAAAGAAGGGCCAACCAGCCCGCCTTCACCACAGCAAGGGCAGTAGGCGGGCACATTGAGCATGCCGGCTTCTGAAAGAATCTCGAATGCCTCATCAGAAGCTCGAGCGAAGAAGAGGAAGCAACAGAAGAAAACCCAAAACAACACTCTGAACCCTGAATTTCGACAGGTCTGAAGCCTCCATCTCACCCATGCCCACACCCCGTGGCCCCGTCCATTTCTGTTTCTTCTTGCTGGCGTCACTGGAGGAAACGTTCGTGTTGGAGTAGGACTGGCGAGCCTGCTTCTGGTACTGCTTCTTCTTCAGGTGGTTCTTGCGAGTCTTCTGCACGGTGGACTTTGTCTTGCTACGCTTGGCGGCATCGCCTGTGCCACGAAGCTTCCTGCCCTTGGCAGGCTTGGCACGGAGCTGTGCTTTGAGCGAGCGAACCAAGGCAGCACCCGGAAAAGGGCAAGCTCGGCAATTATGCCCCTTGCTGCCGCATATGCTGCAGAGCTTGAAGGTCTTCTGAGGCATCTCGCGAGAAAGCCTAGTCCAAAACCTACATTGAGCAGAAAGGACTGGCACAGCGCAGGCAGCTTGTTCTGCGAATGCAAGCGCAACCGTACTACGGAGTATATGGCTGTGACCATGCAGCACAGATCAGTGGCAGTTGCAGCAGCAGAGCAAGGGTGGCGAGTGCAGCCGAAGTTTAAGTACGAGTAGTAGCACTGCTAGTCCCAGGACTGCTTTGTGATGGACGTAGTCAGACAAAACGAAACTAGCCCCCCCCCCCACCCCACCCCCCCCAACACCACAGAAGCAGACATGAACAAGCGAAAACAAGCATAACCCGCGGGTCAATTGGTAGTGCGTTAGCAGGAACTACTATGGAGCCTCTGGATAAAAAGTCTCCAGGGACACTACGGAACGCACGTCTACTCCACAAGATGTCCCAGCTTGTTGTTCGTATTCTCTTGGGAAGGACTCCGTTTGTTTTGCATGAGGTTCCTTTATGGGCTCCTATAACAGGCTATCTCCTCAGGGCGATTTTGTCGGATTTTCTTGCCCGCATACCAAGAACTTTAACCTACCATACGATTGATGGTTTAGATCCTGCATTTCCCAAAATAAGGAATATACCATAATTCCCATAGTTTAGGGTCCTTAAGGTAAGGCAGGATTCATACCATCAACCGTATCACTCCTGCTTTTCTGCCTCAGCTTAAGTTGTCTTGTGTGACTCCTGGTTCAGCAGGGAAGGATGTGAGCCCAGGGCCTCCTTTGCATCAGAATTCTGGACTGTTCAGGGTTTAGGTTTCAGGAGTTCCTTTGGGTTTAAAGGTCCGCACGGGTTGAAAGAGGTTTAGGGTTTAGGGTTTAGGGTTGTCTCCTGAAGCCGAAGCTTTGTTTGCTTCACATTGAGCTTTCAGCAAGCTTTAGGGCTTGATGGGCTTGAGGGCCTTGAGGGTTGAGGGGTTTAGGGGTTTAGGGGTTTAGGGTTTAGGGTTTAGGGGTTTAGGGTTTAGGGGTTTAGGGTTTAGGGGTTTAGGGTTTAGGGTTTAGGGTTTAGGGGTTTAGGGTTTAGGGGTTTAGGGTTTAGGGTTTAGGGGTTTAGGGTTTAGGGGTTTAGGGGTTTAGGGTTTAGGGTTTAGGGGTTTAGGGTTTAGGGGTGTGTCGATGCTCCGCGCACACCACCACGCGAGACGTGTGTTGTGGTGTGCGCCTAGGTTCAACGCTCTCGCCCTACCCGCCCACCCAGTCTATGACCTTTGTCGGGTTTAGGGTTTTTCTCCAAAGTTTGTGGCTTGGTGTTTGTGGCTTGGTCTGGTACGGGGCCCAAAATCAAGGTTTGTGGCTTGGTCTGGCGGGGGCCCAAAATCAAGGTTTGTGGCTTGGTCTGGCGGGGGCCCATAATCAAGGTTTGTGGCTCGGTCTGGCGCGGGCCCAAAACCAAGGCCTAGCCAACACCAAGGTTTGTGGCTCGGTCTCGTGAGGGCCCAAAACCGAGGGCAGGGCAGGGCAAGGCAGGGCAGGAGCAGGGCAGGGGGAGAGGGCCAGAACCAGGCCCAGACAGCTGGCCAGACCCAGGGCCAGAGCCAGAGTCAGGGCCAGGGCCAGGGCCAGGGCCAGGCAGGGTCAGGGCCGGGCCAAGGCCAGGGCAGGGCCCAGCTCCAAGTAGAGGGAGGTTTAGGGTCATATTGTTCTGATTGGCTAGCATGCCTGTCGCAATGCGCCAGCACCTGAGCCGGTGCTGGGGCTCCTCCGCTGCGCCTGTCGCGCCAGCTCCGGAGCCAGCCTCACTGACGCTTCGGCACGCTCTGCTGCTATCGCAGCGCCCGCAGCTCGCTCCAGTTTAGGGTTTAGGGTTTAGGGGTTTAGGGTTTAGGGTTTAGGGTTTAGGGGTTTAGGGGTTTAGGGTTTAGGGGTTTAGGGGTTTTGTTGCGGGGGCTGAACAAGGGCTAGGCCCAGGACCAGGTCAGGGCAGGGCCAGGGCCCAGGAAGCAGGGCAGGGCGGGGAGTGTCGGGCAGGGCAGGCAGGGCAGGGCAGGCAGGGCAGGGGCGGCGCGGCAGGGCAGCAGGGCAAACCAGGGCAGGGCAGGAGCGCAGGGCAGGCAGGCAGGCAGGGGGGAGGCAGGGCCAGCCAGGGCCAGGGCCAGGGTCGGGAAAGCCAGGGTGGGGCCACGCAAGGCCAGGGCAGGGCCCAGCTCCAGGTAGAGGGATGGGGCGCTGCGAGTCTGCGAGGTTGGAGGTTTAGGGTCATATTGTTCTGATTGGCTAGCATGCCTGTCGCAATGCGCCAGCACCTGAGCCGGTGCTGGGGCTCCTCCGCTGCGCCTGTCGCGCCAGCTCCGGAGCCAGCCTCACTGACGCTTCGGCACGCTCGCTGCTGCTATCGCAGCGCCCGCAGCTCGCTCCAGTTTAGGGGTTTAGGGTTTAGGGGTTTAGGGTTTAGGGTTTAGGGGTTTAGGGTTTAGGGTTTAGGGTTTAGGGGTTTAGGGTTTAGGGTTTAGGGGTTTAGGGTTTAGGGCTTCTTACCCCCCCCCTCCCTCCTACTGATCTCAGCAACAAACCTCTGACCGGCCCTAACACATGAACCTGCAAACCCCAAATGCCAGTCCTTACATGGGGGATCCTGATCTTGCATTACCTTAAGGACCCTAGACTATGGGAATTATGGTATATTCCTTATTATGCGTCATGCAGGATTTATTTCATCAACCATACCAACCGTCATCCCACCTTTTGAGGCCTCCAAGGGTTGTGTTAGTTATGTTGCTAAAGAAATTGAGCTGATGCAAAGAGCAGACATTCCTGCTGTAGGAAAGACTTCTGTGAGATTCAGATGGGCAACAACAAGGCGGGCTTGTGTTTAGAAGAACATAGAGAGGGTTCTGTTGGTGGTGGTGATGAAAACGACCCTGGTGATGGCAGTGGCCATGATGGTGGTGATGAGTATGATCGTCATCCTGCCAATGCTGATGGTTTGTTAAGGTTGTGATGATGAAAACATGTTCGTTAACATGCATTCAGTTGTAGCCTGCTATTATCAACAAAGCCATCGGCCCAGCAACATCATCCACATCGTTTTCTAACCGTCATCAAAATCACCGTCACCATAGTCTTCATAGTTGTCATGAGCATCATTCCGTTTTCATCATCAGTACCATGGTTGTCGTTACTGCAAATGGCCGCCATCATCTTCAATACTTGCCTTGATCGCCGCTATTGTCATCATCTGGATCACTTGGGACAGCTAGTGTCTGCTCCAGCTGTGCCACATCGTGCACCGGATTGCGTTCCGGCTCGCCGTTTCCACTGTACTACCATCTGTACCACTAGTTACCAAGTTCTACGTCTCATTCGCCATCGCCATCAGAAGCAGGGCATCCTAATCACTGTCACTCTGTTCACAGTGCCTGGCTTGAACCCGATGACACCGACGCTTACAAGGCGGCTGAGCATTCTCCGACCGTACTGCAACCTCAACTATTGCCCGGCAGCGACGTCTTCTGTTGCAAGACTACTGATAAATGGTATACCTGCGGCTAACCCTACACCCCAAACCCAGTCCTGCCATGCAGCCCCCTGGTGCTGTCAAATCTGTACTTATACAACTGTGCCAAGTGTCACCATACCCGAAACCAGTTCCATACTTGTAGTCTCCTTCCGTTGGTTTACACTGTTTCCACCAACTTGTCCTAGGTTCTTACCAAGCCAAAGTAGGAGCTAGGCTGCTGACGTAGGTAAGCCCAAATTCCCAAACCCTAAACCCTATAGTACCCTAGAACCCGTAATGGGCCCCTTTAAAAGGAAGCCACCATCCTGCGATCTGCCCCGGAGAGACGTACCCAGACCTTCCAAAATCCCTTAATTAAGGAATATACCTTAAATCATATTAGGGACTCGACTATAATTTAAGGTATATTCCTTAATTAAGGGATTTTGGAAGGTCTGGGAACCCCTAAACCCTAAACCCTAAACCCTAACCCCTAAACCCCTAAACCCTAAACCCCTAAACCCTACCCCCAAAGCTACCATTGAGTGCTCAGGATTCCAAGGCGAAGATCGAAGGCGACCTTGTGCGCCTGAAGGCAGATCTGGGAGTTTCCGAAAATTATGGGGGTACCTTTAAAGGGTTCCTTTAAAGGGGTACTATAAGGGTACTATAAGGGTTTGTTCTATAAAGGGTTTGGGGTTTAGAATTTCCGAAAACTATAGGGGTACGTTATATTGGGGTCCTTATAATAAGGATCCTACCATTTAGGGTACTATACTAGGCTCCCCTATTTTCGGAACCTCCCATCTACCGTCCCTCAGGCTTTAGGTCTTCTAGGGTTTACCCCAACCCTGAATAACCTACCTGTTTAGGGCTCCTTATTATGATTCCCATATAAAAGTCCTTAAAAAGGTAGGTCCTTCAGGGTTAAGGTAGGGTTTAAGGTTTCAGGGGTCTCCTTTCTCGGGTTTTGGGTTATTTAAGGTTCAGGGTTGATCGCCGACTTCTTAACGATAGCACAAGAGCTTGCATGATGACTTCTGGTATTGTTAACTGGGCTGCAGCTGTGGGTAGTAGTGCAAGCAGTAACAGTAGTAGTAGTAGTAGTAGTAGTAGTAGTAGTAGTAGTAGTAGTCGTAGTAGTCGTAGTAGTAGTAGTAGTCGTCGTAGTAGCAGCAGTAGTAGTAGCAGTAGTAGTAGTAGAAGTAGTAGTAGAAGTAGTAGTAGTAGCAGTAGTAGTAGTAGTAGTAGTAGTAGTAGTAGTGGTAGTGGTAGTGGTAGTGTTAGTGGTAGTGGTAGTGGTAGTGGTAGTGGTAGTCGTAGTACTACTACTACTACTACTACTACTACTACCACTACTACTACTACTACTACTACTACGACCACCACCACCACCACCACCACTACTACTACTACTACTACTACTACTACTACTACTACTACTACTATTACTAGGCAGCAGTAGTAGCAGCAGTAGCCATAGTAGCAGCATCCGTTTTCACGGCATTTACAGTACCGTCGTAATGTTGTACTCACATGCTAACCATCGCTTGTCGGACTGCCGGGACACATTGGACTCCTGAAAAGAAACAAGGATTGGGCCGTTTTATTCATGTGCGGTACGAGCGATTTGCGACAACTGCCTCGTCGACTTGAGTGATTCATGCATGCCGTCATGCTGCCGGTGTTTCAATTCCGGCTGCGCTTGAACGGAAGTTGCCTTGCGAACTAGGTTTTCACTTTGTCGACCTGTTTCGAGTTCACATTTGTAATAGCAGGGCGAAGTGCAAGTGCAAGTATTTTCGGGCTGATGCATGCTGAACAGCATACACGGCTGCGGCGGGCCTTGCCCCCCCATTACAGGGACGAGGCTTTTTGCGTTGCCAGTGTAGCAATAAGATTCAAGAGTGACAACCGTAAAGGGGGTAAGCGAACCTGACAACAATACATTAATAAGCAGTCCGTACGCAAATCCATGACCCCCAAGAAACACGAAGCAGTTTCCACCATTGATCCCCAAGTAGACAATGTAATTTCCGATGGCCAGAGGGCGCAAGCAAGTGACATCCTTTCCACGACTTTCAACGGGGTTTCTTTCAGTACATCCTCATCCATCCGAGCCGCCGTCGATGCGAGTCCCCCTGCGGCCACCATTCCCCGGACCATTGCGAATCCAGATCGCCACGAATGAGTCGCATACTGTATGGTAGTACAGGGTGCTATAAGGGCTCGAGAATGATTTCTTGGTGGGTCAAGTTTCCAAGAGGTGTCTTTTGTTCAGTTTTTTATTCAACAAAGTGTTTCCTGAACCGTCTAATGCCGTTGAACCCCCAAATCTTCTACCCCGACCCCTTCAATTATATGAAGCCCTTGGAAGGCCTCAAATCGAATGAAACCCCCAAACCGAGAGAACCCCTGCTAAAATCAAATTTTGATAGAACCCCTGAACTCTACATCCCTGTGGAACCCTGAATGCCCTGAACCCTGGTCGCCAAACTCCTTGGGCAGGCCCGTGAAGCCTTTTTGGAGTCGGAGGTTGGGACAACTTCCAAGGAGGTGGAGGAGCTGAAAGCCGAGGCCAGCCTGGAGGGATGTTAAGTTGTTTTGCCACCTATTCATGATCATTTAATAACAATAATAATAGAAATAAATTCAGTATTGGATTGTTTTCGAAGTATTCGTATTGTTGTTGCAAAGTTATATTCTATTGCATTACATGACATGCCATTACACTAGAGTTAAATATATGTTATATCAGGACTTTAAACTTTGTATCCATTATATATATATAGGAGATAAGGGCTACTCTATATGGAGCCTATGAGACCTTTAAATCAAGGGTTCTGTTCGGCTGCACTGACAAGCCCAGGGCTTGAGAGGGTTGTTTGTAAGGAGTGAGTTTAGGTATTATGGGCTTGAAGTTTTCACGGTTTGCGTTTCAGGGTTTGGGGATGTTTGGGTGTTTGGGATAGGGTTTGGCGTTAGTTTAGGACTTGGGGGCTTTAGGTTTTAGGGTTTTTGAGACACACCAATGGGCTTATATCGAGATCAGAATGGTTTATGAGAGCATTCCCCCTAGAGTCCCCATAGTTGCATACCAAGTATAGCCCAACATGTTTGCTGACTAGCAATCTCAGCGGTTCTTCAGGGTTTGTCTGGACTTCCAGTTTCAGGCTTCAGTGTTTAAGGAGATCAGGTTCTTTTTTAGTGTTTTGCGGTTTCAGCGGTTTGTTACATATGACATATGCGTGTGTATATATTTATATATACATATATATATATATATATATATGAATCTCTGTGTGTGTGTGTGTGTGCCTTGGCTGGCTACTCTGTCAGGTTTTGTTTTAGGGATTCGGTGCCGTAAGGGGTACAAGTGTATTTTGGGGGCCTTTGGGGCTTTTTGAGTGTTAAGGGTTTCGAAGTGTTGTGGTTTAGAGTTTAGAGTGTAGGGCTGTTGGGTTGAAGGGTTTAGTGCTTCAAAGGTGTTGGGGTTTTGGGGTCGGTTTCGCGAGTGAATCCTTGAACTGTACCCAGAGAGCCCAATACCCCTTAATTAAGGAATATTAAATCAAGAATATAGCTTAAATCATTTTATGAAGTCCTATATAATTTAAGCCATGTTACTTAATTAAGGGGTATTGGGCTCTCTGGGCAAGGAGGAGCACAATCAGAGGTCTGAACACGGAGTACTGCCGTTCGCTCGCATCCCTTTTCTGCTCATGTGGTAAGAAACTTCAACTCCTGTTGTATTTATCCAGGTCTTCTATTGCACAAACTCTGCAAGTGTTATACATCATGAAACCATATATCTCCCTTAAAAAATCGCACTACGAACCAAGTTCTGATTCCAACGGCCCCTAAATACCCCAATACCTCAATTTGGTTTTCGGGTTTATACTAGGAGGGTCGCGGGACTTCGTAAGTAGATATTTTATAGACTTCTAAGTACCAGAAACCCCAATTTAAGGGTACTTACTTCTCTATAAACGAACTACTTTACTACTTAGAGGCTCACACCCTACCCTTTTTTTAAGATACCTAGTTTTATGGTTAGGAACTGTTATATAGAAAAGTAGATACCCCTAAAAAAGGGGGTAGGGTATGAGACTACAGGTAAACCCACTGTAGCCCTCATAGTAAGCCTTAGAGACCCCTTGAAGGGAACCTTATTCTAATTATTAAGGCCCGTATATTGCTTCCCAGTCAAGGGCTCTAAGTGAGCCCCCGTTGGAGGCGAAGACTTTCACCGACCGACTGAAAAAGTTAGAGGCCGCGAGAGCCAAGGAGAAAGCTTCCTACAAGGAGCATTTAGGGTATAGGGGTTTAGGAGTTTAGGGTTTAGGGGTTTAGGGTTTAGGGGTTTGGGGTTTAGGGGTTGAGGGTTCAGGGTTTAGGCAGCTTCGGTTTTTGTTAGAAGAATCCCCAAGGGTTCAAAGTACCCAAGAATGAGGTACTTGGGTTTAGGATATCAGTCATGTCGGTTAGGAAGTTGGAGAGTATATGATTACTAGGTTACTAGGTACTTGGACCCAGGTTTCATACGGCTTTGTTGTAAGGCTGTAGACTGAAGTCTCATGGGTGGCTCTTCCACAAAATGGTTTAGTTAGCGTGTTATAAGTTCTGTAGGGGTTTTGGAAGGATTTTGCATTCGTTCCATAGGGATGTTTGCATGTTTGCGCTTTGCGCTTTGAATGGTTTCGTCAGGTTTGGGTAAGATTGGGTAAATGGCGAAGAAGGGCTTCTATGGGGCTTCCGGATGCTGGATTTGAAGTCAGGGTTCAGGATTTTGGACATTTGTTCTGGATTTTGTGTTTTCCTGGTTTGGGGTTTAGGGGTGTAGTTGGGCGGATCAAATTTGACTCCACTTGCTATGGAAACGAAACGCCCTAAACGAATTGCATCCTAGGTCCTGATCCACATACTCTTAAACTCCAAACTCTGAAATCCTACGCCCCAAAAACCCCTAAACCCTAAACCCTAAACCCTAAACCCCTAAACCCTAAACCCTAAACCCTAAACCCTAACCTCTAAAACCCCTAAACCCCAAAGCCTCTTTCAGGAGTCGACGAAAGACCGGGAGCTCACGGTGCAGGCAGGAGTTTTGCGGGATAAGTTCGGTCGACGGCGCGGTTTAATGATTTTAAGTCCTTTCCCTAAGACTCCAAATAGCCCATAGTAGGTGGTATTTATAGGCTTTAGATCCCAAAGTAGCTACTGTTTGTATACTTGGAGTCTTAGGGTTTTAACATCGGGGGCCCCAATAATCAGAACAGGGCTCCGTTAAGGGTGCCTTCAAAGTGTTTACTCTGAGGGTCCTACATGGTTACCCAGAGAGCCCAATACCCCTTATTTAAGGAATATGGCGTAGAATATGTAGGGCTTCATATAATGATTTAAGCAATATTCCTTAATTAAGGGGTATTGGGATCTCTGGGTACTATAGTATTGACTCCGGCATTTAGGCGCCTTAGTAATTAGCAGTGGTATTCCTTAGGGTTTCATAGTCGTGCTATTTCATACCTATAGGGTCATACCTTACCCTTGTTAGGGTTACCTGCTTTTATTGTCAGGACCTGTTATATAGTAATGCAGGTACCCTAAACAAGGGGTGGGCCTTACCCAATAGATCTCAACCAAATGTTCCAATTGTAGAGGTCCCAACATCACGACATCATTCTCCGGCTTCGGGGTCAAGAACGGGCTACAAGTTCCTAAAAGGTAGAATCATAGGAACTGCGGAGAGTGTTGTCGCGGCCCTAGACACTGAAATTTTAGAGCCTTTAAACCATGAACCCGCCGTAAAGCCGCCACTTAAGTTCTAAACCACGGGGGCTGTCTTCGATATGGTTGAGTCCCAGGTGGGGGCTCAGGCATTGAACTCCAAGCTGGCATGAGTCCACTGATGCCGGGTTCGAAGCAATGTTTGTCCATGGTTATAGTCATAGTAACGGGGTCAGAGTAGTTATTTTTACAGCAATAACGAACCCAATGGAAAAGACATTGCTATGGTAACCTTATTCCTTAGGGTTCCGTGTTTTTTAATGTAATGCATGATACTCTAGACCCTGTTCCAATTTATTCAGCCCCTCTATCATCTGGTTGAAGTAGGCTCCTGGGTCTATGCTGTTTGTATGAAACTTAAAGTGCCGAGATATCTTTTATGGGCTCATGGGTTTTAGAAGTACAGGGTACGACAGGTGCTTCGTTACAGGGATGGTTTTGGCTTGTGCAGGCCTAGATAGAGGCTAGAGGGCTTTGAGGCTTTGGCTCTGCGTGTTCTGTTTCAACAGCAGTCGTATGAGCAGTATGATATAGGGGCCTGTGTGATTGCCTATACTATCTTGGTCTAGATAATTTTAGTGGTGTACAACATACCTCGAGACTCGAAACACTATTCGAGTCATCAAGGCCCCTACATGAGAGCATCGGAGGTTTAGGGTTTTGGAGCTTAGGGCTTGGGGTTTGGGGTTTACCTTAACCCTGGGTAACCTACCTATTTAGGGTTCCTTATTATGGTTTCTTTATATAAGTCCTTAAAAAGGTAGGTCCTTCAGGGTTAAGGTAGGGTTTAGGGTTCGGGGTTTAGGGGATCTGAGAGTTTGGGGTTTCAAGACTCTAGGCTCTGGTGCCGACAAGTAACGAAGTCCAAATTCGTAAAGCCCTTATAAAAACCTAACCCCTAAACCCCAAGCCCTAAACCTTGAGAGAAGAGGTCGTGAAGAAAGCCAAGGGCATCGTCGAGAGCTTTTACCAGACGAAGGCCAGGTGGTTTTTTTGCAAGAAGTCAACTCTCCAGGATGGTAGCCTTAGGGTTTATAGGGATCTATAAGGTTTAGGGTTTAAGGTTTAGGGGTTTAGGGGTTCAGGGTTTTAGGGTGTAGGGTTTAGGGTTTGGGGTTTCAGGTTCTCAGAGAGCCCAATACCCCTTAATTCAGGAATGTAGCTTGAGTCATAATATGAAGTCCCATATAATTTAAGCCATATTCCTTAATTCAGGGGTATTGGGCTCTCTGGGTTCTAGGTTTAGGGAAAAGGGTTCAGGATCGAGGTGAGACGTCAAACTTCAAGATTGTAGGCTGAGGGCTGCAGGTTTCGGATGCCAAAGCCTCTGCTTCAAGACCCCTAAGCCCTACACCCCGAACCCTAAATCTCCTGAACCCCTAAATGCCCTGAACACTGAACCTTTAAACCCCAAACCCTAAGCACCCTAAACCTCAAAACTCAAAACCCTGAACCAATTGAGCCGTAAAGCCCTCCCTAAACCCTAAACCCCTCTAAATCCCAAATCTCAGTTTCAGTTGCTCTGGGGCCTCCAACTCCTGGAGCGACTTTATAGGCTTCAGGGTCTACCTGAACCTGCCCCAAACCGAGGGTTTGGGGTTTAGGGTCTACCTAAACCTACCAAAACCTCGTGTTTTGCGTAGGGTCCTCATTTTCAGTGTCATCGAGGCTTTATGTTAGGACACTAGCAAAAGTAAGTAAGTTACCGCAGGTTAAATTTTTGAGGTAGGGGCCCCCAATTACAGAAGCCAAATGTCAACCCCCTGATTCCCTAAGCCCCCAAGCAGAGCGCCCCCCCCCTGTTTGCCTACAGTATCCCTGCACCCTATAAGGGTTCAGGGTTTAGGGGTGTAGGATTTAGGGTTTAGGGGTTTAGGGTGTAGGGCTTAGGGTCCCTAAACCCCTAAAAGGGTCCCTAAGGCCTCCACCTCCACTAGCTCCGATACACCGCCGCAAACCACATCTTCTCGAACGCAGCCTGCTTTCACTGAGTTTTTTCATATAATTTCTGCGGACCTCAATACTGAAACTGAAAGCTTCGTTATATACTCGATAACCAAACCCTAAGTGGCTTGATTAGGCCCTGAACCCGAGGAGTTGTAACTCAAGTCTGAAGCCAGGCACCCTACAACCCCCTTGTACTTTTAAAGACGCCCGTCTAGAACCCCTTCATAACAATCCAAAAACCTCGATACAACCCTAAACCCTCAAACCCTAAACCCTAAAGCCCACTGCAACCCTAAACCCTAGTCCCTGAACCTTCAACCCTAGGGAAACCCTACACCCTCGGCTAAACCCTAAACCCCTAAACCCTAACACTCGGGCCCGAAACCCTAAACCCTAAATCTGGGAAGCTTGAACAAACTCCGGCCGTGAAAGAACGGAGGATCCCCAGGGGCTGGTCCAAGTGCACGACCACAAGGCGTGTGCTTCTGTCGGCTGAGGGATTTAGGGGTTTAGGATTTTAAGGGTTTAGGAGTTTGAGGGTTGAGGGTTTTGAGTCAGAGTTTTAGGGGTTAGGGTTTTTTAGGGTTAAGGATGCCTCAGTCAGTTGTTTCAAAGGTTTTAGGCTTTAGGCTGTTTAAGCGCTGTTGGTATTGTTTCATGAGAGCTTTCCATGTTTAAGGCTTTCTGTTAGCTCTGTTGGTGTTGTTTCAAGAGGGTTTTCCATGCTTGAATTTTTGTTCGGGCTTTACATGGGCTGTAGAGGGGCTTAAACGCGAGACGGGCAGGCCGAAACACGTTTTTCACAGTGCTTCTGCAGTCGGTCCAACCATGATGATATGCATGGTACAACTTTGTGAGCTTAGAGCAGCCAAAACCCATAAACTAGATTCGTGCACTTAGTTTCAGAATATGAGAGCTCGTTGACAACTTTTGCTGTGTCTCTTCGTGACAACCGTCGCAGCAGGGGGGCGCTAAGGGTGGTAGTAGTAGTAGTAGCAGTAGCAGCAGTAGTAGCAGTAGTAGCAGTTATAGCAGTAGTAGCAGCATAAGCAGCATAAGCAGCAGGAGTAGTCGGAGTGGGAGTGGTAGTAATGGTGGGACTAGGAGTAGCAGTCGCAGGAGTAGTACCAGCAGCAGCGCACAAGCAGTAGCATTTAGATAAAGAGATTGCCAGTAATTTGTATTGCTGTCGTTCATCCTGTCGTCGCGGTGGTGGCAGACGCTCAAGATGTTCCAGCTGTCGTAGTTCTTCCTGCATTTGTAGGAGTGATGTGGGGCTGGAGACTTGTGGAGCAGGGATGCCCCAACAGTCCACCTGCCTGTTGCTGCAAGGGTGTAGGAGATGTTTCTTGGTGTGTTTGGAGGTGGATGCAAGTGATGAGCCCAAGAAGGACCAGCCTCAGGGGCAGAATGTGTGTCCTTCAAGGTCATACCCTAAACCCTAAACCCCTATACCCTACCCTAAACCCTAAAACCCTAAACCCTAAACTCCTATACCCTAAATCTTTAAAAGGTCTAGCAGTCTAGCAGTTGCTCCCGTTGAAGATTTGTGCTTTGGAGCTCGGGGTCTCCTTGATTTGAAATCTGACAGTCTCAAGATACGATATTTCTTCTGTTCTACCAGATATAAGGATATATGTGTATATATATATATATATATATATGGTAGCCACCTTCGATGCCATTATTCTCGCCGTGAGGCTGAAGCTGCTGTAAGAACGACAGTTTGCGGTGGCCAACAGCGGCATGTGCTCGACGTAAAGATGCAGCAATATCAACATTAAAGTTCGTGTTGATTGCGACAATGGGCGTGGTAGCGTGGCAGGTGCTTCTCCGGGTCCAAGGGGTCATGGTAGTATGGCTAGCATGCAGGGGACGCACACTTGGCCACTAGTTGCGACATGTTCTGCTGTACTCGTAAGTTCGGGATCTAAACACGGAGTTTTGCAACAAAGAGATCAATGGGCGCCCATGGTAATTATTGTCTGTTCATTAACAGTGAGGCCGGGAAGATGCCGATAATACGGTTGATGATATAAATCCTGCATTACCTCAAGGACCCTAGACTATGGGAATTATGGTATATTCCTTTTTATGGGTCATGCAGGATCTATATCATCAACAGTAATGATCACTCAGTTGTACAAATGGCAACCCGCTGGGAGGAGAAGAAGGCTCCCCCAGAGACTTGGACCCTGGGCAGCTCCAGGACGCTGAATTTCTTAGGGTTGAGGGTTTAGGCTTTGAGCTTTGAAGTTTAGGGTTTAGGGGTGAGTGTTACTCTTACTTATACTGTTACAACTACATGCACGTATTAGTAGCGTTACTACGGTTATATTAGTCGTGCCATTGCTCTTATTACCGTTAGTATTGCCATTAGCATTGTCATTCTTATGGTTGCTGTTTGCTTTGCGGGTGGAAGATTTAGGGTTTCGGGTCAAAGTAGATTGACCCGTTTGAGGTTTCGAAGTGGAGGCCACCATGTCCCCTGAATGAACCGTTATCCAATGTAAAGGCCCTACATTATATGGGAATTCTAACAGTCACCCCGCAGCTACTAGGTAGCAGCCATGAGTCCAAACTTTGCAGAATAGTAGGCTGAAGTTTTATGACCCTTCATGATGGGGTAAAACCCTTAAACCGGTGTGTTTGTGCCTCTGCAGGTATAGTTCTGATTCAGTTCTGATGTTCTGGTTGCTGCGTTTCACCACAAAATGTACTACCGCTACTAAATGAAACGGTGGATCGGCATTTTCGTCCTCCAGATGTAAATACTTCTACGATGGTTATTAGTTGCAGACATATATGAACACATGGGGGCTGTCCTACAACCGCTGTCTGTAAGTTTATAGCTCAAAATGGTGGTTTTGGAACTGGTCAAGAGGGCAGCGGCAGCAAGGCAGGGCAGAAGGGCACGGCACAACGACGGGGTAGCGGATTGAGCCCGAGGCATTCAGATACAGAGACAAGCCTCCGCTCACTACTCCATGCCAGGTCTCCAGGTTGGATATAGGAAGGCGGTGGTACGGTATGTAAGCCCTGAGCCCTTGCCGGCTTGACTAGCCGTCTCGCTCAGCCTGCTCGTCGCCGCACCCGTTGTAGAACGACACCCCAAGCATGAGGACCTTTCCAAAGCAAGTGAAATTTGGCACAGTAAGACCTCCGAGACATTTGAGTACGAAGCCACAGTATCGTAGTCTTTCCTAAGTCGAAAGCTGCGGCCAGCTCTCCTTTATGAAAAGCCCCTTACACCTGAATGCCCATAGCCCCAAACCCGAAACTCTCAATCCCCTTTCGTACAGAATGCTTGTAGAACTCCCTGGGTTTGGAGTACCATACTTGAATACTTGTTTTTGGCACCTGTTCCTTACAGGAACCGTTATGAAATAAAAGTCTTTGCTTTCTTTGTCCCTGGTTCAAAGTCCGGGCCCTGCTGACCCGTCTCCGGCAGGAAAGGTGGCCTTGGCCAGTCCGTCATTGCCATGCTCGACACGATCATGACAGGGGCCCAGCCATGTGGGTAGTTGTCAAAATTGTGGTTCCCTAAATATTAGGTGCCGTAATTTTTATAATGAGGACCCAAAAACGAACCCTAATGTTGACAACCACCCATGTCTTTTGTTTCGATGACCTCACCAGGTCCCCTTTAAGTGGATAGCACCCCCCATCCATGGAGACCCCCCAAACCCCAGCGTGATGATTAAGGCCCCTAGGTCACAGATCTATGCCTTCAAGGAGAATAGAAGCCCGAAGCCCTGAACCCCTAAACCCTAGATGTGAGGCTGAATCTCCAAAGGCATCATGAGGGCCTAAGTCAGGGGCCTAACTAAGTACCAACATTATCCCTTCGGGCTCCCATAATTTTAGTATAATATCCGTATCCACCGAAAGTCTTATTCGAATACATAAGGCCTTTAGATTCGGCCTACACCCAGATGCACCGTCGCAGAAAAGCCCGAAGCCTGTACGACCTCAGAAAAATTAGTATAAAGCTCGAGAAATCCCGGCCACCTGACCTGTCTTGGGCATCCTTCGCCCCCAGTCTCCGCCCAGCAGAAAGGTGGGACTTCCAGAAAGAGCAGAAGGATGCGGAGAAGGCTCGAGCGCACACTTCAGGCTTTCATTTTCGGGGTTTAGGGGGCTTGGGGGAATTTTGGGGCTGTAGAGCCGGACGTGCAGGGTCTCGAGTGCGCCGCACATGCATCACCCAAAGTCACCGTGACCACGGCCATCACCGCCGCCGCTGTCATTACCGGAAAGATGAGAATTGTTGTTTCCAGACGAAAGCTGTCGTCACTGGTGCAGCAATATGATACCAGTAGGACCGGTGTCATTTAGCACCTATCACAGCCATGTTGCTGTTTCTTATAAAGACGATCGATCCTCGGTAGACTCTTATGAAACCCTTCTGCAAGATTTGTAAGCCCTACAAAATCCCAATAGCAACCGGTAAGAGCATAGTAAAGTCCATATGGCATCTGCAACGCCCTCATAAAACCCACGAAGCCCCAACCAACCCGGAAAGCCTTGAACAGCGCCCGTATACAACAACCCCTACAGCACCGATGTAAAAACAATCGCTTATGTGACCCCCATAAAACCATTGCCACTTGTAAACCCTGTAGACCCTACTTGGAGGTTCATGGGTAGGTATAAATGAGGTTATAAGTCCCCAAATATGGGTTATATCTATAGTTATCCGACTTATGACCCCACTTAAAACTACCCATGAACCTCCAAGTAGCCCCTAAACTCTATACCCTTATAGAACTCCTATAGATCCCTTTAAAGGGACCCTTAAAGGAACCCTTATAACTACCCATGAACCTCCAAGTAAGCCCTTAACCCTAGATCTGAAGCTGTGAGGCGGAGAAGAAGGCCGATGATTCTTTGGACAAGATCCGAGAGGTCCGCCACCCACGGGCTTTCGGGATTTCAGGTTTTAGGGGTTTTGGCGATTTGGGCGGTTTAGGACTTTTGGGGTGCAGAGTTTAGGTGGCTTAGGGTTTTAAAAGCCCAGTGGCTTTTGAGGTTTGATCCGGGGTTCATAACGGTCCGCTTGTATACGGCCTTACAAGGCAGTCATACAGGCTTCAGAAGTTGATATTGATTATGGAGTTATATAACTGTTTTGCAAGGTTGTGTTTGTTCAGGTTCAGGGGTTCAAGGGCTTTCCTGTTTTGTGGGGATTTTCAGGTGGGGTGTTAAGGATTTAGGTGTTTAGGGTCGGGCTTACGGGGTATGCGCTTAAGGGTTTGAGGTTTTCACAAGGACCAGGACTGTAGAATTCGGATTGCAGAGGATCTTATAAGGGTACTGGGAGGGTTGTAGCATTATGGGTTTCGATATACCAGTCCCTCGACGACACGACCCGTGATGTCAAGGATTCCCGAGACCACGAACCGGAGCTGGAGGAGCAGGTTCAAATGAGGCTGGAAGCCATCACCGAGCAACAGAGGGAATGCAGTGGCGATCAGTGCCCAGATCAAGCCCTTGTGCTCGAGCAAGCCCCGGATATGTCCGTAAGGGTTCTACTCACCAACGATGAAGTTCGTTGTCTGCCCCCCCCCGAAACATGTGAGACTATCGGCTTCAGCTGAAATTAATCTGGGGTTTAGGGGCCCATTACACGATACTTATTATGGACCCCCCCCACAAATAGTATTGGTAATTATTACAAGGCCCCCATAACATGTCTTTCGTTCTTTCACGATTCACAGGGATCCACGCGTGTGCGGCATAGCATGCCTTGAGCACCGGCCTAAACCCCTTACAAGGCCTCTATACTAAATCCTTATAGGGGGGTTAGGGTTTAGGGCCTAGGGCTTAGGGTTGAGGGTTTAGGGTTGTGTGTGAATGATGGTCAAAGGGGTGTGTAGGGGTTGTGGAATTTTGCGTCTTAGGGTTTGGAGGCTTGTCTTTTAGGATGCCGCTCAAGGGTTGCATGTAGCCGCAACGCACAGGAACTTGGATTGTCTAGGTGTTATACCCTGACCGACTTTTTATAGGATCCAGGAAACGGAACCTTCAAATAATGCAGTACTTTCACCGATATGGTGGTGCCAACTGTTATAGTGGTTCTCGCTTCAGATGCATTCCGAGCATTCCGCCCAAGAATTTAAACCCGACCTTTCGAACACCGGATCTTCAACAAGAGAACGTTGCAGGGTTTCGGCTGAGAAGATGGATAATAGAGGGGCCTAAGCAATTACCAAAACTATGTTGGTGGCTTCGCCTTTTTTTATCACTTGAACCCTGTTCGATTCATTGAGGCCCCTACATCAAGGATTCTCGTACAGGTTCATGGCAGCTTTGGGTTTAAGCTTGCAGTGCTTCCTTGTCGGGGAAGTTCGACATTTTACAGAGGAACACATCGGGCCACTCCCATATGGGATATAGCGACAGTTATCCTACATACACACAACACCACGAATAACGAACCTCCAAGTAGGGGTTGCAAAGGCTCGAAGCCCCGGGAGTGAGAAAGGAGCGTGAAGTCCCCAATCATACCCTTTGGATTCAGGGTTTAGGGTGCACGGTTCAGGGTGCAGGTTTAAGGGTTTAGGGTGCAGGGTTTAGGGTTTTGAGTTCAGGATGTGGGGTTTTGGGTCCAGGGTTTAGGGTTTAGGGTGCAGGGTTTAGAGTTTAAAGGGTTCAGGGTGTAGGGTTTCGGGTTCAGCGTGTAGGGTTTAGACGGTTTAAAGTTTGAGAGTTTAGGACACGACGAAGCTCTTCGACAAGAAGCTGGCGCATGTGTCGCGGCTGCTGCAGGCGCGCCAGTGAGTGGGCGTAGAACGAGTCGAACACTTACTATAGGCGCCCAAATAATTACCCATACTGTTTCAGGGGCTCCTTATTGTAATTATGGTATAAAAGGGCCCCCAACCCCTATTCTAATCATTAAGGCCCCAATATAGGTTGAATGCGAGGGTCTCTGGGGCCTTTAACCACGACGCTGAAGTGCGAAACCGGACTCGCCTTACTCCCTCAACCCTAAGCCAGACCCGCCCTCACCCTGGACCTTAGGGGTACTTTCAAATAAATTTTGATTTTTGGTTAGTATAATTTCTAAGAAACAGCTATAATTACAATTTGTGCTAGGGTTCTAAGTTCAGTATAGGGACGGTGAACTGCATAGTCTCAGTTTTGAGCTGATGGACTGTTGAAGCAGGTGTTATGACCTATACTCTACTCTTAACTAGTACCTGTAAGTATACACACAGGCATCGTGGTGGAATAGCAACAAGTATGAACAATAATTTCGTAAGTATCGAAGACCCCCTGCTTGAAGCAATAAACCTTAAACTCTACACCGATACCGTAAACCCCAGGACGAAAATAAAAAACCTTCAGCCTCAACATGCTTGCAGAACCTCACAATGTCCTGGCACAACCTGTAAACCTTAAGCCCTCACCCCTCAATCCTAAACCCTAAGCAGCCTGTAAAGCCAACATCCCTAAACCTTTAAACCCTAAACCTCCGAACCCTAAACCTCTAAACCTCTTAGCCCTAAACCTCTGAACCCTAAACCCTTAAACCTCTTAACCCTAAACCTCTGAACCCTAAACCTCTAAACCTCTGAACCCTAAACCTCTGAACCCTAAACCTCTAAGCCTCTCAACCCTAAAACCAGGAGAAAGCCAGGAACGCCGAGGAACTGACTCAGGCCTCCTGGGTCCAGCATTGAATGACCGGGGAGCTTCAGAAAATCAGGAGCGCTTCATCTACAGTCTCCTCAGGAATTACTTGTTTAGTTTTGTTCAGAGAATTAAAGATGTTTATGGCGGTTCTAAGAAGGGCATAAAAAGAAAGACCCTAGAGACTATGGGGTTGTTTGGGATTTCGGGCAGAGGAGTAGGAGGTACCCGAAATACATCGCCTAACGAAGAGGAGCTCACTGCACTTAACTTTGTTTAGTAGTGATTGGAGGAATGGGATACAATTATAACTACGATTACTACCATTCTTCCATTCCCTACTAACCAAATGTAAGTGTAATCTGCCTTGTTTAGATGTCCATAGAAAACGGCGCTCAGAGTTTGGGGGTTTCGGTCCGCGGTATGTGGAGTTTAGAGTTCATAAAGGGAACTCCAGAAAGTTGGAATATGGATTAATGGTAGGATCCCCTATAATTCACCTTAAAGGGGTTACGATAATGATATTCCAACTTTCTGGCTTCTACTGTAGGGCTTTAGCAGTTGCGGTCTTGGTCCGTCTCGGAGGTTTTCGAATGGAGCGCACATCCTTGAGAGTCTCCGTCGATAAAGGTTTGGGGCTCCAAGGACGATGATTTTTCTGCGTGTTCTGATCTCGGGCTTACAGGTCTGGGGGTAGGCACAAGGGATACAGCGTCCGGGGATTTCCGCACATATAGGGGACTAATTAGGGCCAGTCACAACCAGACCCCTTGGAGAGCAAACCCTTAAACCCCGAAGCCCTAAATCCCCAAATCAACATTTCCCCCCTAAGCCCTAAACCCCCCTCACCAAAGCCCTCCGAACCGATAGGTTAAGGCGGACTCCGATTTGAAGACCACTGCGCTGACGGCCACATCAGGGGCCCTCTCCAAGTTGGAGAAGGCTGCGGCAGCGCTTTGAGAAAGTGGAGTGGCTTTAGATATGTTTTGTTGATATGGATGTTAGGGGTTTAGGGTGTTTGGTAATTTAAAAAGGCTCAAGGGTTTTCAGTTTGAACTTTTTCGCTCTTGGGTATGTACATACATATATAGATATGGGACCTTCAGAATCAGAACTATACTTGGAGGTTCATGGGTAGTTACAAGTGGGGTTATAAGCCCCCAAATATGGGTTGTAACTATAGTTATCCTACTTATAACCCTACTTATAACGACCCTAGAGGGAATCGACGTAAGGGGATACAGCCACTGATTATTCCGACCCGTATGTTACTGCAAGCCTTGAGGACCTTGCTTCATGCTCCGGCCCAGACCATGCAACGGTTGATGATATGAATCCTGCATTACCTTAAGGACCCGAAACTATGGTAATTATGGTATATTCCTTGTTATGGGTAATGCAGGGTTTATATCATCAACCGAAGTATCTTCCAAAGGAGATGAGTTCGACCCTCCAAGGCTTTAGAGTTCACGGTTTGGTTTGGTATCCTAAATCCTAAAGCTTTAAGAGGTTAAGGGGTGTAGGGAATTATCAAACAAATGCAGGATCAGACGTTTTGGAAGTGGCGCTGTAAGAGCAGCGCTACAAGCGGGCTGGCTCCTCCCAACTACCTCGTACCCCTGATTGCGGTACTGATAAGCAATCCGAAAACCCTGCAGCAGACAAACTAATTCTTCAGCAAGTTCCCACATCCGTCTCCTGGACAGCTGAACTCTTCTTCTTGAGTCCTCTTGGTCTTGGTGTACATGTAAGTCAGACCTTGATGAGTCCCGGCCGAAGCACACGAATCCGACAATCCGAAAGATTCATTGTGTTGTTGGTGTTTGAGTTGTTTTTGTTTTCGAAGGGCGGGGGCGAGGGGTTGGTATGTGGGCAGTTTGGGATTACACATGTCAATGTCGGGCCGACAGGAGTGCACTGACCTCCTCGCCAACTTCCAGAAGGTCGAAAAGGAGAGGAAGAGGCAGAGCTGCACAAGCCAGGAAGTCAGGGGCAATGAACGTTAAAACTAATCTTTCAGAGGTTCTTGCCCAGGGCATGCATTTGCACGAATCGTAGTTCCATGTGGTAGTCTGCAGGTCGCGTGTTCTTGGCAAGACATGTGGAGGTGGGGCCGACCTTAGAGACCCATAGTTCAGAAACGCCTACCTTAACCTACCGAAATTTAGAATCTAAATAGATTCTGCATTGGAGCTATATCAGGAAGCTACAAAACTGTGGGTTGGGATAGGTGAATGTTATCCTAATTCCTCCACATAGTACGCCCTCGGCGCAGCCACAATCGCCGCGCAAATGCCTGTCCGCAAGGCTTACCAAAAGCAGTAAGCCCCAACACCTCAAAGCCCAAGCCTTTAGCCTTTGTAGGGTCCTTAGGAATTTCTCAGCCTTTAACCTTTGTAGGGTCCTTAGGAATAGCCCCCACTATAAAGACCAGATACGCCCAGCAAAAACTCGGCGGCTAGACTCTGAACCCCAAGGTCTGAAACCGTTCGGTTTAGCTTAGCCTCTAAACCCCAAAACCACAGCCCAAAACCGTAATTAAACCCTGAAGCCCTAAACCCGAAAACACCCCTAAAGCCTCTAGCCCTTAACCCTAAATGCCCTAAATCCTAAAGCCCTGAACCCTGAAGCCCTGCACTCTAGAGCCCTAAGGCCTAAACCTAAAGCCTTAAACCCTAAAGCTCGAAAGCCCTAAAACCCTTAAACCCAGAAGCCCTAAACTTTAAAGCCCTAAAACCCCAAACCCTTTCCTTACACCCTAAAGCCTTAACTGCTAAACCCTAAACCCTAAAACTCTTAAAAAGACACGCTAAAGCCCTAAAGCCCTAAAGCCACAAGGAACCCTAAATCACCAAAACCCTAAAGCCCTAAACCAAAAACCCCAAAACCCCTAAAACCCTCAGGCACTAAACCAAAAACCCCAAACCCCCAAAACCCTAAAGCAGTAAAACCCCAAACCCCCAAACCCTAAAGCCCCAAAGCCTAAGCCCTAAACCCTAAAACTGCCCTGGGAGAGGCAGATCTGGCAGCTGAAGGCTCGCGGTTTTCCCTGACCCCAGTAGTACCCCCAAAGGACCCAATAAAAAGCGCTACTATTCGGGTTCTATAAGGTTCCCTTAAAAGGGTTACTATAAGGGTTCTACTATAGGGGCCTTAAGAATTAGGTACTCGGTTTTAGGATAGTAGTTATGTAGGTTAGGATTTGGGTGAATATATGATTCTTAGGTACTTGGACCCTTGGGGTACCCTTATTCCCTTTTGCAGTCCTAGGTTCCTTATAAAGTTACCCAATACCAAAAAGGGAGCCCCTCTGTATTCCTAGGTTACTGGGCATCCCTGTTGAGGGTTTAGGGTTTCAGGGCACCCATGGCACCCTTGAGGGGGGCCCTCTTAGTCTTTAAGGGGAAGCCGTCTTGGAGAATCCCAGAGGGCCCTTTAAGGGATCGGTGGAGGGCTCTGTAAGGGCTTAGAGCTTCAGGGGTTTAGGGCTAGGGTGTAGGGGTTTCGGGCTCAGGGCTTTAGGGTTTTCGGTTTGAGGTTTCGGGGTTTAGGGTTTAGGGCAAGTTTAGGGTTTAGGCGTCTAGGGCTAAGGGATTGAGGGTTTCAGAGTTTCAGGGTGAGGGGTTTACGTTCGAGGGGTTTGGGCTTGGGGTTGCAGGGCTTAGTAGGTAGCTTAATCTCATGAGAACGAACCTGTGCTATCCAGCAACATAGCAGAAAACTCGTGTTGAAGTTACGTTCGTTGCGTTTTGCTCTATCGGGACGGCTTTCTTGAGTGGCTTTGGTCTATTGTCACAGCTTGACCAGCCACGCATTGAGGATTGAGTGCCCCTTGTTCGGGCTTCCAAAGCCTATAAGCTCCGAAGTTTCGGATCAGCTCGACCCCTGTCCGTGCAATTCCATGAACAGCCAAAGACTTTGTGCGTGGCTTGGTGCTGAGGGCTTTGCTGTTTTGGCTGGTTTAGGGGTTCCGGGTGCAGACACCAAAACCCCACAGTGTAATATAGGGGCCTCAATAATTACCTACACTGTTTTGAGGGCTGTTTGTCATATTTACAGTAACTTAGTATAGTACTATGAGCGCCAAAATCCTTTTTCTAAGTGTCAAGGCCCCTGTCTCGAACCCGAAGCTCTTTACCCTCCAACCCCTCCACAGAAAGCACGAGGTCAGGATAACTTAAAACCTGTAGAACCGACCTCAAACCCAAGAGAAGCCGAACCCCTTAGACAATCCTAAACCCCACGGTCTGGGGTTCAGAGTTTAAAGGTTTGAGGTTTAGGGTCTATACCCGAACTGAAGCCCGATACCCCTACTAAAGCCTACAACCCCAAGCCCAAAGGTTTCTGGCCTAAACCCTAAACCCTCCAGACTTGCCCCCAAGGACGTTCAAGCCTTTCTGCCCTAAACCCTGAACCCTTAAAGAAAAGCCGGCCTCCCTAGGGCCCTAAACCCTAAATCCTTAAAAAGGCCAGACTTGCCCCCCCCCGCTAGGACGTGGCTGACATCCTCTCCGGGGCGACCGTGGGGGCCCGCACGGGCGTGACTGCGGGGCTCTTGGCTCTGGAGTCCCTGCAAGCCTGAGGCCTGATGTTGCGTTTCACCCATGCGCGCTTCTGCCTTCGGAGCTACCCTGCTACGCAAATGAGTATGTATGTATGTATGTATGTATGTATGTGTATGTAGGTATGCATATAGATATATACATATATATATATGTACATATGTACATATGTCTATGTCTATGTCTATGTCTATGTTTGTGTCTATGTCTATGTCGATGTCTATGTCTATGTCTATGTATATGTATATGTGTATGTATGTGTATATGTCATGTGTATGTTTGTATATATATATATGTGTGTGTTTGTATAATTATATGCATACACACATATGTATATTGCGTGGGTAGATGAATATATAGATGGATGGAGAATAGATAGGTTCAGGGTATCGGGTTAAATGTATAGTGTCCGAGAATACGGTATCCATTGAGTGCGTCCCTGACCAGGTAGCGAATGTACTTAGGGTGCTCAACATGCAGAGCTACAGCTGACACCGAAGTCGTTTCTGACCGCCTGCCCAGACAAAAAGACGTGAGCTGTGGTTTCGCGATTCTGGTTTCTTTCTGGTGTGTTGGGGCTGCTGTTTTCCATCTGTGGTGTCCATATGTATACCCTAGGGCCCCAAGTCCTAAAACCCAAAACCCCTAATTAAGCCGAACGTAGTTGTGGTTTGGGTTTCAGGTTTTTGGGGAGAGGGTCAAGGATGATTGAAGGTATGAGACGGGACTTGTGTATGGGTTCTAGAATAAGCGATGCAAGTTAGTTCTAAAGATTGCAGGATTCGGCTTCTGTGCCCAAGCGCAGGAAATAACGGGTGGGGCTGTTGGACCCTTCGGTGGTTCGTACTTTGCCGGTGTCTTGAGGGCCTTCAGGGCTTCCGGGGCATGTTTTTAGGGCCACTGTAGGGGCCTTTATAATTGCCAATACTATTTTGGGGGTTCCGGTTCCTTACTATCACTATGTTAGAATATACCCCCGAAACCCTATTACTAAGGCCGCTGTTTTAGCATCGTTCGCCTGGAGCTTTCGGGGTTTGGAGCTCGGGTTCAGGGTTTAGGGCGGTCTGAAGCCTTGCTTCCGTCTGGCTGCGAGGGGTGGGGGGGGGGGGGGCATGTCGTGCAATGCGCCAGAGTCGTTGCTGCAACCGTCGAACACAACACCCCCCCCACCCAAAGCCTTTAAACCACCACCCTACCTGAACCCTGAATAACCTACCTTTTAAGGGTTCCAAATTGGGATTTCCTTATATAAGTCCTTGAAAATGCATGCTCTTCACGGTTAAGGTACACCCTGAATCCCGACTTCCAAGCCAAAGTCAGCTAGACGGCTTAGGGTGCGAGGTCTACCCAGAGATCCCAAGACCCCATAATTAAGGAATATGGCTTGAATTATGTAGGGCTTAATATTATGATTCAAGCTATATATTCCTTAATTAAGGGGAAATTGTGGGTACCGGGGATTGCTCTAACTCTTCGACCTCAGTCCATAGCTCCTCGAAGTAAGCTTTAGCTATGATTACTCTTACCTGGACCGCAAAAGTATGTAGAATAATGGTGCTTATAGGTTTGGGCCATTATTAAACCTACTTCTTTGTGGGTTTAGGTATTACTCTTGCTATTGCTATCACCTTTATTCTTGATATAGAGGCTGTTAGAAGTAGTACCTTATTTTGGGATCCTTATAACAAGGATACTACCATGTAGGGTACTATATTTGGGTCCCTTAATTTTCGGAAACCCCCATATATGAAGACAGTCCCTGAGGCCGATGGAACCTTATTCGCCGCGCCGCACAACCCCACCATGAAGGCACGACTCGTCAGAGCAGTAGTGACTATACCTGGGTGGTTGTGAAAATTAGGGTCCCTCTTTGTGTACCCTAAATAGTAGGTGCCGCCTTATATTAGGGACCCAAAAAGGGACCATAATTTTGACAACCACCCACCTGTAGCCCCAAGGGTCCAAAGGACCCAATAATCAGGTACTCGGTTTGGGATAGCAGTATATGTAGGTTAGGATTTCGGAGAGTATTTGATTATTAGGCACTCGGACCCTTAGGGTAGGGCTTACCCCAAATTCTAAGCCCCAAACCCTAAACCCTGAACCTAAGCGCTACTTAACTGAGATCGAGCGCGAGGCCGTCGCATCTTGACCAGTACCAAAACGAACTCGACATGTGCGAAGACGGAATCAACTAAGTGCCTATACTATGTGAGGGGTTCCTGATTACATCATGTCTAGTATGATATACCCCGAAATCCTCCCTAGCTTCAGGAGAAAAAAGCGACACGTGACTGGATTCAGCAATTTCGGACATTCAAAAGAAGATGCATAATCGTATCTCTGACAAAACTCGTGCATGCCTCACGTCACGCTTGAGAAATGTGTTCTTTGCCCCAACTTGAGATGAGAAGTGCACTACCGACGGTCCCCCGAAGAGGTTCAAAAGATGCCAAAAATCGCATTTGCAAATTTGAAGAGACACTTGAGAGATACAAGCACAATCTGCTTCCAGAAAATTAGTTCCACACATACCTACTTGAACCAATTTGTGCTCCTGCTGAAGCCTGCGCCTGCGTATGCTGCAAAAGCTACTGAAATTCTCAACTGAGCCGCGGAACTTTACGCGTAGATGTCCTCATCCATTGATGGTATTAGCACAAAGCTCAGTTTGACGCTTCGCTCAGAGCTTAGTTGATTGTTTCCAGGAAGCACCAGTCATCTGAAGCTTTGTTCACACCAGACTTCTGTCCACATCACCCCGAAATCCTATTCTAATTATTGAGTTCAATTATTCTACTCCAAACCTTAAGCCAAGGCGCAGCTGACCCCACCTATAGTCTCCATTGAATCTCCTCCTTTCGTTGCAGCCACTGTTGTTAGGAGGTAGTTTTGTAATCCAAAAAGGCGCAAAACAGGAACTGATACAGTAGAAGCCAGAAAGTTGGAATACCATTATCGTAACCCCTTTAAGGTAAATTATAGGGGATCCTACCATTAATCCATATTCCAACTTTCTGGAGTTCCCTTTATGGGGATTACAGGTAAGCCCCAAGCTGACACCAAACCCTAAACCCTGTGCACAGGCTCTTCTGGAGCGATATACACAGAGCTTTGGTCCAAGTTCGTTTGCTGGGCTTTGAGGTGTTCGTGGCTTTTGAGGCTGCATAGCCTTAGCGGCTTCCTCCCTTTAAAGGGAGCCCTATCATAGAAACCCCATATTATGCTGTAAAAGGAACCCTATTACAGAATCCTACAAAAATTGATTCTGTAGATGGCTCTATAAAGATTTTGGGGGTGAGACTTGGAATGTTTCTAAGCCCTACAGTAGAAGCCCAACAGTTGGAAGCCCCATTGCCTCGATCCTTCAGAGTAATGTATAGGGAATCCCAGCACTATTTGGCCTTAATCCGGTTTCCAACTTTATGGGGTTTACTATAAACCTTTTATAAGCCCTAAGCCCTGCACCCGATACCCGAAATCTTCAGGTCACACGCTGACGGAGGTGGATGAGGATGGAGAGCACCCGCTTTTCCCACAGAGTCGGGCAGCGACCTCGTTGGATGCGGCGATTCTTTTGCGAGGGTTCTACCTTAACCCACCAAAGCTTTTTTTTGGGGTCCCTACAGCCACATTAGGGTTTGTAAAACGAACCTACAAAAAGTAGCTTTTGGTAGGTTAAGGTAGTATGTGTTGTTTAACTAGGATGCCCAGTAGTATTCTTATTCCCTTTTTGTAGTCCTAGGTTCCTTATTCAGTTACCCAATACCAAAGGGGAGTTCCCAGGTTACTGGGCATCCTCTATAGTGAAAATATTTGTATATATAGAGCCCATAATATGACCCCTAATATAGACTGTTACAGGGTTGGGGCCAATACCCACGGTCTGGGGTTTGATGTTCGGCGTTTAGGGTTAAGCAGTTGAGGGTAGTGAGGGCAGGGTTTGGGAGTTTCTATAAGGGTTCAACACCGTTACTGTAAGGGTTCCATAGGGAGTTGAGGTTTTGTGGTTTTTGTGCTTTTGAAATTTGTCGGTCGATTGTCCTGATCAGTTGCTGCTTCTGCTCTTTTAGTGTTTGCAAGAATCGTCGCCATACAGAAACCCATTGCAGCAACCCATATAGACCCGTTCCATGGCAACTCTTATGTATGAGGCCTCAGTCGCAACCCTTACACAGAACGTATCCTTATAGTAACACGTATATAGAGCCCGTAGAGAAACCTTCCCTAGTAGTAGAGTAGGTAACCTCTAACGTTTTATGGGTAGTATAGTCCCTATATAATCCCCAAATAACCAAAAGGTTAACCTTTAGTTCCTCATGATGCCCGACAAGTAGGCTTCTAAACAGTAGGGTCAGCCGGGATAGAAGTGTTGCTCAGTCTCGCGGCCGTGGCGAGCAACGTCTGGGCCACGCGGCAGGCCAGGTTGTTGAACACATGAGGTTTAGGGATTAGGGTTCAGCGATTACAGATTAGGGTCGAGGGTCTAGGGATAAGTTCGGGGATAGTTGTTGCGCACATGAGCTGAGTCTGAGTTCTTCAAACTGCTTCCCCACTTTTGTTATTTGGGGTTTGGGGACATCAGAGTTGGGTGACTTCACGGTTGAGGTTGAGGACAGCTTAGAGCTTAGAGCTCAGCAAGAATGCTTAGGGTTTAGGGTTTAGGGTTTAGAGTTTAGGGTTTAGGGTTGCAAAGATTCTGCAATGCCGCTTTCGGAAACGCCTGAGCAGGGCGAGGGGCTTCCGTAACTGTTTCCCGTGTGCCCAAGCCGTCCTGACGGGAACACTTTGACATCCCAAAGTACGAGCGGCTGGTAGGGTGGGCTCAGTCTCGGTGTAGGGGCTGATGGCTTCAACTCGATTTCGGCGGGTTTGGAGTGAGGGCTGACTCAGGCGCACCGCAGTTTAAGGCGGAAGCCCTAGTGAGGGCACAAGGAGATGAGGTAGTAGATCATGACCCTTTGAGAAGTACCATCTCTGTCGGGAGATCTTCACCATCCAGTGTTTCGCAATCTGTGTTTGTGCCCTAGGTAGAACCTGGAGTTTCAGGGTTCAGGTATCATCCTGTTTCAGCTTTGGCGCTTTATATTGTACCAATATCTTCGAGGTGTAGGGCCTAGGGTGCAAAGGAGGGGTCAGGGTTTTCGGGTTAACTGTATTCGGGAGTGTTGGTTCGGATTGACATGATCAGGGTGTCAGCGAGGGCTCCTGGTTCATGCCCTCGGCATGCTTTGATTTCTGGTCATTGAAATCAATGGCCCATCCAGTTGACATGAAGTTTTAAGGCAGCATGCGTTCGCGTTCAGGTTGATCCTTCAGGCTGTCAAGTACCTTCAAATTAAAGTTGGCTGACACCACCGACATCCTCATCCCTTCCTGACCCCGGAAACCCTAAAACCTAAAACCCTCAACCCAAAACCCCTAACCCCTAAACCCCTAAACCCCTAAGCCAAAGCTGCTAGCTGGCCGCCTGCAATCTTAACCTGCATAGCGACCCGTGGGTTCAAGCTTTCCAGGACCCGTGGGGCCGACTGTTGCAGGATTTAGGGTTTGGGGTTTGGGCTTTAGGGTTTAGGGTTCAGGGTTTCGATGTTGTAAAGGTTTCTTGCCTTTGATAAATCCTCTAAACTTTGTAGAGTGCTAGGCTTCTTTTGGTGCTTGGGGTCACTGCCCCTTGCCAGGTGGAGGCGACCTGCTTGCCTCTCAGTGACCTCTCCGAGGGTTCAGGGGTTCATCAGGGCACTTAGTAGGTAGCTAGGACCCAGAGTAGGCCCTTATTCCCTTTTTTAGGGTTCAGGCTCCCTTATAAGCCCCTTTAAACCAAAAAGGGCATCCTTTTTATGCCTGGGTTACTCTTGGGTCTAGGTAGGGGTTTTTGTGAGGTAAGTACATCTGTAAGTATGGTCACTTGTAACCCCAACTCTGGCACATAAAAGCGAGTTACTCATGATGTTTAATATGAGCAGTCATACACCCGGAAAATGGTACGTGTGGCCTTGCTTACTGCGTGCCCTGATCCTGAAAGTACGTAGCCTCGAGTTTCAGGACGGCTTAGCTCGGGTCTAGATGTTGAGGCATCAACAGACGGTTACGGCCTCAGTAGCTGATGATGGTGATGATGATGTGGTGTCTCTTAGTCTAGAGCGACATACGGTCTCAGAGGAGGCTGACAGATCGGACATGAAGTCTTGCGCACCGCAACAGCCGCCGGCAGTGGTACGTGAGTAAAGAGTAGAAAGAGGAGGGGAGACGAGAGGAAAGGAGAGGGGTAGGCGTATGAAGAGGAGAGGAAGGGCGGAGGAGGAGAGGCAATGGCAATACCAGCATAGAATTCAGGCCCTCCGCAGAGCGGATTAACAACGTCGACGATGAAAGGCATCAGCACCAGCGACACGAACGTGCACGTACCAAGTTTGTCGCAGAAGAACCCAAACGGCTGCGTACGGCCGCTAATCGTAAGCACAGCAAAAATCTTGAACATGGTAATGCACAGCAGATGCAACCTTAGCAAAACTTATACCGTCGGAGTAGGTGCGAATAGCACTACAGGCACATCCGAGGAATGCAAAGGCCACTAGTGCAAAACGTGACGAGCACCAGGACATGAAGCCCCAAGCCCAAAACCCTGAACCCTAAGCCCGAAACCCTATTATGCCCTAAACACTATAGTACCATACCAGCCTAGTCGCTCACCCTGCCAGATCTGTGGGGCGCGTTGGCGGACCGAAAACGGAGAAATCAACAACAAAAACAGCTACCATATAGTTTCCGACGCGCTAAAGAAAGTCTCCATATAGGTACTGGGGGGCAGCGGCCAAAGTATATACCCAAAGGGTCCTATGTACTGTTATGGGGGATACTTCCCTGGATCCTAATAGTAAGTCCTAATATAGAAACCCTACATTCGACTATACAGGTACATAGGACCCTTTGGGATATTGTCTAGGATGCCCAGTAGTACCCTTATTCCCTTTTTGTAGTCCTAGCGTGCTTATAAAGTTACCCAATACCAAAAAGAGAGGCCTTTTCATTCTTAGGTTACTGGGTATCCTAGCCTACAGAGCGTCTCTGCCTTCAGGGCATGGGATTTCAGTGGCGAGGTCTTATATGGGTGGTTGTCAAAAATTATGGTCCCTTCTTGGGTCCCTATAATCCTAGTTGTTGGGGTCTACGGACCCTTCGGGTTTCATTGGTCCGAGAGGAAGAAGCCGGAAGTCAAAAGCTCGGAAGCCGAGGTTCGCAGTCGGTATTAGAAGTACAGCAGAGTACACGCCCCTAAACCGTAAACCCTGAATTTTAAAACCCCAATCCCTGAACCCTTAAACCCTAAACACTAAACCCCTAAACTCCTGAACCCTAAACCCCTAAACCCGAAACCCCTAACCCCTAAACCCTGAACCCTAAACCCCTACAACCTGTTAAGGCCCATACACCGAGGCACACAGTCATGGCAAGGGAGCCACAGTCAAGCAGCAAGCCCAGACCGCTGAATAGGGTTTAGGGTTTAGTTTTTAGGGTTTATGGTTTAGGGTTACCTAGACCCCACAAAAGTTGGTAAAATAATGAAACAAAGCCTATACAAGGCTATGATTCTACATACTTTTGGGGTCTTATGGTGTTCCGCTTAAGGCTTCCTTTAAGGGTTCTGTGAGGTTTACTTTGGGAGCCTAAGGTTTCAGGGGCCTAAACAATTGGAAGAGTGTTTTGAAGTATCTTCTGGAATAGCTTAGGAGGGGGCCCCCACCCTGTAATAGTGGTATAATAGGAATATAATAGGGCCCTAATATAATCCTATATAATCCTTATGGTCACTATTACAGGGTGGGGGCCCCTTCTAAGGAATAGCTGTAAAACAAACCCCAAGTAAGAGTTTTGCAGCAAATCTTAACATCGGCTCGAAGAGGTCGTGTTGCAGATGCACGAAGTTGAGTATCGATCTGTCGATCAGTCGAACTGCCTGTCTATCTGTCTGTCTTTTTAAAGACAGATAGACACATAAATCGACAAGTCAATCGGTAGATGGCAGACAACAAGATCATCGACGGCTAGACCGATCGATTGATGGATACGTAGATAAGTAGACAGGTTGATTGAAATAAATAGACGGGCAGATAGATAGTATAGATAGATAGGCAGGTAGATAGATATTTAGAAGCAAAGATGGTACATGGATAGATATAGGTAGGTTGGCATGTAGGCAGATAGCTGGGTAAGTAGGTAGGTTGACTAGATTGGCTTGGTGGCTAGTGGGCTCGGTAGTAGGCAGGCAGGCACGTAGGCAGATGGATGGGTTACGCACGCAGCGATGGGTCGATAGGTATGTAACCGGTAGGTATACAGATAGATAGTCTTATCGAATAGATAGAAAGATAGACAGACATTTCTGGGCAGACGAGTCGGCAAGCCTACTTGGAGGCCATTGGGTAGTTAGGAGTAGGGTTATAAGTAGGATAACTATACTTATAACCCATTTTCGGGGACTTATAACCCTACTTATACCAACCCATGAACCTCCAAGTAGTGTAACCTCCGCCTGAACACGAGCATAAACCGAAACCCTTGACTCCGGACCCTGGGCTCTCGAAACGTGTCTCCAACCCTATGTAAACCCTAAACCCTGTACCCAAACCCCCCTAACCCCTAACCCTCAAAGCTAAACGCTAAACCCTCAAGTGCCCCCTAACCCCTATACCTCTAAAGCCCAAACCCTAATCCGTTCATGCATGTTCAGGCCTCAAACCCTAACTCTAATCCGTTCTGAGTGAAGCTTAAAGTGTAGGCCACAAGGCCGAGACTTATCCATTCATTTAAAGTCCCACTGCGCTTTCGAAAAAAATAGAACATTTGTTTTTTTTGAAACCTATGTGTTTTAAAAAATTAGAACCTGGAGTAGGCCCTTCTTCCCTACTTTTAGGGTTCAGGTTCCCTTATAAGCCCCTTTAAAAAGAGAAAGGGCGCCTCTTTTATTCCTATGTTACTCTTAACTACTTGGAGGTTCGTGGGTAGTTATAAGTAGGGTCATAAGTAGGATAACTAAGTTATAACCCATGTTAGGGGACTTACAACCCTACTTACTAAGTCCCCTGATCCCTCAAGTACCCGGCTCAGGCCTCAAAGACTTGGCTCCGGTCGCCCGGGTGTTGCACAAGATCGACACGGTCGATCCCTCAGGGCTTCAGTGGGTTTAGGGTTCAGGGGAGGGTTTAGAGCTCATAAGGTTTCTATAAGGGCTCCATAAGGTTGCTATGGGGGGGGTTCGGGTCCTCGTTAAGGGGTCCTTTAAGAGATTCTTGAAGGGTTCCTTTAAGGGATCTATTAAGGGCTCTATAAGGGTTTCCTTGGGGCTAAAGGCAGTGCTACTTGAATGTTCATGGATGGCTCAGGGTTCCTAGAAGGGTTCCTATAGAGGGATCTATATGGGTTCTCTAAGGGCTCTATACGGAGGTTCGTGGGAAGTTATGAGTACGGAGCGTTGATTGTAGGATAACTGGATAACTATGGTTACAGTATAGACTAGGAAACTTATAACCCCACCTATGACTACCCGTCAACCTCCAAGCAGGCAGCACTAGAGTTATCTCAGGGGTTTAGGGTCAGGGGACCTGAACATGCAGGGAGGATAAATAGAGGGGACACTGTTGCTGAATTTTCCGACCTCCATAATGCTGCAAGAGGACGTATTCAGGGCGTGGTGTAGCTCCCGACTACAGCAAGACCAACGGTATCACCCAAAGCCTTTTCTAAGTAGTGGCACTCCTCGAGGATACCGATGGAGTTCTGAAAGTACCCAACAACGAAGTGTTTGGGGTTTTCCGCTCAGGATGGCTAGTCGTATTAATTCGTAGCAGTACGTATCACCTGAGTAGTATTGTTGTGTTGAACCTTCAGTGCGCTTGCATACACTTGGCGTGGCAATGCTGACAGCTTATCGGCACCCAGAACACATTAAACCATCCACCGTCCGTGTGTTCGAGAGTTTCCTCCTAACTGCCGCCAATCGGCATTCCAACACTACGCTGATTTGTCTTGCCTTTGCTTCTTGAGTTCTCTCTGTATGTGAGTTTCTGAAAGTAGGTTTTCTACTTAAAAACAAAGTTCGAGTTTGGTGTGAAACCCTAAATCCATAAGCCCTAAACCACTGTCTCAGACGCTTTGAGCTAAGAAGCGCTAGGCCTCGCTAACCCCTGCCTCGGCACCAGGTCCTGTTTAGTTGATACCGTTCTCCGCTCGTTGCAAGCGAAGTCAGGTAGCCCGAGTTCGGAACTAGGTACAATGCTGGGGCCGTGTTTCAAGCAGACACACCCACACACACACACACACACACATGGGTGGTTGTCAAAATTATGGCCCCTTTTGGGATCCTCAATATAATACGGCACCTCATATTTAGGGTACCCTTTTGGGAACCCGAAATACTAGGTGCCGTACTATTTTAAGGACCCAGAAAGGGACCCTAATTTTGACAACCACCCACATGGCCACTCAGGAACAGCTCACACACATCAAGGACGTCTTCATGCGCCTTGGTGATGCCCTCAACCTCAAGGACTCAAGGGTTTAGGGTGTAGGGTTCAGGGTTTGGGGTTTAGGGTTTACTGGACATGCTGCCTCCGTCTCTCTCAGCGGGATAGAGTTTAGCTTTAGGGTGGGTCTGACTGGTGCAGTCCTTCGTATTCGCCTTAGGCGACGGTAACAACGATGGCCTGGTCGAAGTCCATAAATAACCCTAGTAGTCGAGCAGGTAACCTTTAACCTTTTTTGGGTAGTATAGTTCCTCTACAATCCCTTTATAACCAGAAAGGTTAACCTTTAGTTTCCCATGATACCCGCCAAGTAGGTAACCCTGTAGGCGAAGAGAGCCTATACTATACTACTGTTATACTTGGATCCCTTTTCGTAACCCTTATAGACCCCCTTTAATGGAACCCTATTCCAATATGAAGGCTTCGACATTAAAGCCCTGGCCAAAGTCCGGGAACCAGGCGACGATCATGATGAGCACGGCCTTTATGACCATGGTCGCGCTGATCATGGACATGATACTTGTGTCGACCTTCGTGATGGTTTCTCGACAGGAAAAGGATGGGTGTTACGAGGAATAGGATTAGGAGGACGAGGAGGAGGACAAGCAAGTTGTTACCGGTAATGCAAAGACAGGGCAAGCGGCAAGCTGTTGTTGGCCTTCAGCGCAACGGTGATGCCTCCACTGACATTTGGGGCTGAGGGGGTGGCGATTATTACAAGCATGGTGACCACCACGGCGTCATGGGTTTCTCGTCAAGAGTAGTCCACTGCTGATGCGTATGGTGATAAACAGCGAAGTTGTTGGCGGCTTGAGGACGACAATGAGAGTTGTGTCGTTCACATTGCCCCTGACGAGGGACAGCACTGTTGACAAGTCATTGGTGAGGGCGATTAGTAAGATGACCATCGAGTCAATGCATTTGTCATGTTGCCAATATCACGATGGTGATCATGATGGTTCTGGCGATCATACAGGTCGTACCGCAATGGCGTCTGTTCTGATAGGGGCCACAGGCATGTTGTTTGATTGTTGCCGTTGTTGTTGCTGTTGTTCGTCTTGGTGTCTGATGGTTGTGATGAGGGTGTTCAAGACCGTGATATATTGCTCGATTGGTTGTTGGACTGATGTCCATTGACCATGACACATTGGTCGATTGGTTGATGGACCGTTGTCTATTGATTACTGCCTCTCTCGCTGCTATTCTGTGCCGGCTCGTGAGACGACAGCAGTTGTGATGAGCTTTTGCGATCATGGTGATGGCGTGAGAGTGGTGATAATGTGGCCACTTGTGTTCTGCACCAGTATTAGCACTACATTTGTTGATTATCACTGTGTGCGATGAGCATGTTCTGTGGCTCATCGTGGTTTTGCTGCTGCAGCTGCTGTCGCTGCTGTTATTGGCTGCGGACGAGACAACTGAATCTCATGTAGCAGGAATAATTATTCATATTCTTCCGTAGGGTTCCTTAGTATGATTTACCCCAAACCCCACGTAGTCTATCTAAGAAGCTAGCGCAGGACTTCCTAGACACACTTTGGTCACATTATAGTAGAATATTCCCGAAAACTTACCCTAGTGTTCCAGTAGACTGTGGTAGAATATACACCGAAACCCTGCGTATTCTATCTCTCAACCTTTCCGCAAGAAGGACTTCCTGGACACGTTGCTGCCACATGTGCGGAACATGGAAGGAGGTGAGGAACAGGCGATCGCCTGGAACCCAAGCGCCGGATCGATGTGGATTTGGGGTCATTCGGGATCTCTATGCTTTCTATACGGGTACTACAAAGGTAGCTCTCCACAGTAGGGTCCTTTGTAGGTCCCAAAGGGTCCAAAGTACCTATATAGTAGAATGTAGGGTTTCTATATTAGGAATTACTATTATGATCCAGGGAAGTATCCCCAATAACAGTACCTATGGTCCTTTGTCGGTAAACCTCTGCGCGCTTGCGAAGGTTGGTTTCCCTGATGAGGGGGCCAAGCCTTCGGCAGTCCGCGTTTATGTACTTCAGGGGCCTTAATAACTACCTATACTAGTTTGGGGGGTTCCTTATAGTAATGGGTCCCAAAAACCTATACTATACTAGTTTGGGGGACTCCTTAAGTTAAATATAGCATAGTGGCTCCCAAAACCCTATTCTAATTATTGAGGTTCCTATTTTATGGTCCCTGTTCGGGGTCCTCAGAACTCCCGAGAGCTAAGGTCGCGTTGGAGATGCTCCACCACCAAATGACGGAAGGTGGGCGTGAACCATTACATGGCTCCGTCGAAGTTGTAGTTTGTTTTTAGTTTTACCGGGACTCTGTGAAGGCTACCACTTTAAGGACATATACGGAAATCAGAATGAGGATCCCCCGGTTTTGGTTCGTAGGACCGCGGTAGGCCCAGTAGGCATGTGAATGTGTTGCATCATCGTTTCGGAATGTGTTACACATTCCGGACCCAATATATGTGTGTGTATATATATATATATATATATATATATATAGAATAGAGCGTTTTTGCATGCAATTGCCCTTAAACCCTGCGGCAGCAAGCATGGAGTGTGCAGACGGAATAAGCTGGTTTGAGAAAGCAACACCCTAAACCCGAAACCCGAAAAGCAGGTGGGGAGGACAGCCCTGAAGCCGGCTACCTTTCCCCGGAACCCGCCAACCCTCAAGGCCCCAAACCCCCCTAAACCGTAACCCCTCAACCCTAAACACCACCACCCCCCCCCCACCCCCAAGAGCCTGCGTCCATGCATCAGGTGACGAGGAGGAGGAAGAGGCAGAAGTGAAGCCCGAGGTGAAGACCGAAGTGGAAGTGAGATGCTGAGGATTCGTTTTCCGGGTTTAAGGCTTCTGAGGTTTGGCTAAAGGCCCCAGGCTTCTATAAAAGTCCTTTCCGGGAAGTTTGTTTTGAGTTTTGAGCATTTCTTTAGGAGTTTTTTTTGGGTTTAAGAGTTCACTCTGTTCACTAGGTTCCCAAGTAATACCCTGATTGACTTGGCCTGTTGTTAAGCCCCCTTCTTGAAAGGGAAGAAGGGGACGCAGAATCTTTTGTTGTATCGACTAGAAGCTGCCCCCACCCTGTAATAGTGGTACAACAGGGATATAATAGGGACCTAATATAATCCTATATAATCCTTATGGTAACTATTACAGGGTGGTGGGAAGCTTCTAATGCATCGAGCTGCTTGGGAACTGGGTTTACAGGTGCAGGCTTTCGGGGGCTTTTCGGTTTAGGATTCTACGGTCTACGTGTACGAAGGATGGCCTGCTGCCCATCATAAACCCAAAAGGTCCTATGTACTGTTATGGGGGGTACTTTCCTGGATCATAATAGTAGTTCCTAATATAGAAACTCTACATTCGACCATACAGGTACTTAGGACCCTTGGGAAGGGTATGCAGTCTTCTATCGTTGTATCACATCGGGTGTGAGTTCGGGGTTAAAGAAGTAGCGCGGTGTTATTTTTTTGTGTTTGCCCTGCACCCCTCCTGACTGCATGAGGGCACTGCCCACGGTAGGCGCAATAAAGGATCCCATATGTACAGACTCTCGGTTGGGCTTTCCCCACCTGTCGCCTCAACCTCATCGGGCAAGTTACTTGCTCGGCTATTGCGAGTCGATGTTAGCTGTTAGCATTCCCATGCTTGCGGAAATCGCAAGCGCAGCATTCCGGATACTGGCCAGAGATTCCCAAACCCTCTAGTTCAGAAATACACCCGAAACTTTGGAGGGCGCTTTGATACGATTTATGGTATATGCCTGTGGAGTCCGTGGACATCTTATAATCCAAGGGTACAAGGAGGGACCCTTAGTCAGGACCCCTAGGTATATACCCTTAATATAGCTATCATATACCCATAATATAGCCCATTATAGGGTATTCAGGGTCCCTGCTTTTCCCTTTTGAGTTTAACAAAACGAACCCTATGAACCTGCGAGTCATATTAAAGATCCTATAAGGTAACCCCAAAAAGGAACTACAATGGAGACTAAAGCTATATAAGACACCGAGCCCTATAAACCTGCGAGTCTCGCCAAGGAAGGGAACCAGGCATTCCTGACCGAGACGCAGATGGGCGAGGAGGAGACTGAAAAGGCCCTATCTTTAGGGCCTTAAAATAGGGGGGGGGGTCCTTATAATAAGGATCCTACCATTTAGGGTATTCTAGTAGGGTTTAGGGTTTAGGGTTCCTTTTAAGAAGGATCCTACCATTTAGGGTGTTATAGTATGTTATAGTAGGGTTTAGGGTTTAGGGGTCCTTATAATAGGGATCCTTCCATTTAAGGTGTTATAGTCGGGTTTAGGGTTTAGGGGTCTAGGGGTTTAGGGCTTTGGGGGCTTAGGGTTTAGTGGTTTCGGGCTTGAGGAGTTTAGGGTTTAGGGGGCTTGAGGGTTTAGGGCTCGCGTGAGGGCTTAGGGGTTTAGGGCTTGAGGAGTAAAAGGGTTCAGGGGGTTGGAGGGATGAAGATGGCCTTTGGGCTTTTAGGGTTTTGGGAAACTCGAAGCCCTGCATCGGTTTAGGGTTTGAAGTGGCGCTTGCACTTCCTAAATAAGTCTCGACTGTTGAGTGTTGGGCTGTTCAGAAGCAAAGCGCGGCTTATACGACGCATGACGGCAGGACGTAGGGTTGAAAAGCTTTCGTGCTGTTCAGGCAAATAGCATTCCGAGAGGCCTAAATTAACCGAACCAAGTCGTTTGGAGCTGCCGGAATTCACGGCTACTTTGTGGTTCCCCCGAAAGCATGTCTACGGTTTTCAGGCCTCAGCCAAACCTGCACTTGCGAGGGCTGACAGAAAGACCTTTGTTCAGAGCATGCTTATCCCTCCAAGCTGCATAAATAGGATCTCCGGAACACTTGGGCAAGGATTGGACGTCCAGGGCGTGCACTTCGTTTTGACCTGGGGCTTTAGCAAGTAGGGTTACAGATACACGTCCTTGATTGCCATTGCAATGGCAATCAAGGCCTTGTATCCTTACTAATTAAGTCCTCTGATCCTCCAAGCAGTGATTAATTGCAAGTTCTAGGAGTTTCATCATAACGTTCACCGGCAGGTTGTTCCTGAATTTCTGGCTTTCCCCAACACGTCAATAATGCGTTACGCGACATGTTGAAGCTACCCAGATTAGGCATGCAGTGTGTTTGCTTTGCACACAATCCGACAGGTACAGAGTCGACCCATCAGGGTTTTTGTTGATCGGCAGGGTTTGGCAAAGCTTCATCTTTTCGGTTTAGACCCTGCTACCTACGGCGTACTACCTTCCACAGGCAGGAGCCGGTAACATGTCATGTCGGGCTACTTGCATCTAGCTCCTCAGCTCGTTTGAGACTCGCTAGTGCCGGGTAGGGGTTTGTGGCCTTAGCGTCTAGGCCTCAGCGTAAAGGGACCCTGAATGCAGCGTCATTCTTTACTTAGCATCCAGTTTTGGAGTACATGGAGTAATGATACTCGAAGCCGGCATAACCTATAGAATACCTTTTAGACTACCTGATAGCCTACTTTACACAATTCCCGCGAGATACCCTACTACATACACTTTATAGAAACCCATCTGGAATACCCTGCAGAATACCTTATATAAAACCCTTATGAGCAGGTGTGCATTAGAGCATGGCCCCTCTTCCGTATGGCAGCAGGACATCGAGATCAACCTCCTACACCCGAAAGCCTCAGCCCTGAGCCGGATGAACCTGAAACTGCACAGCTTCAGGGATCACGGTTTAGGGTTTAGGGTTTAGGGTTTGGGTATCACCATAACCCCTGAACCCTAACTCGAATCATTTCGCCAGCTCGTTTCCTGGGACATGCTGGCCAATGTCTTATTGGAAGAGGGTGTCGTGGCAAACGTCGGGAGCTCAGTCCTGAAACCTAGAAACCCCATGTATAAACTAAATCCTGAGTGGGCACTGAACATCAACATTACATCCGCACCCCGAGCCCTATACTCGTGATTTGGGGTTAGGGCTATCGAAGCAGAAACAGACAGGTTTCATGATCTCCTTTGCACTCCCTTTTATTGATACAAGGTGTTGGAACAACTAGCAATGTATTCCCTTTGTAATTCCCACAAAAAGTTTGAATATGTCCCGACATCGAATTCTGAGTACAAAGGGCCTTATAAAGCAGGGGCTTAAACTCTCAAGGCCAAGATAATTCAATCCTGCTCGGGCTTACAAAACGCTTGTATGTAATATCCGCCGCAATGTTCACGCAGAGACTGCTACGGCTACTATGTGAAGTGAAGATCTAGTCGCTAGTCATGCTTAGATATACCCCAAACCCTAAACCCTAAACCCTGATTATATAGCAGGTCGGGGCAGAGCGTGACAGTCTCTTACATGTTGCGGGTTGGTTGCTTTGAGTCACGCTCTGTGCCATCCCTCCGAAGGTTCGTTCTCGGAGGTTCGTGGGTAGTTATAGGTGGGGGTACAAGCCCAGTAATGCAGGATTATAACTGGAGTTAGCCTACTTATCACCCTATACTTACTCATGAACCTCCAAGTATTCCCAAAGGCCTAGGTTCATAAACTTCATCTTCTGGAAGAGAGCATGCGAAGTGAGTGTGATTGAGCTCGGGCATAAGGTTCGCAGACTTGAGGGTCAACAACCTCAAATGGATGGCCTAGAGCTTCGCAGAGGACCTTCTCATTGAGAGCTGAGGTATTCATGACGAGATCTTACATTGATTGATGGTTAGGAGCAGGTCCTCTGCTCATGCCATCCTCGGCTACTGCACGGGTTTCCATCTAGGGGCGGCCCCAAACCTCAAGGCCAAAAGAATAACCCGGCAACCCCAAAGCCAAGCTTGCATTGCAAATCAGGTCGTCAGCGGCTTCAATGTCACGCAGGTGTGGCCTTGGGCTTTCGGGGTGAACCCTTCGCAACGCAGCCCTTATAGGTTTAGGGTTTAGGGATAAACAACATCAGCACCATAATGCGTGTAATCTCCGAAAGCTTGAAAACTTGACACATGGATAAGACTGTTCCAAGAATCTATATACCCTACACCGCCCGAAAAGGACCTCAGCCCCGACAAACCTTTGAACACTAGCCCCTAAACGCCTAAAGATCCGAAATCCCGCGCCTGAACCTTGAACCCTACAGTGAACTCCAGAAAGTTGGAACATGGATTTAGGATGATTGGTGTGGGGGGATTCCCTATACTTTACAGTAAGGTTATGAGGATTATGATGTTCCAACTTTCTGGCTTCTACTGTAGACGAGCAGGTTCTCAGTGTCCTAGATCTGGACAAGATCACCCCCTTGCAAGCCATCTTCGAGAAACAGGCAGATCGGGGATCGAGGGTATAGGGTTTGCGGTTTAATTAGGGTCGAGGATCTTCGAGATACTGTTGATGATATAAATCCTGCATTACCCATAATAGGGAATATACCATAATTCCCATAGTTAGGGTCCTTAAGGTCATGCAGGATTTATATCATCAACCGTACCGGCGCACCCATTTTCGCGAAGTAGGGTCTAGGGTGTCTGGAGCTTAGGGTTGCAGGGTTCTCGGTCCCACATGGGATCTCAGGTGGTTTCGAGCTTTCGGGCTCGGGGGTACCCGAGAAAGGGAGTGGCGAGTGCAAGGGGAAGAAAATTCCAGGTGATAGTGAAACCCTAAACCTGAAAACGCCTAGACCATAAAGGGATCCCTGTGAATGCAGTCAGCACCAACCTGGACTACCGAGCCCAGAAGAAGAAAGTGATTCTGGTTGATACTTCTCATGGTCTGCTAGAGGTGCCTTATTGATGCACAAAAAAGTTTGGAAATCCAGAAATCCAATCGGCCAGACCTTCATTCATGGTCAGCTCTTGCGTGTTTATGGGATCAGAGCCATTAGATAAAGCCTTACTAGACCCTCAACCCTTAGTAGCTGAGTAGATAGCCTTTAACCTGTCGGGTGTATATAACCCTACCATAAATTGAAAAGGTCTACCCTAAACCCTATAAGCCCTATAAACCCTATAAACCTAAACCCTAAACCCTATAAATCCTAAACCACAAACCCTTTTTGGGGGCTAGGGTACTCAGGCCCTAAGAAACCCAGCCCGGGCTGAAGCTTCTTAGGAGATCAGTTGTACGTCTAACAAAGGGGGCAAAAATAATTATTGCGGGGGGGGGGGTTCTTAATTTCGTTGAATTATAGTCTAATGGGCCCATAAATAAAGAGTTGCCTAGATTATGATGGGGGGTTCTTTGCTTGCATTGTAGCCTAATGGGCCCGAAGACTTTGTTCTAATTATTGAGGCCCGTTTTTGCAGGTTGCTAGACAGCCGCGATAGCTAACAAACGTGAACTACTACAGAGACTATCGGGTTTAGGGTTTAGGGGGTTCAGGGTTTAGGCCTAAGCCGTATGAGAATCCTTGGGCCAAGGAAGGTGTGGCCGGTGTGGGCCAAGAATCCTAATCCTAAGGCTCAAACTGGCCCAAAAGCCTTATGTAGTACGGTCTTTGGGCCTAAAAGTCTTAATCTATGAGTCCTTAGAGCCTTAGGGTAAGGGTCCAAGTGCCCAATTGTCATATACTCTCAAAAATAGTAATTAACCTACGTAACTAACTGCTATCCCAAACCCGAGAGGGTAATGGGTTGGAGATTGCCTTCTGAGAGCGGAGGTTTGGGGGCACGCAAGGAGCCCCGAACTTTAACAAGCCCACATAAAAAGCAAGCTAACAAATCGGTGGTTTCTGGAATTACGGTCACTCTTTTTGCCTGGCAAGATGTCGGTTTGAGTTTAGGGCGGTGATCCTTTAACAGTTGGCGGGCAACGCAGAGAAAACAAGCAGTACCGCGTAAGCTGAAAGAAGTACCACGCTGATAGTATCGGATCATGGGGACCACCCATAGGCCCCATAGTAGTTCCTTTTCGGGATTACCTTATAGAACTCTAGATATGAACCCCAAAAAGGAACTACGGTGTGGCCTTTGGGCAGACGAGACAAGTAGGGGGAGGAGCCAAATACGCTAAACGGCCCTAAACCCTAAACCCTACATAACCCTTGAACCCGCAACCCTATTACCCTATGTAAGCTCCAAGTCCCACTTCCACCCTAAACCCTGAACCTTATTAAGCCTTAAGCCCTAAATCGTAAACCGTAAACCCTAAAACCTAGCCTTGTAAGGCCTACGGATATTCCCTCCCCTTTCGAGGCCCTCAGGCTCATCAACCGTCGAACCTTCAGAGCTGGTGCTTGACTAAAACATCCCAGTACCCATGGAGCATATGCATCTATGCATGCCAGTATATATATATATATATATACGCGTACATGAAAGATATTTATCTGTTTATCTATATATCCGTCTATCTATCTGCCTATGTACCTATCTATCTATGTAGCTGTCCGTACATAAACATATAATTGTATACACACACATATAGCTTTAAAATATTTATTTGCACACACAGGTTCCGAGGGGACCACGGTCAGGATTTTTTTGGGGGCAGACACATTAAAAGTTAGAAATATCTAGAGTGAGGTTAATGCTTCTAGGTTATGACCGCCTAAGCTCATTTACCTAACTCGCAGCTTTACTTACGAAATCTGCTGATGCACTAGGGGGAGACTGATGCATTCTTTGCAGGACGTCATGCCAAGTCCCTACAAGCCCCAGAGCAAGCTACCCAGAGGCCCCATAGTAGTTCCTTTGTCGAATTACTTTATAGGATTCTATATATGAACCCCAAAGAGGAACTACTATGGGGCCTCTGGCTACTGCTGCAAGTGCTCAGACGATGAGATTGACAGTGCGTGCATGGTAACTGCATGTCGGCTGATCGCTGAAGGGGTCAGCCGGTGCAAAGGATGCAGGAGCTTGAGGTGAAGTCAACGGAAGGCCACTAGACGATCCCTCCAGGTCGTTCTTCATGCTTCTCTGGTATGAGCATGTTTGATCTACGGGTGCTGTCCTGTTTTTCCCTTGGCCCCAGCAACTGTGTTATAGCAATGCAGCATTGAAGACCAGTGCCCGTTGCACGGATGCGCAATTTCTGACCACGAAAGTGCCCTTAGCCCTGGTTTCGAACGTCTGGCTCAGTGCTCTCACATAGTTCCGTGGTAGGTTTATCCATTACATACCTATGTTCATCCGGTCACCAGGCGGGCGCTGATTGAAATTTGTTTGCATGGCATTGCGCACTTGCAGGAATGAGGTAGTCCTACGCATGCCTGTTGGCCTTCAGTTGCTTTCGACAGTCGTGGATTCATTTTGCTTGGTTGTGTTTCCGAAACATGTGGCAACCTGAACATGTATGGACCGAGACAGACGAAAAGATGCAAAGACGTACGGAGAGGTGCCACCAAGAGACAAAGGCTCACAGATATCCACACGCAGACAAGACCAGACAACACAAGGCAAGACTCGACACGACGCGACAAGACAAACCTATCGACAGAGACAGACAGAGGCTCGCAGGTGCAGACACACGCACACAGACACCTGCATACAGACAGACACACACACACACACATGCACGGACACATGCAGGCACACACACACACACACACAGACAGACAGACTCACACATACGCGCACGTGCACACACACAACACACACACAACAGACACACAGGCTCAGACGCATGATAGGCACGCAGAGACAGCTGCATGCAGACGCGCGGGAACACACAGACATTAACAATGATCAATGCGCATACAGACGTATACATGCACACAATATAATTACACACATTTGTGCACACACATACACAGACACATCCATGCACGCACACAGAGACACATACACATAACACACACACACACACACGAAAACACAAGACTGCGTGCACGCACTCGCACACACACAACCACTCCGGCAAGTGTAGCAGTTATATAGGAGTAGAACTACAGTAACTACTGTTTGCTCGAGTCCAAGTACCCTGTCTGCAAAGGGAACAGTGGACCTCGAAAGCTTCGTGGTCATACTCCAGGGCCAGTTCCAGCATGTGAGCCGCTGCCTGTCGTTCAGGGTTCCGGTGTTGCTGAGACATCGTGCTTGAGACATAGGTCTTAATTACAGGGGTGTCGTGAGTTCAGTGGTTGCTAGGTAATGTCAGGGGTTGCGATAGTAGCATTGCGTATCTGGGTGTGCATGTTGATGTTGTGTTTCTGGCTTTCACATATAACGAATTATACAATAGTTTATTTATGTGTGGGTATATTATGACGGTATAGAGACATGAGAGATTTCGTTCACATGTGCACAGATTTTTCGACATGTCAACATGTGCATGTATATTTAAATATATATACCTATACATATTATACAAATATACATAAACACGTGTGAGGGTCTCCTGTGCTAGGCTTGAGCTATACCGATGGGTTCGAGTTTGAGTGTTGCAAGGATTGGGGTTTAGGACGTCAGGCATCGAGCTCGCGCAGGGCTGACTCTAAGACGGGTTGGGTGTAGGTTTCGGGTTGGTTTCTGGGTCCCAGTTTCGGCATTTTGGCCACGACATCGGAGATGCCCAGTTTTGTTGGATCGAGTTCTCGGGCCGGGGGCCCTTTCAACTGAATGTGATGTTAAAGGCCTTAATTAAATCCCTTCATTGCTTGTTCGGAAGTTCAGATATGGCATGATATGCCGGTTCAAGTCAGGACATGGCCGGGCTGATGCATGTACCAACGTTCCGACACTCAAAAGCTTGAGTAAGGGTTTTGCTTACAGAAGTTGGGATGAAACAGTCTAAAAGTGGTGGCTCGGGCGGTGCATTAGGCTTATATTGTAGTGGCCTAATAGATCCCTTATAGTAACCATTCTAGACCCCTTCAACGGAACCCTATTCTAGTCCTTAAGGCCCCCCTATTTGAGGGCGGTCGCAGGATTAAGGCTTGCAGGTCCTGCAGGAGTTTCCGGGTATTCAGGCACGACCATGGGCCTCAAGAACTAGAATAGCGTTTCTTTAAAGGGGTCTATGCATAGACCCCCAAATGTAGGTAAGATAATGGCCCAAACCCTATAAACGGCTGTTATTCTACATGCTTTCAGGGTCCAGGTAATGGTTGCTATAAGGGATCTATAAGGGTACTACAATATAAGCAGAATGCACCACCCTGTGCCGGAATCAGAAACATCCAGATACGCGCATATGTACTCTTGTCTCGGAAGCTGACTGGGATGCCAAGCTAGGTTTCTGTCAGGAAATTCCTTTGTCCGACATGGCAGCTGGCATAAACGTCGAATTCCATCGACAGAACCGGCTTGCGGACCGAAGCCGTGGACGGAAGCCTAAACCCTAGCCTTGAGGGTCCAAGTACCCAACTATCGTATATTTTCAAGAACAGTCACCTACATAACTACCATCCCAAAAGCCCGAATACCTAATTATCGGGTCCTTTGGACCCTTAGGGTAGTCCCTTACATCCCAGCACCCCAAAAACACCCAAAGGCCACGACAGCGTTCCCCGCAGGTATTCGAGCTCATCCACCTGTTCCAACTCTACGAAGATGCCGGGCACATGGATTCTGCAAGGTTAAAGTTAAAGGTGTTGGGCCTGGGTTTAGAAGGGATTCGACAAAGTTAAAGTTACGGGATGTTACGGGTGTTGGTTTCTGATGGGTTTATAGGCTTCAGGTCAGCAACAGCAACCCTGAGAGAGTTTGCAGTCCATACTTTGTTTTATCAGCTTGTGTCAAACGGTGGTCTCTGAAACCAGCGAACACCACGGAAGGAAAGAAATGCCTCGTTACTCTGCTTATCCACTATTGACATCTAGATCTCCCAAGCCCCTGAAACTAAACCCTGAGCCCCCTCCCCTTCTTGAACACGAGGTCCTGTCTCCGAGTGCCAGCCTCAAACACCCATTGAACGATGCGAAGGTAAGTCGCCAGTGCCGTAATCAACGGACGATCTGCCAGAATCAAAATGGGAGTTTACAAACATTAGGGGACCGTATTATAATACCCTAAAAAGTAGGATCCTTATTAGAAGGACCCCACCCAAAAAAAAGTACCCATAATTTTGAGAAACTCCCAAATCTCGGCTCTGCAAGTACTTGTCCGGTAATGCAAGCGCACATCTACCTGCTCCTCAGTTCACCATGATCTGTGACGCTGATGCTGGTAGTGACGATGATGGCGGGCGGCGACGACGATCATTGTCGTACTGAGCATCTCGGTCACCGCAACATCCTCCTCCTGCTCCTCCTCCTCCTCCTCCTCCTCCTCCTCCTCCTTCTCCTCCGCCTCCTCATAGTCATCCTCATCGTCCTCATCCTCCTCATAATCATCCTCATCGGCATCACCATCATCATCGTCGGCGGCATGTCCCCAGATCCTAGGTCCTTGCTACCCGAAAGAAGGTCTTCTTCACAGAGTTCAGACCCCACAGTCCTCTTTTGTGCACCTGGAGCCTGTGGGTCATAGTGCGGTTCGAGCTGCTTGCAAGACCTCGACAGCTCTAGTCTAAACTCTGAACCTGAAACCCTGAACCCTGACTCCAAACTCTAAACCTTACATAATAATATGCAACGAGCAGACACCAAAAAGGCCCTTAAACAAAAACAAGCCTTAAAGCTAGCGGCTCAGGAGCGCCGGATCATCACGCAGCTGGTGAACCTTTTCGTGCCTCGACCTGGGTCAGGCATTGCCTAACGCGAGTTTAGAGGATTCTCGAGTTTCTGAACAATCCGTGAACCCTAAAACAGTTATTCTGCGATTTTTTCTGAGTTCATGCCCCTACCCACTTTTGGTGTGGATTGTAGGGTTTAGTGTCGTTCCCCGTGGAGGTAGGGTCCAACAGATCTTCAGCCATAGGGAGGGGGTAGCCTTAATCCCTAGGCTCCAAACTACCTTAACCCCTGATCCCTAAGCCTAATCCCTCAGCCTACCTTAACCCTGAATAATCTACCTGTTTAGGGTTCCTTACTATCATTTCTTTACATAAGTCCCTAAAAAGGTAGGTTACTTGGGGTTAAGGCAAACCCTAAACCCCTACATGTTTGGGTTCAGCTCCGAGTCCTTTGGTCACTATGCCTGTGACCCGTTCACAAAGCCCTGCTATTTAAATCTGTATTTCCCAAGGATCCATGTGCTCTTGAGGGATCCGATAGCGTTCCTGTAGGGGCTGCGGTTCTGAAGGGCTTTAGGATTAAGACTTTACGGGTCTATTTACTCATGCAGTATAGACCTCGGCCGTGAAGTAGTCCCTCTTTAGGTGGTTGAGCACCAAAAAATACTACATGGGTATATGGACCTTTCGTCAAGGCCGCGATTTGTGAAACCGTACCCCATACAGTTCCAGTCCCAGCGGTTGACACTCAACCAAGACTGGCGTTTGCAACTCAATAAGGGTCTTGGAGTCTACCTTGAACTACCAAACCTTACTTTTTTTGTGGGTTCTTATTATAAACCCTAATATGGGACTTATAGGGCCCTGCAAAAAATAGGTTCTAGTAGCTTAAGGTAGACCCACAAAGTTAGGGTGAGGGATGCAGCAGACCTCAGGACACCATCGATGTCGACTGCACCGGAAACCTCACGTGGGAGGCGCTGCTCTGCATGTTTGGGTGGATGTCCTTCGTGTGTGGTTTAGGGTTTAGGGGGTTCAGGCCTCCAGGTTCGTGTCCTTAGAGCCCTTCAGCCGCAGCGCCACAGTTTCAAGCAGTAATTACCTGCATTTTTGTATGCATAACAGATCCTATCCGTAAAACCAGGTACCCCCTAGAAGGTATAGGGTGTGACCCTATAGGTATAGTATACCTACTTATGGAAAACTCTCGTCTAATTAAGGTCCCCTAGATGACCTTCTCCTAGATCCGAGCCTTTGGCACAGGGGGGGTCGATGTGGTAACATACAGAAGAAAACTTAGTACTATAAGCTTTTTTGGGGTCCCTCTAAGAACATAGTGGACATTGTAATGTACCACAAAACCCCTCCCAGAATGGGCTAGGACCTCCAGAAGAAAAAGGAGGGGGTTTAGGGTAACTTCTTTGAACTGGGGCAGTTCTCGAACAGCTAGCGACCGCTCTGTTCTGTGGACTCATTGAAAGTCGCACTTACAGGTGGGGGCTGCTATTTCAGGTCTTCACTGTGTACTCGAAGCCATTTCCAAAGCGCCAAAGCAGGATCATGTTCCAAATTGTTTGCAGTCCATGGTTTCTTGTGGATAAGAAACGTGAGATACTCTTCTTCCCCGAACTACGACACATTGACACATCAACTACCTAAGCCGTCCTGCGGTTTTACTGCCGATGCGTCACACCAGAGAAGGCGCAGCAACTGACGGCAGTCTACAACCTAAACAATAAGCCTTCAAGTCTTCCTTGGTCCAAAATAACAAAGATAGGGGCCTTTAAATTATCCTGTGCTATGTTGGGGGTTCCTTATTATAGTTATAGTATAATGGGCCGCAAAACCCTATTCTCATTATTTCGGCCCCTACAGTACAAACCCTAAACCCTGCACCTGAACCCTGAGCCTCCAAGTCTCTCTTGGCTCCAAATACAAGCACAAGATGGCTCCTACTGTTGATGGTCAAAATCCTGCATGACCCTAAGGACTCTAAACTATGGGAACTATGGTACATTCCTTATAATGGGTAATGCAGGATTTTGTCCATCAGCAGTACTATTTGGGGTACTATGTTAGGGTCCCTTATTTTGGGAGACGGCCAAATGGGTGGTTGTCAAATTATGGCCCCTTTTTAGGTCCTTATTATCACACGGCACCTATTATTTAGGGTACAAAAAAAGGGACCATAATTTTGACAAACGCCCAAAACAAACCCAAGACGGATCCAAGAGATTGTATCCCGGGGCTCTCGGTCAGGAGTTCACCGCATTTCTGGTCGACCAGGGCATGGCAGAGGAGGGCTTCTTAGGGTTTAGGGTTTACGGCTTGGGGTTTAGAGCTTATGGGGTTTAAGGCTTAGGGTTTAGGGTTTAAGGTTCAGGGTTTAGGGTTTAAGGTTTGGGGTTTAGGGAGGTTTAGTCGGGTTTACAATTGAGGGGTCTGGGGTTTAAGGGTCTAGGGTGGAAAGTTTACAGCTTTCAGGTTTTGGGGTTAGGGTGACCCTTGCAGCCCCCAAAGTGACATAAGTAAGCCCTGACGTTTCAGAGGCTCAAGCCGTAGGGTAATTACAGGATACCTTGAAATTGAAGCATGTTTCAACCTTTTGTTCTTCACATCAGGAGGTTCAGGGTTTCGGAAGCCGCGGCTCCTGGAGAACAAACTTTTTCAACGACAAGCCAACTAGGGTTTGACTTCAAGTTCGCGAGGGTGTGGAAAGAGCTTGGACGCTACCGGGTAGCGAACCAAAAACAAACGGCAGCAGCAGGACGTTCCGCAGCAGTACAACATCATCCGCTTCCACCAGCCGTGGGCTTACAAGCTTGGAGGTTTGGGGCTCTGTAACGGCTGTAGGCTGTTTCGGTTTCAGAGATAATTCGGAGGCCCTAAAGTAAAGGCTCACTCTTAGCATCGGAGGTAGCATGGCCATATCCTGTCCCTGCTGCTTACGTACTGTAATCCCACAACATACCCCCCCCCTGTCTGCCGGCGTACGAGCCGTAGTCAGTAGTCATCAGAGTTTCCAGTCGGCGGTGAACCATTCCCCAAGGTACTGTTGATGGACAAAATCCTGCATGACCCTAGGGACTCTAAACTATGGAAACTATGGTATATTCCTTATAATGGGTAATGCAGGATTTCGTCCATCAGCAGTACGGTCAACATTGCGTCTCCTTGGGTTGGAGTGCGACATGTTTGGTGAACCAAGATCGTGAAAGAGACCAGCTATCCTCTGCCCTGACCAGCAAGGCCTACAACCTCGAGCAGCAACTTCTTGAAACTCTTCTACCCCAAACCCTTAAGCCTCTAAACGCCGAACTTCCCCCAGACCCGAAGCTCTATAACTCCCAAAGCCCTGAACCCTCCCACACCTCAAGGAAAGCCGGGGCTACTTCAGGGTTAAGCGGTTTAGGAGTAGAGTATTGGCCTGAAGCAGAATTTCCTGGGAATGGTGGTAGGTGGTGATCCGGTTGATGATATAAATCCTGCATCACCACGCATAGTAAGGAAAAATAACCATAATTCCCATAGTCTAGGGTCCTTAAGGTCATGCAGGATTTATATCATCAACCGTCCAGCTTGGTTGTCGAGCTTTATTCCAGTGCTGCGATCACCTCATAAGTTTTGCAAGTCTGCCTCGGCTTTTTTGCCGATTTGAGGGGGGTGGTTAGGGTTTTAGGTTTCAGGACGGTGGCTCAACATGTTGCAGATGCCCCACTTGTAAAGGCTGAAGCCACAATTACTGAAGTTTCAAGCCGAAACTTTATGAGCCACAGACCTTGCCGTCCATGAGGTCACCGCTCAAGGATGGCAACGGACATCAGTCGCACTGTGAAAAGGCTTCGCCGGGATTGGCTGACCTCACCTGCATGTCATCGAGACAGAAGGGTCTCAGAGGGTTGTTTCTCAGAAGGGATTTACAAAGGCTGCGAAGTTACGATGTGGTATACTATAAGGGTGTGGTTGCAGGGTTCGGGGTTCCTTTGATGGAGGGGTGTCCGCGTAGTTCTGCAAGAGTAGTATCTTATCTGAGTTTCGGCATGTGGGGTTGGGAGTGGATAGGGTCCTGCACAGTGCTCCGCTGCTATACTAAAACCGTCGCTAACCTTAAAACCTACCTAAATGAAAGGTCCCAACCACAAGCTTTTGGCCAACAAAGGAGCTACATTAATCAGCAAACTAGCCCTGCAGTTGAATTTCAATCCGCAGTGTACTTTGCCGCGGCAGGTTTCCTACCTGAAGGGCTACGACAAGATTGCCTTCGTAGAGCAAGGCCTGCGGATGAAGAGTCCCCAGAGAGCCCAATACCCCTTAATTAAGGAATATGGGTTAAACTATATAGGGTTTCATGTTATGATTTAAGCTATATTCCGTAATTACGGTGTATTGGGCTCTCTGGGTCTATGGGCTGGCAGTTTCGGCATTCAGGGGAGCAATTGGGTTCAACCTCAAGCCCTGAACGCTAAACTATAAACCCTAAGGCCTATATCCTAAACCCTAGATTTGAATTCTAGGTCCTAACCATCACACATCGCTTTGAATTTCCTGGTTCCATTATCCCGAAGGGTCCATGTACCCCAAAAGTATCATAATTAGGTGGTACTTCAAGGCCAAACTATATCTACCTCTCTCTCTCTATACATATGTATATACACATAAGTACTATTTGGGTACATGGATCCTTAGGGCATGTTCCGACATGCGAGTCCTCGGTTTAGGATTCATTCAGGGCAACACAGGGGCCTGAGTAATTGCCTGCACTGTTCCTTCGGGTTGCTTGCTAGAGTGCTAGAGTTATTCTACCAAAACCCTATTGAAGTTACTAAGGCCGCCATGCTAAACCCTCGTTATCCCTCATCTTCTAGACCTCCTTCAGAGGAATCCTGAAAGCAGGCCTATGATGATTATTATCAAGCCCCCTTTGTTATTGCATGGGGTGCACCAAGAGCACCCGCTTGTAGGGCAAACGGCTTGTGGCCGAGAAGGCTTCGGAGAAGTAGGGATTACTTATATAGGGTCGTTAAGGGAGGGTGGTCCAAGGGGGGAGGGTACAAGGGATCCTTAGGGAACCTTAAGGGAACCTGAGGGAGCACTGGGGAGAACTAGGGATTAGCAGGTTATCTACACCCTTCGGGGCCCCCTGTCCCATAAGGATACTATAATGCTTGCTAAAACCCATGTCAATTGTAAATTGGAATGCGAAACTTCGATCCCCAGTACCCAACCTTTGACTTTTTGGGGGTTCTAATAGGAATCGGAAAGTTTGACCTTTCAGTTTTTGTGGCTTATTGCGGGAGTAAGGTAACTGGGATACCCTGACCCTAAGCCCAAAGCCCAAGAATGTAAAACCGGAAATCCCAAGGCCTGCGCTAGAAGTAGCTGCTTCCAGTTGCCAGGTGGGTAGGTGTAGGGCGTCGGGAGCTATACCCGATACAGCAAGCCCAAAAAACTGTTGTGTGCTCTCTTTGGCCGGTACTGTGAAGACTTCAATAGTTACCAATGATATTTTCAGGGTTCCTTATTAGTATTACTATTCGTCTATAAAGGGGCCCCTTCTACTTGCCAAGGCCCGCACAGTAGACGCACCACGGCCTGATTTCTGACATCCGATCCCTGAGCGCTTTCACTGTGAACCGGCCGTGAGGAAGCAAAGTTCTGAAGATGTCACGGGCTCAGATGATGGCCCATATGATGGCCGCCATTATGTTTTTGGATGGAGAAGACATCTTACAATATCATGTATCAAGAAGCAAAATCAATATGCATAGTATCCATACGGGCAGAAGTGGCCATGCGATGTGCCAGTGCGGGTGCTTGAGGTGGGAGTGGCGGTTGGCCGGGCAAGGGTCCTGATGCCGCTGCTGATGCTGCTCTTCCCCCCCCTCCTCATCATCATCAGTCGTATCTGGTGCTGCTACTGCTACTGCTACTACTACTACTACTACTACTACTACTACTACTACTACTACTACTATTACTACTACTACTACTACTACTACTACTACTACTACTACTACTACTACTACTACTACTACTACTACTACTACTACTACTACTACTACTACTACTACTACTACTACTACTACTACTACTACTACTACTACTACTACTACTACTACTACTACTACTACTACTACTACTACTACTACTACTACTACTACTACTACTACTACTACTACTACTACTACTACTACTACTACTACTACTACTAACACTACTACTAACACTACTACTAACACTACTACTACTTCGACTACGACTCAGACTACGACTACTGCTACTGCTACACTGCCGCGGCTACGGCGACAGCTACTGCTACTTCTACTACCTACCACTGCTGCCGTTAAAAACTTATTTGTTCAAGCAGAACTGTTATGGTATTTCGTTGCTTCCGATGTGATGTTTGCTTGATGTGGGGGTGTTCTGCATCTTGTTAGTTAGAGCCAGTACTGAAGCTGCCATGGCTGCTGATAATATCACCAGGGCTCGTTCTCCTCGGACTCCACGCCTTGAAACTGAAGCTTAAATCTTCAACCTTCCAAACATTCCTAAACCTGAGAACCACCTAAAGCTATCCAAACCTCCTAACTTTGACCCCAGATCATCCGAACCCCCAATTGCGGCAACTTATCTAAGCCCCCAATAAACAGAGCTCGAAACCCTGAACTTCAAATGTTCAGTTCTAAACCCTAAACCCTTCTGGTCCGTGGCAAAGGTGCACGCCGGACATGCAGCCCTACACAGAGATAAAGGAGAGTTTCTGATGCTGCACGGGGTTTGAGGGCTTTTGGGTTCGGGGTTTTAGAGTGTAATTAGGGCTTCAAGCTTTGAAGGCTTCAGGGTTGATAAGGCTCTAGGGCGGGTGGTTGATTGTTTCAGTCAGGCCATTATCTTGCTAAGATTTTCTGATCCTCCTGAGCCCTTAGCCCTAAACCCGTGGACCTATAAATGAACCCTCTGGAGGAACCCATCACCAACTCCCCCGATCCTCCGAGAGCAGCTGGCATAGGGGCCGGAATATTGAGCACCACCTATAGGGTTCTTCTTTTTCGTAACACTACACTCTACCCCAAAAGCGTTCTTCTACCTAAGCCCGAAACCCCTAAACTCGAACCCTAAACCCTAAACCCCTAAATCCAAACTGCTCAAGCCCCTATGTTACAGTGGGGGAAGAAAGGGCCGATCTCTTCTGGCATGCTCAGGACTTTACTCAGAGCCCGCTCTGTGCGGAGTACATCGATAAGTGCGCCGAAGCTGTGAGGGTTTAGGATTTCGGGCTTGACGTTTAAGGTTCCGCACACTACCCACTAGATCATAAGAAGAACCCTTAAATAGTAGGATCCTTATTCTACCTCTATTTTCGGAAACCCCCATAGTACTAGCAGGGCGTTGGTTTCAAAACCTCTGTTCGCCCGACTAAGAGGAGTGCAGCAGGCCCTGGCCACACAAGAGCAAGCCTACTGTATAGACCTAGAACAGACCCTCGGAGTTCGGGGTTTAGGGCTGTTGGGCCTAGGGGTTACTCCCTTGTTATTGTTTGTGGTGACTTTCGTTCTTCAGAAACTAAAGTAGAGGAGGGTTGGGTGCCGTGGGGCCATACCCTTGAAACTCAGTCACAGTAGCAGTCTATCGAAAAACCCACCTCAAACTCAAGACCCCAAACCTAAAACCCTAAACCCCACACAAACCCGAAGCTCAAGACCCCAGACGCCAAACCCCTCAACCAAAGCCCTAAACCCCGAGCTCAAGATCCTAAACCCCACGCTGATGCGCTCTAACCTCCAGACATGACATCCCCATGTGGGCGGTTGTCAAAATTATGGTCCCTTTCTGGACCTGATTTTTTAGGGCACCCAAATAGGGATCCTAATTTTGACACCTACCCATGACTCTCCTGTCGCCGGGTGGGGGTACCTTATTTTGGGGGTCCTTATAATAAGGATCCTGCTATTTAGGGTACTATATTAGGGTCCCCTCTTTTCGGAAACTCCCATATGGGGAGTTGGGGATTTCAGTGCAGGGTCTAGGGATGTAGGCTCAATGCTGCTTGATCTCGGGAGTAGTATGCTGCATTGACCAAAATCTGCTCGTTGGCGAGAGTTGCACGCAATCTTTCCATGGGGCATCACAGCAGCTCTGCAGACAGGCACTTCAGCACCCGACCCTGAACCCATGGCTTTGCGAGCAGCCTCACATCCCATAATATGGTCTATACCGTTTATAATACAAAACATATAACATGAGAGGTATAGTATGCAGTATGCAGTATTACATAAGAATTTAAAGTCTAGTAAGCAGTGCCCTTCGATGAGAGCAACCTTGGTCACCGGCTGGTATAGCGAAATTTTCGGCTGCGATTCATGGCTCGACGTCGACGCGGTGCATCGGCTGCCTGCAGCCTCAGCCTTTTCTTGGTCGCCCTTTGGGCGACTTCGCAGACTCTTGGCTGAAGGTGGAGCCTCAGATCTTCACATAGTTCGGCTTTATGTTGTGTCGGTTGTTCTGTAAGGCTTGAGGACAGCAGATGCGTGGCAAAGTGGCAGATTAGTTGTATCGGGTTTCGGTATCCGCACCTTGCATCATTAACTTGTTGGAGGCCTCGCGGGGCACTCGAAACCCACAGCAGAAGCGCCGACCCCCAAAAGACCATCGCCCTAATTGCGGGTCTAAGATCCAAGGGGAAAAGGAGGGATCCTTAATAAGGACCCCTAGGTATATACCCTTAATATAGCTATTATATACCCATTTTGTAGCCCTTTATAGGGTAGGGGTCCCCATCAAGGGTCCCTCCTTTTCCCCTTTGATAAGAGTCAAACAGTCACCAAGGTTCTAGAGTTTGAGCCTTAAACCTATTCGATCTTCCTGCCAAGTCTTTCAGATTGTGTTCCCGATCAAGTCCTGTCTAAGAATAAAGGAACCTTATTAAGAAGCCTTGGGCCTTTGTTAGGGGCCGGTGCTTGCATGTTGAAAGCAAACTTCGCGACCAGGGATGTAGCACGCAAGGTTGGAAGTAAGTAAGGCAGCTAGGTTTATAGTTACTTACAGCCCCGAAGTGCTGCATTGATAACCGTAAACCCTAAACCCCTACATGCTAAAGCCTCAACCCGACCTGCGAAGTCCCTGATCCTCCAAGGTGCGGTGCCCGCAGTTTTCTGGCGAGTCCCGCTGAGTTACGGGCCAGGAGGTGATGGGGGTCTTATGATTTAGGGTTGTTGGACCTGGAGAGCTTAGTAACTTGGGGGTTAGGGTTTAAGGTTTGGGTTTATTGAATTGAGAGTTGTTATGGTTTAGAGTCCAGGGTCGCAGAGGGTCCCTGAACTCCAAGCCCTGACTGAACTCGCCCGAAACCTCAAGCTTCAAAAGGACCAGAACCATGAACGCCCCAATTGGATTCTGCATCTGCAAACCCTTTAGCCCGTGTCGTCACGGCTGCATTTCCTAGGTGCAGTCCGTCTGCAGCCATCTTCCGAAAAGCCATAGAAAGTGTCGCAACCAGTTCGCCTCCAAACGATAAACATGTGGGGGGGGTTTCCGAGAAATCGGGGACCCTAAATAGTAGGATCCTTATTATAAGGACCCCATAATAAGGTACTGTAACCCTAATGTTCGGAAAGTCTTAACCCTAAACCCTTTATAGAACCCTTAAAGATCGCTTTGAAGGAACCCTTTAAACTTTAAAGGAACCCCTAATTTTCGGAAACTCCCATGTAGGTTTCGGGCCTGGGCAGAATGCCTCAGGGATCCGGACCTAAAGCCGGAGTACCCAGAGAGCCCAATACCCCTTAACTAAGGAATACCTAGGGTTCCTATAAGGGATTTATAGGCTCAAGGTTTACGTAAGGAATATTGCTTTAAGGGGCATTGGGCTCTCTGGGTAGTGGCATGCTCGTATGGGACATTCGCCTGATATAAGGGCCTAAATAATTACCAATACTACTTTGGGGGCTACTTATTAACAAATAGCATAATGGGATGCAAAACCCTAGTCTATAATTATTAAGTCCCCTGCAACAAATGTGCTTACCGAACATTCAGTCAACCCTAAACCCTTGACCTCCTAAACCACTCAACCTTACACCCCAAACTCTAAACCCTAAGCCCTAAACCCTAAACTCTAAACCTTAAACCCTAAACTCCAAACCTTAAACCCTGAAACCTAAACTCTAAACCATGAAACCCTAAACCGTGAACCTTCGACGAGGCGGGACGGTCTCTCCGCAATTCTCCTGGCGACCTTCGGCTTCAGTGGCTGGGCGATGGGGTCGAGGCTACCGTTCTCCAGACTCTTTTTGAGAGTGTGGCCCATTGCTGTTTTTGTTCTTGCTTTCCGCTTTTTGTCTTGGGTACGTTTTTTAAGGAGTTACTCAGGGGCCTTAATAATTAGAGTAGGGTTTGGGGGTATGTTATACGAAAACTATAACTATAATGAGGAACCCCAAAGCCCTATTCCGATGATTAACGCCCCTACATTACAGTGCTTCGTAGGTCCGAGTACTTCGGCCCGAATCGGCTCTGTGATGGGGTAAGCCGTCCCCTGAAGCTGCTGAGATTTATACAATATAGGTTATAAGCGATGAGAATAGAACAACATATAAAGTACAAATAATACATAGTAGTATACAGCATGTAGTATACGGTCCTATACATAACATATATCATACAATGTTGTGCGTATGTATATCTGTGTATATCGGATTATATGTTTTTTACAACTCATCGTATATAGATTTCACGATGATGTATAGTACTGGTATGTCTCATGCTTTCGGTTGCAGAGCCTCTGTGCCGAGAGCTGTTCGGGTCTCACTCTTCGGCAGACGTGGGCTCTTACGGCAGTTCTTCGTCTTGCATGTAGGGCCATGTAGGAAAAGCCAGGCGAGATCCATATGTGAGTATGTTTATATAGTTTCTACAGAAAGTGGGAACACGATTGCTCTGATTCTCTTGTTCTGAGGTAGGGAATCCGCTCAACAATCATTCTTAATGCATGTTCCAACTTTCTGGGGTTCACCGTATATATATATATATACATATATACACATACATACACACTACGATATTGCCGTTTTCAAAACCATAATAAGGATGGTTTTTGGGTTGGGACCCACTCTGGGAAATGTTCGGCACTCATTGAACATACAGCGATGAAGGTTTCTTTATGGATTCTGTAAGTGTTCCTTTTGAGGGGTTGATTCTGGCCTCATTGGTGTTCTTTGGAAGCACGGTTCATGGATCTCTGGGTCAGTAATACTCTTTGTGCTTTTCCTTCTGGGGTCTCCTTATGACGACCGAATCGTAGGAATAAAAGGGTGTATGCCAGCTTTTTCACTATTGTAAAGGGGCTGCTAGGGTATCTTCGACTTCCAGGCTTCACGCAATTCAGAAGCCTACAGAAGTGGTAATACTAATGCCTATAGGGTCCTCAATACAGTTCTGGTGTAGTAGAACCCAGCTAATCTTCTGGTTCACCCAACATTATGTACCTGCACCCTCAAGACCTACATGTTTTGGTTTCGTTGTCATAAGATCCCTATGCATCAGGTTCTTTCCTTGAGCTTCCCCTAAATCCTGAGCCTGAACGGCTGCCCTAAACCCCAAACCTCTAAAGCCTGTAAACCCTAAGCCCTGAACCCTAGACCCTAAACCTTTTTTAAGGGCTTTTTTAAGGGGCGGAAAATAGGCTCTTTAAAAAGGAAAAACCTAAACCCTAAGCCTTTTTTAAGGGCCCATATTTTGGGGGACGGAAAATATGAGCCCTTACAAAGAAAAAGAAAAACTAAACCTTCAAACGCCCAGGTCAGAGATCGCTTGCTGAAGAGCCCTTCAACCCACTGAAGCTCAAAGGCGACCGATGAGATTTCAGTATTTTGGATCTCGGGCTCCAGAAAGGCCTTTAGTATTCAATATAGTAGAATAGGCCCGGACGTTTGGGCCACTGCAGAATGGAAAGCGTAGAGCTCACGATTCCCATGAAACCTTGGTGCGAGTTTTCATGTTAACCCAATGACCAATGAACGCTGCAGGGTGGAATGCTTGCTAGCAAGTTCTGTGTGGACTGTCGATGGAGGAAGGGGTATATCCTTTAATATCCATCGTCTGAGACCATTGGCTGTCACTGGTGTCACTAGCGTCACGAGGGTTGCATGAGGACTTCATCGAAAGTGTCCCGAAACCCCATCGATTTCGAGGCTCGTGCGCCATTCTTCTCAAATCCTGACTGTCTTCTGTCACTACAGGGGCATAGCCAAACAGAAGTTCACAGTACCGACTCTCTAGCAGCATAAATGACTCGGCTACATATACCCGTATGGCATGATAAGCACCAAGCCTTGTTATTCTCCTTCACCCTGCATGATAACAGGTGTCCCGATTAGATGAAAAAGCAAGATACATACGTTACAATGTGCATGTTTTTTAGGGTTATTTTTCCGAGGGAGCCTTATCAAACTGTTGGCTTCAGAAGTAATTGTAGACAGAGGCGTGCGAGCAAACTGCATTGTGAATCTCTTCTCACGGCTGTTGGGGTTCGGGGGTCTATGCTTTATTAGGGCTCAGGCTTTTGGAGATCTCGAGCCCGCATGTGATCGTGAGGCTCCCAGGGACAGAATTTACAACACCTGCGGAGCACTGGAAATCATGGACTTCGGGTTTGGGATTAGGAAGGGAGCCCTGCGACATAGTAGCATTGTCTCTACCAAGTTTACCTTGTCAAGTATTGATTGTAGAGCAATCAGAAATACTGCCCGACTATGCTCTACACGTTTACGCCTGTAAACGACATGCGGAAGCCGCTGTCGCCACGCAACAGCAAAACCCCTCCCCAATCATGCAGGCTACGTCTGGGAGACCGGGAAGTTGTCCGACACTGGCACATTGGATGGCCGCGGGTGGGGGCAGGACGCTGGACGGCAGGATGCTGTCTAGGATGCCCAGTAGTACCCTTATTCCCTTTTTGTAGTCCTAGGTTCCTTATAAAGTTACCCAATACCAAAAAGAGAGGCCTTTTTATTCTTAGGTTACTGGGTATCCTAGCTGTTATACTAGTTTTGCTATTACCCTGAGTCTTAAGTCCCAACCTACGATCCCACCGCCTCAAGCCGCCCAAAACCCTTAAAGCATCTCCAGAAATCTATGCGCGCTCTCAAGGGCTTGGGACTTAGTCGGGGATGCAGCTACGTCTCGAGCGGTTAATCTCAAAGTAGACCTGAGGGGTTAGGGTTTAATGCTCAGGTAGGTTAGGTTTAGGATGGTGATACTTTAGGCCGGTATTTTAGGAAATTGAAATGTTCTGCTCAAGCACTTGGACCGTGAGGGAAAGAGTGTAGGGAACAACAAGGGAATGCATGCTTTAAAAAACCGCAATCCCCCTCTCCGCACAACGAAAATAAGCCTCATAAACCTCTAGTGTTAAGGAGCCCCCCCACCTTTCTTCACAGAGGCTGAGTCATCAGACCTGGTTGTCCTATTGGGGCAGCTGAATGACACTATTAAGGCGCGAACTGGAACCGTCCTACTTGAGGGCTCTTTGGGATTACGGGTTGAGGGCTTCGGGTTTCGTGCGTGAGAGTTTGGGTTTGGGGGTCCGGTTGATTTTGTCGCCCACAGTATCGCATGCCAAGCAGCTTTGCTGAGGAAGCCCCTTCCCCCCTCAACTGTAATGCCATGTGGGTTGTTCTGTAAACCAGGGTCCGTTTTTAAACACCCCAGGAGGCGACAGCCGTACAAAAAGGACCCTACAAGAGACCCTAATTTAGACAACTACCCATGCCACAACGTGCATCCCCACTTCGAGGTTCTTAAACAGTCAGGGTTTATAAGTAGCAAACCACATATAACCACCCACACCCGAAGATCATACAGGGGCCAGAATAGCTACCCATACTATCTTGGGGTTCCTTACCATAAGTATCAATATATAACATACCAGAAACAACAGTATTCTAATTATTAAGGCCTCTTTGTTTCCGTATTAGTTGAGCTTGATTTACACCACCACCCGAAATTTCAGAGCATCCGAAGCTGCCCGGTGCAGGTCTTCGAGTCCTTGGAGGCCAACTTGGCGCCGGCGCAGGAGAGCTTTGAGCGATTGAAAACTCAGCTCCGCGGTGCGAGCTTCTCGGAGCTTTGGCTTAAAAGCGTCGTCATGTTGGATTAAAGGTTAGAGGTTTAGGGTTTGATGCTTAGGGTGTAGGGTTTCAGGTTTAGGATTAAGGATTTAGGGTTCAGGATTGTGGTTTTTGGTGTGGGCATTGCAGGGTTACTTATGTAGCTAAGGGCCTCCAGGACGAAGGACTTGAGAATACTATTGCGGCACTAGACCGGCAACCATTCTATTGTTGAGGATGCTCATTGTGGCTCTAGTGTTTTTGGGTTCTTATATAGACTAGAGTTCTGGTGATTGAGGGGCAGTGGGAATCGTCTTGATCCGTTGAAGCATCCCGGCACGAGTCCCGGAAACGCATGAGTTTAAAGCTGCAATAGCGCGTTGACTGCAACGCCCTGGATCCCCGAATCCAAACTTCCCGACAGCCATTGAAAGAAACGAGAATCGGAATGCTGAAAATCGGGCCCCAAAAAAGCACATAAGCAAAAATAAGGTCAGCGATATCCCATGTAAACCCCTTTAAAAGGAAGGCCAATAAGGTAGGAATATCCCCATATAAAATGCTTATGCTTATGTGCTTGTTGGGTCCCTAAGAAAAGTCTTCTTGAAACCGCAAGAGGCCAAAGAGCTCTTGGTCTTGAACAGTACCCTTTGCTCTTTTTCTTTTTGGGTTCCCTTATGGAAGCTAAATAGTAGGAAAAAAGGGTACCCTTATTTTAAAGGGGCTACCCAGGAACCCACTTGCATCTGTCTGAACTTGCCTGAGTACTAGGCACTACTAGTCCTTACTGTACGGTTCCGGATTATAGGTGCGGTTCAGGGTTTCAGGGCGCACCACTGATTATTCTCATTCTCAAGGCCCCCCATTCCGGTCCGAATTCGAAGGTTGACCCTCAAAGAGCAGTGACATTACATGGCTTGCGAGGAGTGGCTAGCTTACAATGTGCAAAGCGAGAAAAATCGTCAGATGTCAGCCTAGAACCCCATCCCGAGAAACCCTAAACACTGAACCCCTAACACATGGAGGTTCATGGGTAGTCATAGGCATAAGATGGTCAAATTACAAGTCCCGATTATGGATGAGAAGTATATCCTGCGTATATCCCTACTTATACCTACCCATCAACCTCCCCTTATAAGACCCTTATAGACTTATAGAGCCCTTATAGATCCCTTAAAGGAGCCTTATAAACCCTACGCATAACTACCCATGAACCTCCCCCTACTTAGCATGAACCTCCCCTTATACAACCTTAACCCCATACCCTGATAGAATCCCTTTAGATCCCTTTTAAGGGACCCTTCAAGGAACCCTTATAATTAACTACCCATGAACCTCCAAGTAGCCGAGCGCCACAAAGGAGAGCGTTCTCCGAATTCGCACCAAGCGGATCCTCAACCTGCTTTCTCAGCAGGCCTTAAAGGGATCCTTTTTTTAAGGGCTCCTTAAAGGGATCTACAAAGATAATATAGGCATTAAAGGGATCCTTTGAAGGGTTCCTTGTTACAGGGGTCTATAAGAATAATATAAGCCTTCAAGGGATCCTTTGAAGGGTTCCTTAAAGGGATCAAAATGTATTCTATAAAGGCTTTCGGTTTTCTTCTATTTTGGGTACAATCTTAGGCCTGCTTTCTCAGCAGGCCACAGGGTTCCATCGCAACATGAGGGATATGTGCTTGTGGGTAGTTGTCTAGATTAGGGTTTTGGCTGTGGTAGTTCATAACTTGGATTTGGGGGTATACTCCACTACGATTATTCGGGTAGTTTTCTAAATTAGGGCGGCTTTTTCGGTTCCCCAAATAGTACGGAACCTCTGTAACAAGGACCCCAGAAGGGATTCTAATTTTGAGAACTACCCGTATGTGTTTTTGCCATGCGTGCGATCGGAAGCAATATTAGATATCGTTCCATCTTCACATCTGCCAGACTTCGTGGAGCATGTAGGTATTTGTGTGTGTGTGTGTGTGCAGGCCAGTGCATATGTGTACATATCCATCTAGCTATGCGCTATGCAGTTCGCATGCATGCATGCAAGCAAGGATGTATGTACCTGTGCAGATCTGGATGCACGTCTGCGAGGGGTCTGCGCGGATGGTTGCACGCATGTGCAGGTGTATGTAACCATGCATGTACGATCTGCCAAGAGCACCCCGCGAGGTGGTGCAATAGCGCGAAGTGAATGCTAGCTACATCTCGATAGCAATAAAACTTTCAACATCCAGGAGTTTGTAAGTAAGGTGGTACCGCAAGTACCTGAATAGGCTTGTGAGTGAGTAATTACAACTTGAATTCAGATCTTCTCACCCTACTTCCCACCTTGCAACCTCACTTCCTAAGTCACTGAGTCCCCCGATCCCTTAATTACTGTACCCTAAAAACCCTAAACCCCCAAAACTCCCCAGCTCTTCCACCTCCCTACGCTTTAAACCCTCCCTGAGCCCCAAACCCTATACCCTAAACACCCCCTGCTTGGAGGTTCATGGGTAGTTATTAGTAGGTTTATAAGTCCCCTAATATGGGTTATAAGTATAGTTATCCTACTTAAAACCCAAACTACCTATAGCTACCCATGAACCTCCAAGTAAACCCTAAACTCCCAACTGGTCGATCTCGCACATGCCGTTCAGGAGAGCACCGTCGAAGACGATGACACGTTTCGCGCGGCTGAGGCGGAGAACCAGGAGCTTGGTATCTGAGCAAAGATCGAGGATTTAGGGTGTTTTTGGATGTGTTGGGTTTATAAGTCTTTAGGTTTACTGTTTATGGGGTTTAGGGTTTAGGGTTAGGGTTTGTGGTTTGGGGTTTAAGGCTTTGGGTTCAGGCCTTACGGTTTAGGATTGACTGAGGGTTCGCGATTTGCGCTTCGAGGGTGCTTTTGATTTTTCACTTCCAGGAAGGCTACTCGGGATTGCAAGGTTCAGCCATTTCCCTGGGTCTGCCCAACTCACTAGGGAAACCAGGTGTCTGCAAATCACACTCATTCCGCGCGGTCCCAAACAACCATGAAGCTTTTCCTGAGTTACAAGTAACCAGCTACATTGACCACGGCTGCCACTGGATGCTCCTTGCTGATGGCGGTTGCCGCTGTGTATCATGCCGGTGATTTGTGTTTGTGAATTTGGGCTGTCAGTCCATGGACAATGAGGAGAAAGTTCCTATGACACCTTTACCACCATGCAGCATGCTTGATATCATGGTGCGCAAACCACATGCATGGCAATGACGTTAGTGGTGCTATCGAGGAAGATTACACCATGCTCACTACTGTGGGACTGAAAGAATTACAGTGTTGGTGTTGGTATATAGTGGATGTCGGATGATGCAGCTGTGGTGGTGACAAGAACTGCCGTGATAATGATGATGAGGGTGGTGTTAGACTGGTAGAGAGTGACGGATACTCTGCTGTTCATGGTTTGCACATCGACCGCTGCCCATCGGCACACAGCAGCTAATCTTAATTGGCTGACCCTGGCGGAAAGCTTACCCGCATCCGTTGAAATTATTAGCACCCCCCATGACTTGAACGAAGGCAAAGAGATCAACGCCATGAATGCTGCAGTGGATGCAGCCACCTTGGCCTTCTAGCTGCGATTCGGGTTCAAGGATTTTGGGGTCTGTGGGAGTACCTACTGCATGTTTATTGTCAAGTCGGCTCCAGGCCTTGAACACCAGACGATGGTAACAGAAAGACTGCTTTGTCTTGACCACGGCAGTCATAAGGGGAGGGCAGGGGAAGTGCAGGTGTCGCTTGGCATGGTGCAGTGAATATTGACTGACAGGGCCAGGGGGCAGAGAAAGTGGGGCTAAACGTAAGGGATTGTTTCCTAGTAGGGTACTTAGAACCTGGTACATACTAAAGTTAACAAGCTGCTTACAGAAGTGCTCTGCTGAAAAAAACCTGAAGGTCTTCGGATGCCCAGGTTCCTTATTTGGGTTCGGGTTCAGGGCTTAGGATTTGAGGTGTTGGGTTCAGGGCTTGGGGTTTTCGGGTACGGGGTTTATACTTGGAGGGTCGAGGGACTTGGTACGTAGTTAATATATAGACCTCCAAGTAGGGCCCACCATTGCATAGGGCCCAGAGCTCTCAATCCTCGACCTGCCCCAGTCGACGTTGCTTTCCCACAACCCGACCATCCCAAAGCCACAGACTCTTAGACCCCAAATCCTAAATATATGGAGAAAGAGCCATTGCATTTTTAAAAACAAATAAATATAAATATAAGTAAATAAATAAATATATATATATATATATAACCCCATAGCACGCTATAAGCAACCCGGACCCGCACCCTTGACGTATCAAGCCGCCGGAGAACCCTAAACCCTGAAGCCGCAACCCGAAACCCCAAACTGCTAATCCCAGAAATCCGAGAAGTCCTAGAATTCTTGGAACCCCTACCAGTGGAAAATTCTCACACCCTAAATCCAGAACTCTAGAATTCTTGGGAACTCCTAGAAAATTCCTAAAACCCCTAACCCCAAACCCTAAACATCCCTAAACCCGCAACCCTAGAAGCCTGAAAACTCCCGACAAAGGACTTCGGGGGCGGTCCCGGGGCCTTGCTCCTCGGCATTTGGGGCATCAGGCTTCCTAGGATGCCCAGTCGTACCTTTATTCCCTTTTTGTAGTCCTAGTTTCCTTACAATGTTTCCCAACACCAAAAAGGGAGCCCTTTTTATTCCTAAGTTACTGGGCATCCTAGGTTCGGAAAGTTTTGGGGGTTTAGGGGTTCAGGTCCTTTAAGGGTTCCTTAAAAGGGTTCCTTAACGGGGTCTATAAGGCTTCTATACAGTGGTTTAGGGGTTCGGAAAGTTTGGGGGTTTAGGGGTTTAGGGGTTTGGGGGTTTAGGGGTTTGGGGGTGTAGAGGTTTAGGGTTTATAGGGGTTGTGGGTTTAGGGGTTTGGGGGTTTAGGGTTTAGGGTTTAGGGGTTTGAGGGTTTGGGGGTTTTGGGTTTAGGGTTGCGGGAGGGCTATGTATATGCTTCATAACTTGCTTTTAAGGGATTTTGAGGGGCTTTGCAGGGTTCGTTGATTGGGCTTCGTGAGGTTTAGAGGAGTTTTGCCAGGTGTTGTTTCACAGAGGTTTTATGGTGGGCTAGTGTCTTCAGCTGTTTTCAGCGGCAGAATCAGCAATCATGCTCCAACCCATGGCCTCTGCAACTCCCGAGAGTAGACTAGACTTGCTTTGCATGGCAGAGCGTTCTGGTAGCCATACTCAGATCCAAATCTGAAGAGAGGTGAGATCTTTGCAGCGAGGACTAGTTCTGTTCGAGAACTGCCCCAGTTTAAAGCATTAGGGCACTCCTTTCTCTTCTGGAGAACCTAGCCCATTCTACTATATTGAACGTTCTGGGTGGGGTTCAAAGATTTACAGCTGCGAGAAGGTGGGCATCGCGTCCAGGGTTGCAGGCTTCGGTCGTCGAGTTAGACCTAAGGCTCCATGTACCCATATCAAAGTACCGAAAAAGGTAACCTTTTAAGGCCTAAGTTTCTACTATAAAGGTACATGGAGCCTTTGGGCTAGTGGTCGGGGCTGCTCTTAGAGGTGTCAGTGGGGGGCTGTTGACCGTTGAGGTTTCAGTTCGGGTAGCTAGAAAAGTGGACCACCGATAAGATCATCCAGGGGAAGGAGCTAGAATCAAAGTTAGGGCTTAGGAAGTTTAGAGGTGTTCGTTCCCCTCTTCAAACCCCTAAAATGTGTAGGGTTCGCCCACGATCCTTTTGCTCATTCTGCCTGGTCCGTCGGAGATTGTCCTGACTGAGACTTCCTTTAACAGCCTGATGTCCTACACCCTCAACCCTGCAAGGCACTAGAGACTCTAAAACAACGTAAACCCCAACCCCGTAACACCCCCAAGTAGTAGAAACCTCTGACAAGCATTTAAAGGCAAGATCAACAAAGCAGCAAAGCCTGAGAAATAACCTGTGGCCGAAGAAACCTTTTTAGGGTTCCTTATCATTGGTATATATATATATATATATGTATATTATATACATACAAATCCTCAAAAAGCTAGGTTTGTTGGGATTCAGCCCTCAGTCAGCCATCAGGATCGCGAATGAGGCCGAGCGTGCCAATCGGAAGTCGGAGGACCGCGTTGGAGTCATGGATTTGCAGGCTTCCCGGGGGTTTAGGGTTTAGGGTGTATGGGTTGTAAGGGTTCAGAGTCCAGGGTTTAAGGTTTAGGGGGTTTCAGCGTTCAGAGTTTAGGGTTTTTGTAGGGTTTCACAGGGTAAGGTATCCACGATGTCCCTTTTCTTTTGCGTGTAAAAAGAGCTGGTTATGTGATAGGCCGCCAATATGATTTCTTTTTACGTCTACTGAATATATGTATATATATATATATATACACCAAAGTTCATATGTGGTAAGACTAAGGCTGTAGGCTCGAGGTTTAGGGTTAGGCTAGACCCCAAACGCATAAATTAATTACTCAGACTGAACGGAGCTGAAGCACCCGAAACTTAACCTAACGAAACCTCAAACTCTACAAGCCCCCAAAAAAACCCTGACATAATCATAAAACCATCAAAGATCTGTGTAATCGCAATGTTTCGGGTTCCCTGGGAAGGACTTGTCTCGAGACATTGAAGCCGGCCTTCGCGCTGTGCGGAAGCGGCTCGAGCGATTTGTTGAACTTGCTGAAACCGCGAGGGACAAGTGAGCCGACGGGAGCTTCGTAGAAGACACACATATTAATATATATATATATATATATAGACATACATACATACATAGACATGCACACTTACATAGTTTGTGTTTAGAATGCAATATAATTTCTGTTGATAAAAATTCAGGATTCTGTAGCACGACTCTGCAGTGTGCCCGGAATTCATGTCTCCTCAAGAAAGATCCATTTCTTACCAGAAGATGATCGTCGTGTAGAATCATGTATCCTCCTCACTCAGACCGAAGGACCAGTCATTTTGATTGTACAGTAGAAGCCAGAAAGTTGGAACATGGGTTTAGGAGGATTAGTGCTAGGATCTCTTATACTTTACTTTAGGGCCCTGAGGATACTAATGTTCCAACTTTCTGGCTTCTACCATAAAGGGAACTCCAGAAAGTTGGAATATGGAATAATGGTAGGATCCCCTATAATTTACCATAAAGGGGTTAGGATAATCATATTCCAACTTTCTGGCTTCTACCATAGCTTATATGATGGCAAGGTACGGGATTGAAGGGCTCTGTCTCCTTCCGAGGAAGTCGGATTGATGAAGGGATGCTAGGGTTCTTTAAATGGGGGCCATGATGCAGGTGATGAGAACGACGAACCACACGACTAGTGCCTAGTGCGATTAAGACAGTAAGTTTTCGGAGCGGCAGAAACTTTAACATCATCTTCGCTTTGATCACCATCAGCACCGGCAGCAGAAGATTATTTGTGCTGCCAGTGGAAACAGCAGCAACAGCAGCGGACAAGCAGCACCATTGCAGTGCAAAAGTCAGCAATGTACGAATTTCGGAAACAAGACTCCTAAAGGAAGTACCAGAAACTTCTAGACCCGAAGCACAAAATCGAAACCTTAAGGCCTCTCTGGCGTCCGACCCAAACCTGCGATTGCAAATTTTATTACTGCTATTATTATCGCTATTGTCATTGGTATCAGTACCACCATTGCTGTTTCAAATTGGTACTGCTACTAAACATGTAGCTCTCAAATATGTTTCTTTCTCGCAGTGCTTTGCAGAGCGGAAGCTTGAGCCTGCGCCGATACTATGGCTTGTGAGACATAGAGCAGTGCATATTCCTGCTGACAAGTGGCATGCCGCTTCAAAGAAAAGGCTGTTTTCAGACCTTAACCTGCAAGTGTACTAATTTCTGACGCCTCTAGACTTTAGTCTCCTTTCAGATCTTCTGGGATGTCAGCTTAGCAAGTACGGGCCGCCTAGTCTCAGCAGGTTTGGTGGTTTCCGGATTGGCAGGGTTCGGTCGTGTGGCTCTTCCTTTGGTTTCGCAGTAGGATGACTGGATTCCCAATGACGGTTGCTCTAAGTTCAAGCAGGGCTCCAAAAGCGACCACCACGTAGCAACGTGTAGAGTTTCGACGAGAATTCTTAGTACACACGGAGTGCAGTAACAAAAACTATATCAGACTGTCCCAAGGAGTCACAGCAGAAGTCCATTTTTTCTCGGTAGCTAGCATGCCCCAATCTCACTCCCAACCCGAGAAGGGTGGGATGAGGGTGGAGCATCCGTGCACCGAGGCAACCTAAACCCGAGATCTCAAGACTACACCCCGACGCTACCAGTGCGGCACCCTGACGCTAAACCCACAGTAGATAATTGTGGCCATTTTCTCTGGCAGAGAAGCTGGGAGACAACCGTCAAAGGCTTCACATGTCTTGGAGGTACTCGTTGTGGGTTTAGTAGCCTGAGCATGTAGAAACAAACTTATGACACATATTCTCACAGCACTAACTAAGGCACTATGGCTTGTGCATCAGCTCCTCATAAGCAAGAACTGGTTAGAGCTTTTGCTGGAATGTGCACAGTCACACACTGTTATGGAATCAAAGAAACAGTGTCCTCTTACGTGTGCACTCTACGATGACCCGGACGACTGCTTCTGGCCAGGTACAACTACCTGGTAGTTTCTTGCGTGCTCCTGAGACTGTGGTGACTGTGCGACTGTACAAACGTGAAGCATAAACCTGAAACCCTGTAACATGAATGTATGTGTCATCATATGTCCGCATCCCAGATGCTGCTTGTGTAAGCATCATTGCAGCCAGTCTCCTTATGCAGACAAGCTCTTCTGTCGGCTTGATTCGACGGCAGAATGTGCCAGACAGCCAGGCATGCTGCTTCAGGACCTGCAGGGTCCATGACAATTCTTGATTTTATGGAGCCACGTAAATAGAAAATTCGAGTCACATGTTTCATGTTTATGGCTGATGTTATTCCATAACACGCGATAGATACCAAGTCTCGAATGTTCGAGGAAACGGAAGGGCAGCGCGCAACACGGATCACCAGCCTACTGAACATTCGGTAGCTCCCAGCGTAGACGAAAGCCCAGAAATCCCGAACAAATTCCAAACTCTAATTACACTAAGCGTCGCAAACTTCGGCTGAGGCCTTCATCGCAACGCCTCTAGAAGCCCTTAGGACACCCGCAAAAGAACACTCAATTGCTGACTTAGGCTCCGATCTTACGTTGTCCTTCTTCGATGTGGATAATGCTCTGAAGTCGGACCCTGAGCGCGGTTTCTGCTCTTGCTCATAATCATATACTCTCCCAGATCCTCAGCATAACTATTGTCCTGAATCCAGTTTGCATGTGCTACAACGGCACAGACAGTGTTGAAAAGGGTGCTATCCGGATCTTATGCGGGTTCTATGACAGGACCAAAATTAGCATCGAAGGCTGTTGAGTGCCAACTCATGCGCATGTAGGTTCCTGTGAGAAGCAACAACTTGTCGTGTGTATATATAAGAGCAATACACACATATATTTATATATGTACATACACATACACATATCTACTTATATGCTTATATATATACATACATACATACATACATACATACATACATACATACATATATACATATATACATAGATACACAGATACAGACAGACTTTTGCACACATGTAAACATATATTCACTTATATACATGCTTACAGATAGACAGATAGTTGGGTATGCGAATCTATATATATATATATATGTATATGTGCAGACACACACGCACACACACCTCAAACATGTTTCTGTGTAATATGTACACATACATACAGATGTATAGATGTATCTTCCAACGGCAGTGGAGGCAGTGGAGCCTTAAGCCTTAAACCCCAGGTTAGCACGGCGGCTGGAGACGAAAACCGCCCAGCTGGTCCTTTGTTGGAGTGAGGCAGGTCCTATAATTCGGTTCAAGAGGGTTTAGGGGTTTAGAGGTTTAGGTTTAGGGTTCTTGTTTGTTTAGGTTTAGGGTTTTTGCGTTTATTGTGGAAGATAGACCAAACCGTGACGAATGTTCATCAGGGATTGGGGGGGGGGGGCAGGATTTGTTTGGGACATGTCATGCAGCTTTTAGGGCTGCTCAGGCAGTGATGGGTTTCTCGGTGTGGCACTTGTGGTTGTTTCGCTTTCAAGTTTGGATGTGTGCTAGGTCTTGTTTAGGGGCCTTACAACAATACCTATACTATTCTTGGGTTTCCTTATATTAAATAAGGTATAGTATACAGTATACCCCAAAACCCTATTCTAATTATTACGGCCCCTACATTAGGATGCTGTCCTTTCGGAACCCCGGAAACAGACGCTACGGTATGCGAAGGAGCTTCGATGTGCATTGCCATATCCTGAACCCTAGTCCTGAACCCGAATCTGTTCCTTGCTGACTTCACAGAGCAATACTCCCGTACTGAAGCGAAGGGAATCCAAATTCAGAGCTTATAGCACATAGAGAACGAGTAGTTGTAGACCGTAGACCCAGAACTTGGAGTTCGCGGCTGTCGCATCTCGGGGCTTACCGAGACATGCGCAGAACCCAGTTGTGTTTTGACTACTGCTAGAGGGGATCTTGAGTTCAGAATCCTCTTCACTGTGTTTCAGGATAATTCGTGCATCATCATCATCATCATCATCATCATCGCCACCATCACCACCACCATCATCACCATCCCTCATTACATGGTCTGTGTTCCCAGCCATTCATCCGGATGGGTGTTCCCCACAGATGTTCCCATGTCGAAAAGCACTGAATGATTCCAAGAGCCTGTGGCAGCCTACCTGCGACAATCGCAGCAACGACTTGGACTCTAAATCCTTGAGCCTAAATCCGTCTAAAGAGCTGTCTGTAGTCTCCATTGTAGTTCCTTTCTTCAATTGGATTGTCCCAAAAAAGGATCTACAAAGGTGGTCTCGAAAAAGTCCCAATGTGCAGAAAATTCGGGCCTCGGTAATCACTTAAAATATTTTAGGGTTCCCTATGATAGTTATGGTATAATAACCCCGAGAATGGGCTCAATTAGATTGTCAGCTCCACTAAAGCCTAAATCCTGAAGTTTCACAAGCATCTCAAGGCTCATTCGCGCCAGACCTCTGTCCACACCTCGAAACCCTATTCTAACTACTAAGGCCCCTACATTACTCGGAGGTCCATGGGCAGTTGGGTTTAGGGTTTGGGGTAGGTCTATGAAGTGGGGGTATAAGTCCCCTAACACGGGTTGTAAAGATATCTTACTTATGGCCCCACTTTTAACCATCCACGAACCTCCAAGTAGCTGGTCTCGAACATGCAACTCCCACTTCGCCTAACGCGCCAGGTGGCACAGGTGCTCTTCAGTGCAGATCACGAGGGAAGGCCGGGCAGGGAGCGCGCATCATAGAAAGATTTCAGGGTTTAGGGTTTAGGGTTTTAGCTCTCGGATTCAATATGGAAAAGCACAGCTTATAACAGTCAGTATACACAAGAAATACTCATATGTCATACTACGGTATCCTATGCTTTATTGGTATGTAAAGGTTCCTGTTTGGGGAATCAAAAGGCTGCGTTGGGTGTGGGATAGCTTGCCTTTCCCTAAGGGTCCAAGTAGTCCTTATTTATGGGTGTTGATGCCTAAAGCGGCCCTAAAGTACTAAAATAGGGAGTACTTGGACCCTCTGGGTTTCGAGAGGGAAGTGGAATCCTTCACATGGCTTGT